TATGCAAACGAGCTATAACATGTAATAACAGTTCACACTCTGCTTCGTATACGAAGATGCCATCGCTCACCGGTCCAGTGTGTCTGGAACCCACTTCTGTGATGGGACTCAGGTGGGAGGAAAGCAAAGAGCTCCCCCAAAATAGAGTGGCTTCGTCACAGCCAGGGCAGAGGTCTAAAGGCAGTACTTTTATTTCTCCGCAGGGCACACCCTGTAAGGAGGAAAAATAAACTTAGGACCAGCAATTTCTCAAAGAGGACTGGTGAGAAGGAAAGGTCACTTTGAAAATAAATCCGATTTTCCACAGCTGTTTTTGGTTTTGGAGGTGAAAGGTCATGTTACAGGAGCTCAGAGCTCCTTAAAATGGCCGAATAGAACTAGCAAATGACAGGTCATTATTTTTTATGCTGGTAAGAAAGGAGACATGAGTCGGATTTACCTGAGCAGTGGCTGGCTCGAGGTACCGTGGGGAGACGGCGATTTAGGTGGGTACAGCCCCTCGCCAACTGTGTGTGCTTAGGAGGGAGGATGCGTGTGCTCTGGCAATGTGATGTTTACCCATCAGGGCGGCCTTGCTCCTGGTAAGTTACATACCAGATGCCTGGGAACTCGTGTTGCTAAATATATTCCGAGTCACCTCCTGTGTAGCCACGGAGAGACCGTAACACTTGACATTTGATTAGAGTGGAGAAAGTTGCAGCTATTTTGTAAAACGATTTCCACACTGAGTAATTCATCCCAAAGAGTTCAATTGAGCATTTGAAAAACAATCTCAGATACCGAAGTAAAGTCTAACTAGATTGTAAAGGGTCCGGATTGTTGTACATGAAGGTATTTTTATGTTGTTTGGTCTTGAGAACGCTTCCAAATCTCTCTAATAGACAGCATATTCGTACTGAAAGCTGAGATGGTCAGTACTGAGCTCCTTGGACCAGAACCATGCTCTGAATTTCAGATTCTGAAGCGGAGGGGTGAAGACAGTTCAGAACAGACACTGGAACGTGATAATAATCCTCTTTCTCACCCTTTCCAGATTAATGCCAGAAATTCTCCTAAGGACTAATAAGGAAGCAAATACGGTGGGCTTGCTGGGGAGTTAAGTCTCCAGAATTCAAACAAAATATGTTTTCTTGTCACGTAGTAGCATGCGTGTCCTGTGAATCACTCCTGTGTTGGACCGGTGCATCGTCATTTCCTACCGCTGACTTAGGAGAGACCATGCCGCAGCCATCGGTGTTGCTGGCTTAAAGACTTTCTAAGTCATGCAACTGCTTTATACAGTTTATGTAATGAACTTGGTAACACTAAAATCATGTCCGTCGATAGATGCTGTTATTTACGGCTTCAGCGCCCTCCGTTTGGAGAAGGACCGCTCCCTAAAATCCGTATTAACATCTCCTGCCTGTCAGTCTCTGTTAGCAGAAGGCTCCGTATTGCTGACTGTGCGTCCACACAGGGGGCCCTAGAGGCTCATTCCTGGTCCTCCCCCAGTCCTGTCCCCTGACGAAGACAGCGGCTCTCATGTTCAGGTGACTGTGTGCAGGCCACTGTCCAGGCCGTCCTGGCCACCCTTCTCTGGAGGGTCTGGCCTTCAGCCCCTACCTGGTTTCTCACTTCCCCCTGGTCTCCACTTCTGTCTCCCCGCCCTGCTCTCGCCTGCCCCCTGCTGGAAGCAATGAGGACGGACGGCGGGGGTCCCAGGCAGTGAGCAGGCTGAGCTGGCCTAGCAAACCCTAACCTGGCCATTGTTTCTTCTCTGCCTTTGTCCCTGCTGATGGGCCAAGAAATCCCTCATCCAACATGGTGTATTTTCAGTGCTTTTGTCTCTGAACACCTGCCTACACTTTCCAGCAGGTTACTGTGACATTTAACTCCTTTTTCACGCCGATGCAGGTCCTATTCGTGGAAATAATAGCAAATACACATCCCTAAAGTCTGGCTGCAGCATTTTTTCTCCCCACCAAACTAGACTAAGAAAATAACAGATTGGGACAGGAAGGGATGTGACAGCCTGGGAAGGGGACACGGGATTGGGATATAGGTGGTCAAGTCGAATAACTTTGTTTCTCTGTGTTGGTCCTTGTGTAGCCTGTTTTCTAAATGACCCTTTTCCTTTGTGAATACAAGCAAGGCGGAAGTGGGTCAGGGGGTCACTGCAATCATTTTGGGGGACAAACACATTAGTATGCAAAAAGGAATATCCTTGTAGCTGCAAATGTTGTTGACTTTGCTGCCCTTGAAAGGTCTTCCTGATATACTAGGAAGAAGCAAGTCCAGAATGACTCCCAGAGGCCATCTCTCTGGGCTTTTCCCAGTCCCGACATCTGCTCAGCAGCCTGGGGGCTGATGAAGGAAGGACACGCGGTGCTCACCAATGGGTCTCACTCAGTTCTGCACAGCTTTTGGAGATAAGGGTAATGAACTTTATTAGGCTCTTATACAGGAGGGCACACCTGCTTATTACAAATATTTTAACTCATTAAATTCAAACATATTTAAGCCCTGATTACTCAAAGCCTTAATTCACTGCTGCTCTGCTCATTGAAGGGAACGTACGCAACCTGTCTGGGAAGCAAATACTGTAATTTTCTTACTTAAATATTCACAGTGAAAACTGATGTATGTTCCAAAGTCCTCCAGAGACTCACTCCGCAGTGGAGTTGTTGAAATGGGTGTCTATGATTTGCAAAGCGTCAGATTTCATCTTAGAAGATGGAACTCGAAACATACTTACTTGTTCCCCGAAATAATACTATTTACGATGGGGACTTCTGCACTGCAAGTAGTGAGAGTAAAATGCTCTAGTTTCTTCTAAATTATTACTTCGCCACCAAATTTTGTCCTATCCATGAATATTTATTGGTGTGCAATATTTATTTCAATTCTGCTTCTAATATATAACGGGAGTGGTGCATACGGAAAAAAAATAATACCCAAAAGCTGATGACAGTAATTCTTTCAGTTGAACACTCAAAGAATTGGATGTCTGACTTACTAGTTTTTTGTTTTATTTAAAAAATTTTTTTTAAATCTATTGATTTTAGAGAAAGAGGAAAGGGGAGGGAGAGAGAGAGATAGAAACATTGATTGGCCGCCTCCTGCACGCCCCCCACTGGGGATCGGGTCCACAACCTGGGCCTGTGCCCTGACCGGGAATTGAACCGGCGACCTCTTGGTGCATGGGTCCACGTTCAGTCACTGAGCCACACCGACCGGGCAAGCTTGCTAATTTTTTGGATGAGCAAGAGACCATGCTAGATGGGAAGGCAGAACCAAGACAGTGCCATGTCGTAACTAGATCAGCTCTGGAGTAAGACCGCGCGACTCTTTAAATGCTTTTATTTCTTCTAACTCTGGTTTCCTCGACTTTAAAATAGAAATAATAATCGTGTACACCTCAGAGTTGTGAGAACTAAATGAGATGTTGTCCACAGTGCTTAGACTAGCTTATTCACACGGTGAACACTCTTCAGCACTAGCTGTTATTACCATCACTCATAAATCAGTGCCAGGAAGTAGAAGGAAGACTTTTTTCCCTCCTTCTAAGAAGTTATAATTTTAACAAAACCCCAAGTATCATTGGTTATAAAAAGACTAGTGACTGGAGGTTGACCTCTGTCCTGCAGACCAGGGTCCCTTGGTCATTTTGTGACCTTGTGATATGTGGCCCACATTTTATCCAGTGGAATTGTTTGGGCCTGGCTTACACTGTGCAAGGTTCTCCTCAAAGGCCATACTTCAGAGGCGTCGGTGTACCTGTGGTCTCCGAAGGGATGACACGCAGGACTGACGCGGTGGTGTCTAAGGGACAATGCCCGACTATGTTTCCAGTGATCTTTGTCACCTGTTTAAACAGGCTCTGGCCATGCTTTGCCTAACATGTGTCTCTGGCTAGCAGCTAAATGACTTTATTTAAATTGCACAAGAATCGATTAGCAGCTTTTAAAAATTACTTTTGTCTATTGCATCCTATGGAGCCAAAAGCAGGGAAGAGGGAGTAGACGAGGGGATAGCAGCAAACACGATCCCACTAGGCTGGGGAGACCTTCTCTCCCGTCGGCATTGCGTTAACTCGCCAGCCCATGTGGCCCTCAGTGTTTTCTTACTTGCATAGTCTGCGTGATCACTTTGAAACATTCAACATGGTCTGTCATGTTCGCGAAGTAGAACCAACAATGTTGGTACTGTTTGAATGACAGGAAAATCATTGTGTACCAACCCAGTACTCTATAAAGCCACCTGGGTGGACACCAGGTGGGGAGAGGGGAGGGGAGGGTGTACCTCTGGGTGGAGGCTGGGTGCCCAGAGGGCTGGGGAGAGAGGAAAGGGGGATTTTCTCCTAATGGGAGGGGCACAAAAGGCATGTCAGAAGAGGGGGACTTGGGGGACATGACAGGTCGTTGTTTTCCCACCAGGGCACAGGGTTGGAGGGCCTCAGTGCCACCATCTGCTGACCACTGGGTGGGCCCTTGGCACTGTCAGCACCCCTTCCAACAAAACTGAGGGCGTGCTCCTCTCAACTGCGCCACCCCCTGGCTGCACGTGTCGGGACTGGGGCTCCGCTCCTCGCCCCTTGCGGATCCTTTGCAGCCTGACACCCCAGGGCAGGGGGCAGCACGGAGGGTGGGAGCGTGGAGAGGGGGCTGTTCCCGCTGCCTTCTCTGTTAAAGGTGCCAACAAATATTTGGGGCGTTCTGTCTGGAAATCCCCGAGACAGAGGGGAGCTTTTGTTTGTCGTTTGTTTCGGTGGCAGTGGTGACCGTAGCCTGCCCAGTCTTTGAAGGGCAATGCCAGAGGTGCAGTAAGTCTGGGCAGGGCAGGTCCAGACCGGCACGGCCTGCGTGGGGACCGCCAATCGGGGTCCGTTAGAGAAGACCCGAGTTCCTAATGTCTGGTGTCGGTGTCTCGGTCCCCTTGTGAACACGGTCTGAAAGGTTTCTCCTTCACAGGACTCGGTCCTGAGAGCTTACCTGGACTCATGTCTGCGTTTTCTTCTCCAGGTGCCTGGGCAGACCGCTCGCCGCTGCACGAGGCAGCGAGTCAAGGCCGCCTGCTGGCTCTTCGGACACTGTTGTCACAGGTGACTGTCCGCCCCCCGGGGCTCCGCCACGGGCAGGGCGCGGACCCCCGGAAGGCATCCCTCAAACATAGTAAAACTCTTCAGACATGTTTTTAGATTTTTAACAGCTAGGATATTTTTTTCTTTTCTTTTTGAGACTGGAAGGGGGAGAGGGAGGGGGAGAGAGAGAAAGAAACATCATGTGAGAGAGATGTATCAGTTGGTTGCCTCCCGCACAACCCTGACCAGGGCTGGGATTGAACCTACAACCCAGGTATGTGCCCTTGACCAGGAATCGAACTCAAGACCCTTCAGCTCATAGGCCAGTGCTCTAACCATGGAGCCACACCAGCCAGGGACTGCTTCGTAAGTTTTATTAGTCTTTTTATTTTAACTCACAAAGCAGCCAAGTCTGTGGTTCCTCATTTATCTTTGATATGTCTTTATAAACATTTTGGCATGTAATCTTATATCTTAGCATTTCAGATTTCTCATACAATATACGTGTTTATTGATAGACATTTACGCAAGAAATAATTGGAATTATGTATTATTTATTAGTGGTTTAAATATTCATAACTCTGTACAAGGTGTACAGCTTATTGCAGACTCATTCAGCCTAAGATATCCAAAAAGGGGTACTCCAAGCAGCAGCCCACACCATCTCTTTTCCACTCTGGTGGTCTGAAACGTGTTCCGGGGAGTGGCCTGTGAGAGCCACGGAGCAACCACTTTGATACCTGTCTGCTCATCAGACTCACCAGGGGGAACTTGAAAAACACAGATTCTTTGGTGAAACACAGATTCCTTGTTGCATCTGGCTCAGCCGGTTCTCTTTGACAATTTCCCAGAGTGATTCAGTGTACACCCAGGTCAGGAGGTCACTGCCCTGGCGCTTCCCAGGATCAGAGAGAGAGGCCTTTTCTCCAATGGCCATGAGGGAGGACAGGAAGTGTCGCCCAGGTTGAGGGGTACCGCCCTGGGGCTGGGGACCTGGAGGCCAGGCGGGCATTGGAGGTGAATCCCATCCGGAGTCCCATTGTCTCATCTGCACACGGAAGATTTAGGAATAGATGCCCCCTGATGCCAACCACATCTCTGATAACCATGTGACTATTTTGTTTGCCCATCAAGTGATGGGAAAAAAATCTGCAAAAACGTCATTAATGTCCAAAGGGTAACCCCCTGAAAGGGTCATATAGTTCTTTGAGAGGCGAGCAGTCTCAGGATATTTCATATCATCGATGTCATTTCCACCAACAGGCCAGCTAGGAAACATCAGAGACTGCCCCGAAGTCCTGTACGAAAAGGAACCTCTACCTTCCAGATGCGTCCATCGTCTGGTCCCTCTAGCACGTGGCAGTCAGAGATTAGTTCTCCAAAGAACTCTTTGAAAGGATTATTTAAGGGATCTTGAAAATTGCCTCTTGCTAGTGACACACATTTAGGAAGATTACTTTCTCGCCTTCCTCTAAACAGTTGTTATGTTCGGCAGGCATTAGAGACCATGGCAGTCTGTAATATGTTCCGGGGTTCTGGCCCTGAAAATCTCGTTATAGTGTGATGGTCAGCAGACAACGAATTGCCAGCAACAGCAGGAAGGCAAAGAATCGCAGGTCCTGATAATGTTTCGTTATTTAAGTCTGATATCATTAGTTTAATTGGGATAAAATCTTCAACATGTTTAGTTTTGATTGAATAATCAAATCAAATCAAACCTGGCCTATATCCTGGGCACTGTAACAACTGCTCTCTATGGGCCATCTCATGTAATCTTCACGATAATGTACTCATCCAAATTAAATCAATTGCTATTTACAGAGCAAGGCTTCCAAGCCAAGTCTGACTAGTCTGAGCTTTTCACCCCCAGCATCACCCCCAGCAAGTGATGCAGCCTATAAAGAGTCTTTAGTTCTAAAAAACAAAATAAAACAAACAAACAAAATAATAACAGCCCTAACAATTCTTAAAGAGAAAAAAAAACAAAAACATTAAGCAACATTTTTTTTTTTTTATCCTCACCCGAGGATAAAAAATTTTTCCATTTTTTGTTCAGATAGAGTGGGAGGGAGAGAGAGGAAGAGAGAGAGAGAAACATCGATGTGAAGGGACACATCGAGTGGCTGCCACCCGCACGACCAACCAGGGCTGGGGACAAACTGCAACCGAGGTACGTGCCCTTAGCGGGAACCGAACCCGGGTCTCGCTGTACCGCAGGCTGACGCTCCAACCGCTGAGCCAAACTGGCCAGGGCACATTAAGCAACATTTAAATAATACTTTCAAAATCTATCGAGCAAAATATTTAAAGCAGTACTGGGTTTGGATAGGACGCTCTGATAATGCCTGGCGCAGGTGTCCTGACCACTGATTGACTCCCTGGCATTCAACCTGGCCCTTCGTGCTGGACAAACCGGAGCTGCAAGAGATTCCTCGATTTTTCATATCACTCTCTAGTGACAATTGTAGAGATGAGCTGACAGAACCATTTGCTCACCTTTTAAAATTGTTCATGTCTCATTTAGGGTTACAGAGTAACTGCAGTAACCATAGACCATGTCACCCCGTTGCACGAAGCCTGTCTTGGCGACCATGTGGCGTGTGCCCGGACTCTTCTGGAAGCTGGAGCCAATGTAAGTCCCGGTTAAATGTCCACATCTACTGAGAACGCAAATCAAGCAAAGTTCTCATTTTGCCTGCCTTTGCTGCTTAGTAGTTTTCAAAGATAGCAGAACAAAAAGAAAATCGCAAATTGCCCCAGCCTGTTCTCATTTGCCCTTGAAGAAGAACATCTAATCATTGCAAAAAAGGGGGTAGGTAGCATGCTACCTAATACGGGTTGGATTCTGCTTCCCTGATTCTAAATAACAATAGCTGAACATCTTTTTTTGTGTGTGGTACATGCCCCTAGCAGGAAGAACCCGGGTCTCTCCGCACCGCAGGCCGACGCTCCAACCACTGAGCAAAACCGGCCAGGACTAGAATTGCCCATTTATTTATTTATTTAATCCTCACCCGAGGACATTTTTCCATTTTTTGTTCAGATAGAGTGGGAGGGAGGGAGAGAGAGAGCGAGAGAAACATGGATGTGAAAGGGACACATCGAGTGGCTGCCACCCACACGACCCAACCAGGGCCGGGGACAAACTGCAACCGAGGTACGTGCCCTTGGCGGAACCGAACCCGGGTCTCTCCGGACCGCAGGCCAACGCTCCAACCGCGGAGCCAAAGGGCCAGGGCTAGAATTGCCCTTTTAAACGGCCACCGGCCAAGTGGCTTCTGGGCAACTTCCCTGGACCTTGTCCCTGGGGGAAACGTACCTCCCGCTGAATTCCCTCCGAGCGTTGGGTCCCCAGCACGTCTTTTTCACGGTGTGGACTCAGTGAACATCCCTCCCACGAGTGACCTGCCGCGCGGTGTCTGCAGCGCACGCCGCGCACTTTCCCTGCCCCACGGGTCCGAGCCACGTGTGCCTTGTCGTCCCCGTTCCCACCGCACCCTCCCCGGTTCCTCCCGGAGCCAGCGCATCGCCCGAGCGCCGCTCACCCGCTTCTGTCGCAGGTGAACGCGCTCACCATCGACGGCGTGAGCCCGCTGTTCAACGCCTGCTCGAGGGGCAGCACCAGCTGCACGGAGCTGCTCCTGGAGTACGGGGCGCGGCCGCAGCTGGAGGCCTGCCTCCCTTCCCCCACCCACGAGGCCGCCAGCAAAGGTAAGGGTTCCGGGGTGCGGCCGCAAGGGCCGGGGTCCCTGCAGCGACGCGCGGGCAGAGGTCTCTGGGGGACGCGCCTTGGGGAGAGTAACCTGGGCTCTGCTGTGCCCGCAGGTCACCATGAATGTCTAGAAACACTGATATCCTGGGGCATCGATGTGGACCAGGACATCCCTCACCTGGGGACTCCGCTGTACGTGGCCTGCGTGTCACAGCAATTCCACTGCATCCGAAAGCTTCTCTACGCTGGTAATGTCGCTGAAACTTCCTTCCCACCAGCACCCACGCGCAATTGTGCTGCTCTCCAATATTCCTTTTCCTTTAAAAAAATTATTGATTGATTTTAGAGGGAGAAGAAGGGAGAGAAACGAGGGGAGAGAGAGAGAGAGAGAGAGAGAGAGAGAGAGAGAGATTTGAGGCTCCACTTCTTCGTTCATTCACTGGTTGGTTCTGCAGCTGCCCTGACCAGGGACCAGACCCGCAGCCTCTATGGGGAGGACACTCTAAGCACTGAGCTACCCGACCAGGGCTCCGCCTCGTTCTCTACATAAGCTTCTTTAAAAATTATCTCTCAGTGCAGCCCTGGCCGGTTTGGCTCAGCGGTTAGAGTGTCGGCCTGCGGTCCTGAGAGACCCGGGTTCGGTTCCCGCTAAGGGCATGTACCTCGGTTGCAGTTTGTCCCCAGCCCTGGTCGGTTGTGTGGGTGGCAGCCACTCGATGTGTCCCTTTCACATCGATGTTTCTCTCTCTCTCTCTGTTCCTCTCTCTCCCTCCCACTCTACCTGAACAAAAAAAAAAAGGAAAAATGTCCTCGGGGGAGGATTAAAAAAATATATATATATCTCTCTCTCAGTGCTAAAATGTTCTTATTCGAAGCATTCTCACACCAGTATGTAATCTGTAAAAAAGGACCTCATTCTTGGTATCTCCACTTCACCTCCAAACTCCCAACCCCCTACTTACAAAGGTCATAACATTAAGGGTGGGTGTAATGTTGCCAAATGTGGATACATCTGGGAAGAAAACCACCAGAGGCAATTTTAGGGACAGTAACCGCTTCAGTGACTGTACCCTCCACCAACCAAAACTCACATTCCCAGACGTCATTTCTGTCCCCCTTACCTGAAGAGCCGGGATGCCTTAGCCCACTTCCTTGAAACAAACAGTCCTTCAAGGTCAGCTCTAGCCCCTGAGAAAGTCCTCCCCACCTTTGAGATCAGAGCGGTCTCTCCCACTCCAGGGCTGGGAGCTTCGTTAGGTTATGGATTCTTTTTCTCCATCATCTCTTTCTTCCAACACAGTGCCTCTCACCTGATAGGTGCTCAAAATACACTCAAAATGAGTAAACATGTTTCTGTGCCTTCTATTGTTTATGACAATCGTTAGGCCTCTGATACGCGGGACATACCTTCAGCAACCCTTCATGTTACAATACTTAGCTACATTGTGAATTTCTGCAAGCTGTCTCCTTCTATTTCACTCCCTTTACCAGACTCTCAAATGTGAGTTCTGCTAATAATTGTTGGCATATTGTTATTTTCTGCCTATGTTCTCCCATCAATTTATATAACCGGAAGAGTGTGTTCTTTATCATTTTGTTGTTGTTGTTGTTACTTTGCTAGGAATATTTTCTTTCCAGTGAATACTTGCTGCTGGGTAGAGGAATACTGCGAAGTGCTGTTAGTAATGGAATGTGCTATCATTCTCAGGCTCTGTTCTCTCCTAAAACTGATACAACCAGCAGGCTCTGCTCTCTCTATGGGGAGTTTGTCATGGGAGGTAATTTTTCCACTGAACATTTTATAGTAGGTTAAAATTTTGAAAACGATTAATTGAAACTTGAAAGTAGAAGGAGGGCCATAAAGGGGCTCGTAGAACGTTGCTTCTTATAAACATGCGTTTGACAGACAGGATCAGAAAACAGAGTTGAAAGGATGAATGCGTTTTTATCGATAGACATTTCTCGGTTGCAACCATTTACATTCTGGAAATGGGCTTCTTCTTCTTCACAGTATTAAGTAGCATTCGTTCATACCCGCACACTCGGTGACCACCACGTGCCAGGGCCAGGGCTGGTACTAAGATAAAAGGCTGTGCAGTAGGTGATTTAACATGTAAGGTATTTTTAAATGTAAGCATTTCTTTAAAACTTACTTTGCGTGCAGAAATAGAATGTGCCTTTCTACTTAAGAGGCTCAGCGCCTTCGTGTAGTTATCGACCTAAATGACAGAGTGAGAAGTGACAGGAAAATCTATACACATTTTCCCCAAAGAGCTCACATCTCTAGACTCATGAGTTTCCCAAGAAACAAAAGAGCTCCCTTGCCTTACAATACACGAAAGGAGGGAAAGCAGCAAGCTCTGGAATAATCCTAAGAGCTGTCAATCATGATGAAAATAGATGAGTCGACCTAATTGCGCACTGTTTATAATACATATAATAGCTGATATGATTAATGTTGGAAATGTTTAACATTAAAAAAATTTTATTAGGTGATATTCTAAGCATACAGAAAAATATTATAAAATATAACAAATATGTGCATTTTTCCATCCATATGTACCAAGTTTTAAGATAATGTATACATACGTATATGTGCGTGTACATGTATACATATATGCATATGCATATGTATATGTATATACAAGGTGCTCACTGCAGACAGAGCTGAGGTCCCCTTTCTTACACACCTTCCTCCCTACACTGAGGTGACTCACAACAATTTTTGTCTGTATCCATCCCCATCCCATATTCCGTGTAGGCGCCGATGTGCAGAAAGGCAAATACTGGGACACACCCTTACACGCTGCTGCCCAACAGCCCAGCACGGAAATTGTCAGCTTGCTGCTAGAGTTCGGGGCGGACACCAACGCCAAGAACACAGAGCTCCTGCGGCCTGTGGACGTGGCCGCGTCCAGCAGTCTGGTGGAGAGGTTGTTGCTGCAACGTGAAGGTGAGAGGGACGTGTTCAAGCCTCAAACGTGGATTCGCCGGAAGTAGGGGAAACTCAGAGACCTTCTGAGGGCATGCAAAATAATTATGGCATAAGATCTGGAATTTTTTTTTTTTTTCGAGAGTAAATACTTTTTAACTTAGGTTCTATCTATGAGAAAAACATAATCACAATTATCTTAATTTTTTATTTTTATTTTTTTTATTGATTAATTTTTGTTATAGATGATTCTCCTTTTTTCCCCCACTGATTCCCCCTCCCCCTCCCCTCCCTGCCCCTTCCCCAGATTGTTGTCCATGTCCACTGTTCATGCATACATGCGTATAAGTTCTGTGGTAAATATATTTTTTCTTTATTGATTTAAGAGAGAGAAGAAGGGAGAGGGAGAGAGAGAGAGAGAAACATCAATGAGAGAGAACATCGACTGGCTGCCTCCTGCATGCCCCCCACTGGGGATCAGGCCCACAGCCTGGGCATGTGCCCTGACTGGGAATCAAACCGGTAACCTCTTGGTGCAGGGGTCAACACTCTGCCACTGAGCCACACCGGCCGGGTTTAATTTTCTTTTATCATCTCACTCAACTTTGTATTCCTTTGGTTAAGTTAAATTCAGTTTTTGACAATACGTAATGTGCAGTTCTGTTTACTATATGCAAATAAATACTGAGAAACATACCCCCTTTTTATAGGTTAGGCACCTTCCGTGACGTGTGATAGAAACGTAATCAGGAAATATTTTTACACTTAAGATTTTTGTTGTAAAACAGAGTTTCTCAGGTCTGGTCAGACACAACAATTAAATTAACTTTGGCTTAAATAATAAATCAAATTTGAGGGAAAAGAAATCAAGACTTTCCTCCTATAGCCCATGATACTTCTTTGATTTCTAGCTCCTTCCATTTTAATAAGGTTTTATAATGTGTTAGTGCTTAGATGATTCCCTGCTATGGTGGTCAGCCCACCCTAGTTCGTTGCCAAGCACTGTGGACTTTTCTGGTTTTATGTAATGCATCTTGCAACCTATGAAAATCCACTTTTCAATTTTAATTGACACCCACTTCCTTGTGTTGTGCAGTCACCCCAAGCTCCCTTTACCAGCTCTGCCGACTCTGCATCCGAAAGCGCCTCGGAAGACACCGGCTGCACCTCATCCCCCAGCTCCAGCTGCCCACCTTACTGCAGAATTTCTTACAGTACCGATAAAGCAGTGCAATCAGTCTCAGTGTTCAGAACACCCAAAGTGTCCACTTCATCTGCGTAGTGCATATTTCATATTAAAATATGCCAAAGGTAGGGTGTAAGTGAGTCTGACAACACCCAGTGAGAGATCAGTTTCACTTCTGTGTATACGAGTGGGTACTACTGTTTCATGCATTGTTGCTGTTTTTGGACATAGTATATTTAAAATAACTATATATCGTTATTTCCCAGATCCCCTTTTGTTGATTTAGGAAACAAAGCAGCCATTCTCCATTTTATGTGTTTTAGAGTGTAAAGGAAAGATGTGAACTCGAATGAGAATTATTCATATATTGTATTTTGAAAGGTCCGTATTCTTCCAATAATGCGTTAACCTTTCAGTGTGGGTCATTGTAATTGATTCTGATTTGTGTTGGGTACAAAGTTTGCGTGTGGTTTAGAAAAGGGCAGCTACTCTCCGTTCTGAAGTCGAGAAAACTCAGGAAACCGCAGAGTGATCGCTTCCTAGAGCAAAGGCAGGTGACCCTGTCCTCGCGGAGATGTCACCGACACCCCTCCGCCGTCAGTGGCCCTGGTCCAGAAATGGAAGGACCGAAGTTGCCACCACTGCCCTCCCACCCTGCGCTGTGAGGACCTTGAGAACCTGCGGAGGCTATTTTAAGACTTCCTGCTGCCCCAGGGTGCCTCCGAAGGTCTCCACTGTTCTACACATCGCTCCGGCCGTCTCCCATTTCAGAAGCTGTCAGCAGCTGGTGATACCTGGACTGAGGAATACGGACTTCATATCTGCTTGATCAAGAAACCCTGGTCACACCTCGGGAATCAGGGCAGTCCAAGGCTGTAGACAATGGAAGATCAAAAACTTAAATTGTGGAGGCACCACATAGCAAATTTAGGGACCTTAAAAATGTACCCTACGTATAGACATGAATAGTGGTGTTTCTCGTCCTTCTTACTCAAGGCAAGGGTTTGGCGCACACTGTATTGGCAAGGGAGTGCTGATCAAAGAAGGTATTCCTAAAATCGTGTCCTCTGCAGGGGTTAATACTGTGTCTGTTCTCCTGCCTAACCATGCTTGACTGCAATTTACAACACAATAAAACCACTTTAACCCCCCTTTGTAAATTAGCCCAGATTTTAGTCTATTATGAATTTAAAATGAGATGATCAAGACACTTACCACACTGTGTAAAGTAGAAGAAAATATTTTGATGAGTTTTTGAAATTTTGATAAAATAATATGACTACTATTTTAACAACTCAGAGGCCTATTTTCCTTTCTTAGTTCTTGACTGACTTCCAGAGACCCATGGGAAATAAACCATTATTGTACGTAATTCCAAAGTCACTAAGATTGCATTTTAAAAAAAATCATTTGTTTAGATTTTCAAAAACAGAGAAGGCTGCTGCATGTTTGTTGAAATGATTCCTACGTGGCTAGAGACTTAAATGCATCTGTTTTACTGAAATGTCTCTAAAAAAATGTGCAATGTCTGCATAAATGATTTTGATTGTAGAGTAACTTCCTTAAATATTATTAGTATTAAAACTGCTTTTTTTTTTTCTTTATTGATTTTAGAGAGAGAGGAAGGGAGAGGGAGAGAGAGATGGAAACATCCATGAGCAAGAACATTGATTGGCTGCCTCCTGCATGCCCCCCATTGGGCAATCCGGCCATGTGCCCTGACCGGGAATCAAACCAGTGACCTCTTGGTTCATGGGTCTATACTCAGCCACTGAGCCACGCCAGCCTGGCAAAACTGCTTTTTATTTAAAAAAAAAGATTTCTTCTCTATTTTTCCTGAGCGAGAGGTCTTCTTAGAGTGTGGGAGTAGTGCACACATCCATCTTCATGAGCCCTGTGCCACTAGGAGAGTGAAAATCAAGTATTAGCACAAACATCGGCCTTTAAAGTCTTAGAATGCTGGTACCTCGTATCTTCGCTTGAGTGTGACTGTCTTCTCAAAGACCTGTTCTAATTTACATATAGCATATGTCTGTGAATGTATTAAAGTGTGATGATCATCCCTGGAATAAAACCCTTTCTTTTTTCTGTTCCAATTGGTATGTGATTTTGTCGTGGAAGGTTCTGGAGAATGTGGCTTAGGGGCATGGAGAGCGATGCACCGTGATGGAGAGTGGTCCCTCCGTGACGAGAGCAGGACAGATGCCGTCTGGCAGACACCTGGGGGCGCGGGCTTGGGCGGAACGGGGGGTTTGGACTCACAGGCTCGCAGCCAGCAGGAGCACCCTGCGGTGGGCACAGCCCGAGGCCGGCAGCCCGCAGTAGGGCAGGTGCACTTGGCATTCAGGACACGGTAGGGTTGGCATCTCCAGGCAGCATGAGGGCCGATGTTCACTTAAATTCTCTCTACGGCCCAGGAGGAAGTTACACACACACACGCACACGCACACGCACACGCACACTGCACCCAAGGACAAACTAATTCTCAGGGACAGTTGTACCATTCAAACATGTAACATGGAAAAGAAATATTGTCCTCAGTGGACCATTTCTGAGGCCTCTCTCCCACGGGGAAGTGAGCACCTCGCGCTGTCAGGTTGAAAGGACGATGCAGGCCCCTGGCCCTGCCTGGCCCCGACGTGTTGCCTCAGGCGGGCAATTACTCCCCTGAGCAAGGGCCTCTTGGAACCCTCAGCCAAATGGCCTCAGGCGGGGGAATGGAAGGCCGTAATTTTATACTTTGTTACATTCTCCTTAGAAAAAGCAATGAAAAGTACTGCAAAGAATCTCACCGAATCCCCTATTGAGTTGTGTTCGAGGAGGGGCAATTACATGACCAGCCCGCCCAGGCGGGCTTATTTCAGTAACAACGGTGGCCCTTGTCCAGGTCCCACACAGAGGGCCCCATGCGTGGCTAACGGTTGCTGTCGTCATCTGCAGTTCTTATGTTTTGAACAATATGCCCACATTTTCATTTTGCTTCGTGCCCTGCAAATTACCTACCTGGTCTGGTTCTGCTGTGATTCTGTTAACTCGCCAGTAAATACCACCCTTGGGGGGGGGGCTCTTCCTCTCCGGGCCAGTCGGATGGAACTTTCTCTCCGCTCTGTTCCGGGACGTAAAAGAGCCGGAGGGAGAAGACGCCATCACGAGGCAAAGGCAGGGTGAGCTCGCTTGTTGGGAGGGAGTGCGACCCCCTCGGTCCTCCTGTGCGAAGTCACCTGCAAGGAACCACATCCCACTGGATTAAGTAGATTGTTTGCGAAGTGTCCCCAGTAATTCCACTGTCACGCCCCTTGTCAACGAGACTTCCCCAAAGAGCGGGAGACTATTTCCACAACCTTTGGATTTGGACTGCTCCTGTTCCTTTTTTGTTTTGTTTTTAATCCTCACCTGAGGATATTTTTCCATTTATCTTCAGATAGAGTGGGAGGGAGGTAGAGAGAGAGAGAAACACCGACGTGAAAGGGACACATCGCCTGGTTGCCTCCCGCACGACCCCGACCAGGGCCGGGATGAACCTCAACCGAGGTACATGCCCTCGGCCAGAATTGAACCATAAACTCATTGGTCTGCAGGCAAACACTCTAACCAGTGAGCAAAACTGGCCAGGGCTGGACTGGTCCTGTTTCTTGTTGTGACTAAAAACATGCTGGAAGAGACGTTGGGTTACTTTTGAATGCAGGTCTCTGGAAACCTTGTACCTTCTCCTTCCGTCCTCTTGGCAGCCTGGGCCCACCTGTGCAGGAGCCCGGGTCCACCTGTGCAGGATCCCGGGTCCACCTGTGCAGGAGCCCGAGTCCACCTGTGCAGGATCCCGGGTCCACCTGTGCAGGAGCCCGAGTCCACCTATGCAGGAGCCCAGGTCCACCTGTGCAGGAGCCCAGTCCACCTGTGCGGGAGCCCCAGTTCACCTGTGCAGTGTCCCCAGTTCACCTGTGCGGCAGCCCGGGCTGGCCTCCAGCTGTCAAGTGTGTGAGCAAGGCTGTTGTAGCCCCTCAGCTCGCTGGGTGACTCCAGGCAGGAGGAGCCCACTGAGCCCAGCCCAATGCTGGCTACCTCAGTGCGAGAACATAAATGATTGTTAGCAAACTGAGCAGCGCAGTCTGGGGAGGGCGTAGTGACACAGCAGTGGATGATGACAAGAGGTACTTTCTCACCGGGCGTTAGGAGCACACCCCACTCTCTTCTCAGCCCCTGCTTCCCCTTGGGGGGACTCTGCAGTTGTTGGGGACACCTGTGTCCCCACTGGTGATGCGGACCTGAGGGAGGTGTGCTGTCCCCTCACCAGCAGGAGCTGCCTTCAGTCTAACACCTTCCTTCTTCCTGACACAGAAGGTCCCACTTCAGAGTTCACCAGAAGAAAATGACGAGGGGAAGAAATGTGGTTACTGACAGATAAGATCTTTGAGACCACCTCATTCCCAGAATCCTCCAACTGAGTCATGGTTGCATTTGCAAGGAAAAGCCACTGGAAATATTTCTTCTCTGATGTGTACAGGCACAGCCCATCAAATGGGATCAGACCCTTCCAAGAAGTAGTTTCCCATCACAGCACAGAGGACAGCGCCAGCTACGAGTCCACGTGCTGTGCTCCCCTGCCTTGCTGGGTCTCCCGCGCAGGCAGGGTGACAGGGCAATGCGCCATGAGCAGAAGTGACGCATGTCACTCGCGGGCTGGGCGACTTCTGCTCACTCCCTTTGCTGCAGCAGTGTCGTGGGGCAGTCTGACCCTGCCTGGATCCCTGCACGTGGAAACCACCCCGCCCCACTGACCCACTGACCCACTGACCCACAGCACACATGAAATGTCAGCAACAAAATAAACATGTGACGTGTTAAGCCAGGAGAGTTTTGAGTTGGTGTGCCTAGCAGTAATCATGTGTCTAATACATTGATTTTCATATGTAAAATCAATCAGAGGAAGATCCAAGGGCCTCACATTTGCCAGTCACTGTAGCCATTTGGTTCATTTCTATACAAACTCACAGTGTATAGTTAGAACAGTTTCATTTTAAGTCTGTGTGTGTTTATGGAGGGTGAACGGTTTCTGTTTCTATCGGTGTTTTCATTTGTTAAGTGGTGACGATGGCTCATTATCGTTATTATCAATTGTCACTGAGTTGATCACGGGCTGTAATTGCAATGACAGGGATGGACATGATCCGGTTTCATCGCTACAGATGGAGACACAAAATAGCCGAACATGTTCGAATACACCTCTGAGCACAGTGCATGGGCCTGGATGGCGGCGGTGAATCACCGAGGGGGTAACCACCGAGACGCGCCGCTTCAGGATGACGTGAGGCTCGTTGGCATCTGGGATATGAAAATATTTGAGTACATGGTGCTATCATCTTGCAGTCACTTAAGAAGTTGATCCTGACATTATAAAATATAAAATATTTAAATAGTAACTTAGGTAGGAGATGTGTTCTTAAGTTTATAGTTCTTGTTTAAGTACAAACATTTCCAATTCACGTTCAGTTTACTGTGTTCTCAGGGCTGTGCCGTTCAGCTTAGAAAGGTTATCAGGAGGCAGTGTAAGGGGGGGAAGTTATTTCTGCATCACCAGCACCTGACAGATGGGACCATACTCTTTCCATATCACTACCTTTAAAAATCCACAGTCCAGTGGCAGTTATGAAATAACATGTAGAACTAGGGTGAGACTCCCAGAAGTTCAGTTAAAACATTTTTTTCTTTATTGATTTGAGAGAGAGAGGAAGGGAGAGGGAGAGAGAGAGATAGAAACATGGATGAGAGAGAACATGGATTGGCTGCCTCCTACATGCCCCCCACTGGGGATCAGGCCCACAACCTGGGCATGTGTCCTGACCGGGAATCAAACCAGTGACCTCTTGGTGCATGGGTCAACGCTCAACCACTGAGCCACACCCGCCAGAAAATTAACGTTATGGCATAGAACAAAGTAACCTTTTAATAAACAATCACATAGAAGCCTCAAGTTTGTAAGAAATTTGATTCATGTACTATTGATTTATAGATCATAAATTGAGACATAAAATAGTCCTATCAAAATTCAATGAGTATTTACAATTTATAAAAATCCTGCATTCTGATATCTCGGTGAATATTGAAAGAAAATAGCAGAAATCGTGACAAGCATCAGGCTTACATATTAAAAGAAATGTGCAGCCCTGGCCGGTTTGGCTCAGCGGTTAGAGCGTCGGTCTGTGGTCCAGAGAGACCCGGGTTTGGTTCCCGCTAAGGGCGCGTACCTCGGTTGCAGTTTGTCCCCGGCCCTGGTCGGTTGTGCGGGTGGCAGCCACTCGATGTGTCCCTTTCACGTCGATGTTTCTTCTCTCTCTCCCCCTCCCGCTCTATCTGAACAAAAAAAATGAAAAAATATCCTCAGGTGAGGATAAAAAAAAGAAATGTGCAAACTTTATTCCATATTTTATCAATCCCTTGTTTTATATATTCTTTCCCATCTTTTGAAATAGTGGGATCTTGGAAGAATCCAACAATTAGTACTTCTCCTTGCTCAGATTCGGTCCAAGTTGAAAATCAGATAAAGGTCTGTTCATGGGGGCCAGATATCCCGCAGGGTGGGCATGGTCTAAACTGGAGGCGGCGGCCCGGCCGAGGCACAACCCACGGTCACATAACTAACATGTGAGCTGTCTGCATTTCCCCCGAAAGCCCGCTCGGACCTTCAACACGACCCTCAGCTTTCTTCATGCAGTGTGACCTTGCAGCTTCCCAGCCAGGCGGCTGCAGACGAGCGAGCCCACGCAGTGAGAAAGTGGAAGCTTCCAGGGACCAGGCACCGTAGAAAACAGCTGCTGAGCCCGGCCGGCGAGGCTCAGGGGTTGAGCGTCGACCCTGCGCCAAGAGGTCGCTGGTTGGAGTCCCGGTCAGGGCACATGCCCAGGTTGTGGGCCCGGTCCCCAGTGGGGGGCATGTTCTCTCTCATCGATGTTTCTATCTCCCTCTCCCTCTCCCTTCCTCTCTCTAAAAATCAATAAAGAAAAAAACTAAAAGCAAAACAAAACAGAAACCCAGCCGCTGAGAGCCGGCTTCTCACACTTGCGGCTGGAAGGCTCCTGGGTGGGAAGTTTGCTTCCCACTCAGCAAACGTTCACATCAAGTGAAGCGGTGCGCGTTCTTTGACAGGTGACAGGTCGGTAACAAGCACTGGCCCTGATGGCTGTTTGGCTGGTGCGGAAGTGGAAGGACCTTAGGGGATGGCCATGGACTATCGTCGGCTCAGTCGGGAGGTCACTCCACTTCAGCTGCTTTTGCGTTGGAAGTATCGTTACTGGAACGAATCGCACAGTCCCCGGCCATGGTTGCTGAGCTATTGATCTGGAAAGCACTGTCCCCTGATGTGTCAACCTGCAAGCCACCAGAGCAGTTTGCTTGGACCCATGGGACCAGCACCGCACTGCCACGATCTTGCTCAGGTCAAACCCGTTCTTCCGGCTCCGCCACAAGATCAGTGAGGCCTTGGAGCGTCCTAACCCCACAGAACGCCGTGCGGTCCGCTCCGTCCGCGACATCATGCTGACTGGGCCTGATGAACAGGGAATAATAGCAAGTTCCTTAGATCCCCAAGCGAGATGTACATGAGTCGTGGTGGAGGACACGGACTCCTAGAAACTCATTTCTTTAATATGACCTGCTGGCCTTGCTTTCCCCCTGATTCCAAGACCTCGTCCAGCACCCTGAGTCGCCGGCCCCCTTCTCCCTTGCACGTCTCCTCAGGACAATGAGGTTCTGGTCACCACCAAAGAATCTCAGGAACGGAATCTCGGGTCTGTTGGCCACAGAGACAGAGTTTCGGTCCAACTAGAGATGACATCTGGGCTTCACCTGTGCTTCCGCTCCAGGCCCAGAAAAGCGGTGAAACCAGACAAGGTGACGCCGTGGCAGGCTCAGGACCAGATGCAGTGACAGTGAACCCTCAGCAGAGACCAGACCCTGACCACCACCCTAACTCTGTCACTGTGATTAATGATTTCCCCCAGGTAACCCATCCCCTGGAGGCCATCGGGGAACCAGGTGTTCACAGTTAGCTGGCCTGTGTCTCTGGGCCTGGGCTGCTTCTTAAAAATAAACACTTACCTTTTTTTGTGGCAAAATCTTGCTCATGTTTTGCGGGGCTTTGGTGCACAGACAAACGGACCTCTTTCATCAGGTAACGAAACTGCACTCCAGGTACGAAGGTGTACCACTCAACATCCAATTCAAGATGTTCGGAGGTGAAAGTGGTTCAACAGACCCTGGGAAAACAAACAAGCCCAAAGGGAGCATCACGGTCACAGAGACGGGTGATTCAGACAGCCGCTGTCACCCCTGGAGCTGGAGGGCAAAGGGAGAAAGCTGGGGTCCTAGGAGCTAACGCGGAGGCAAAGCCCTACAGATGGACTCGAAGGGGCTGCTCCTTCCTGAGCTCGGAGAAGCCTCCTGGAGTCAAATCCGGGCCTTGGATTCTGAGGGTCGCTTCTCAGTGGCCACGGGACCTCTGAGCGAGGATGATGAACCCTGCTCCGGAAGCAATGAAGCAGCTGGGAACAGGGCCGGGCTGCCTCCCCCAGGCTGAGCTGCAGCGGGTGGCCCTCGGCCCATCCTCTCTCCTCCTGTCTCTCTCTAGCGCCCCCTGTGGTCAGACTTGGACCTAACGCTTAGCAAAGGAGAAACCAAGTTGCAGAATTCCACCTCCACAGGGCAGACAGCAGAAGGGTGTGCTGGAAACAGAGGCGTGCTTGCTTAACAACTGGTTGTTGTTGCAGGAAAACTCTAACTCCTTAAGACTGTTCTCAACGGAGCCCCAGCCTATAGCCCTAATCCGCCACTCTACATTGCCCCCTAAATCTTGGGTTAGTCTCAGATGAAGCCTAAACGGCTTCTCCAACCCCAATGGGTTGTTATTCCCCAGGAGTCATACCAAATTCTCACGTCAGAAACCCTATCGCCTATGTTTTTGCTCACGTTAGCCGTTCTGCATGGAATCGTCCCCTCCCTCCTCACCCCACAGCTCCCCGTGATCCTCTAAACAGTGTCTATATTTGCGGAGCCCTTGCTGTGTGCTGCACACTTCTAGGCTCTGTGCGTATTTAACGTGTTTATTTCATGTCAACACCGCCCTGGGAGGCATATTCTACTGGCTTTCATCTCTTACAAATAAAGATGGTTGAACAACCTGCCCAAAGCCACATAATTAATCAAAGGCAGGGCTGGTCCTCCCGCGTCTTCACCGATTCCAGATACTACCTTCTAAGGTCCAAATCCACGGTCACCTCTGAGAGGACTCCTGGAGCCCCTCAGGCCAAATTACTTGCTTCCTCCCTGATACTAATACATGTTTACCATGGCGGAGCTGCTCAGGGTACGTGCTCCTTTTCTAGATGATTATATCTGTGCACCTGCTGTAAGTGGTCTAGGGCACAGCTGTCCAAGAGAGCTTCCTGCGATGATAGTACTGCATCTTTTTATCTAAACGTAACCCTGAACAGCCACGTGTGGCTAGTGACTGCCATGGTGGACAGAGAAGATACAGTGAGTGGCACCACACAAGAAGTCCACTGAATAAATGAGCCGTTCCTGAGAACTTCACTGGGCAAAGAGCAAGCACCCGAATAGCACCATTTTCGTCTTTCTTTTTAAGCCTACACAGACTCACATCGGTTTTCATTGTTAATAAACATTTAATGAATAAACATTCAACCACATACTATATAGCACCAATACAAAGACCTATTTGTATTTCGTCGAAGAACGAGCAGCCTAAGAAAGTCTTAGAAGAGCTTATTTGAGCCTAACTGCCTATTGCCAAGAAGGAAAAACCTCCACAGAATGAGAAAATACTCCGGAGAACGGCAGTTTGGCAGTTTGTTTTTTACATTCGACTCCCAGGAGGAGCCATAAGAGGGCTTCGCTGCAATCCCCTGGTGGTAGATCGGGGGGGGCGGGAGAAAGCAAAGCATGGGAACCTCGGGGACTGGATGCAAAGTGAGATGGAGGAATTCTCTCAGTCGGGTGGGGCCAGGCGGTTAACACTCACAGCACATGGAGATGGTGTGTGGGAACAAGATGACGTCAGCATCTCATGCTCTGGCTCGGGCTCGGAAGGGTCTGGGAGAGAAGGGTACTTTGACATTTCAAAGGGATGTTATCTTAGATGCACAAAGACCACAGACAATTTAAAGACTGACGCTGCAGGCCTGGGATGTGACTACCCGACATGACTTGCTTTTCCCTAGGAATCTCTGTGCAGAACACGCGTGTGACTACTTTCGTCTCTGGGTTTGTAGAGCCCACCCTGCAGGCCTCCCTGAACTTGTCAGGGTTAGTCCGTTGCGCCTTCCTCATCCACGCTTTTGCACTGCATAGTAACAGGTAGCTATGCGCCACATTGATCTTTTTCTTTGTTGTAAAAGATCTTTTTGCCCTGGCCGGGTTGGCTCAGCCATTAAGAGTGTCAGCCCGAGGACCAAAGGGTTTCGGGTTCGATTTCCAGCTCCAGTTGGGGGTCTTGCAGGAGGCAACCAATTGATGTGTCTCTCTCACATCGATGTTTCTCTCCCTTACTTCCACTCTATCTAGATAGGTGAGAATTAACAAAAAAATAAATGATTTTTTAAAACTTCGTTGTGTAAATATTTAATTCACAGTTGTCTGCTGCTCTGCGATGAATTTTTTCTCTGTACTGTTCACAGATCAATCCCAAGTGAGAGCCAGAGCCCGGCACAAAGTCGGGACTTGGTGGAGACAGTGGACAAATCAGGCACTTTGGGAAGTGTGAAACTAATTTATAAACCCTTTCCAAGTATCCCGTCATTTCTATGAACACTTCATGTAATAATTCAGAAAACAGCTAGGCTACATTTTGGACATGATTTATTTATTTCAACCTTTAAGATCTTTTTTCACAGGGGAGAAAACCCCATGGGTTCCAATTTCCCAACAAAAACTGTCCTTCACGCCCTCCTTAAAATGCTTGACCCCAAACAGGCCTTCGTGGGGGCTTAGACACCACAATACTACGACGTAAACCTCAAGGGAGCTCTTCATGGGAAGACAAGGAAAACGGCCTGGAAGCCACCCAAGGTCCGAGCTCTGCAGACCAGGTCCACGCCCAGTGGGCACAGGACGCCCGCAGTGAGGCCCCGCCCCCACGGATCCCGCCCGGCCAGGCCCCGCCCCCTGGCGCTGCTATAGAAACCCAGAAAGCCACATGGCAGCCGAAGGCCCCAGAAAAGCGATTTTGAGAGCGCGGGCGGCAGCCCCACCCCAGGCACAGTCACATTCGTCGCAGACATCGGATGCGGTCCCCGGGAGGCCGAAGAAGTGTCTGGTCTACCCGCATCCGCCCAGGAGCTCCCGCCTGTCTCCGTCCGTCCTGCGCTGGCTGCAGGGCCTGGACCTCACCTTCTTCCCCAGAAACATAAACAGGTGGGGGAGAAGCCTGCCAGGGGGACCCTTGCTGCCTCCTCCCTGCAGACCGCCCCGCCCATCACGCACCCACAGACACACCTGTGCCCTTAGGGAGCGGGCCTGAAAGCAATATGATGAAGCCACTCATTCATTCATTCATTCATTCATTCACTCATGAAATTTTAGACTTAAGCTAACATAGAATGCTTTGGTGACTACAAAAAAGTATTAAAATAGTCAAGGTTCTTCAGGGACACAGGACAAGTTACTTGCTGTCGGTACAGAACATTAGATTGGCGTTAACGACAACAAACGGTCTAAGTAACTCCATTTTATTTCGTTTCCTTATTGCTATGGATTAGGGATTTTTCCAATGGCTTCCTGATAGCAGAAATATTCACCATCTATTACCCCTGGGACCTTACATTGTCATCCTTTGAAAATGGAACTTCTTTAAAAGTCAAGCTGGATAACTGGGCCCAGTTGGAAAAGGTAAGTTAGCATCACTGTAACTGTTCAGTTTGTGTTTCAAAAGGCTCCTGACGTCCTGGGTTTCTACACGTGTCTGACGGTGCTAGGAATGAATGCTACCGGCCTGGCAGCCGGTTTCCTTATATTGAAAAGAAGGTTATTAAAGTTTAAGTACTCTCATTTCAAACTGGAGTGGGATATAATGGTTTTCTTGCCAAATAGTATCATTCAATCATTCCCATGTTAAATAGAAAGTTAGTTGAGAGATACAGGGGGGATTAAAGTGAATTCGTAGTAACTGAGCATTTTTATAGAACTTCTTATGACGAAAGTGTTTCCTTTCTACTATCTAAGTTCCTGGCCAAAAGGAAAATTAGATTACCCCAAGAACTAATCTATGGAACGATTCACTGTAAGGCCGGAGTACCCGAAATACTGATACAAGAGATTTACAGCTTGTTAACACACCGAGAGTGAGTAATTCGGAGTTTTCTAGTCGTGCAATTTAATATGATACTTGAAATAATATCAATCTCATTTCTGAAATGTGGCCTGTCAGCAGCATTTTATCTTTTATTTCCAGAATTAAAAGCATCCAGGATGACCCTGTGAACTTCACAGACTATAGTTACCAAATGCAACTGCCGCTGCTTCCCAGGTCTACAGCGTCCAAGTTTATTAAAGATAACATTAGGTCATCGGAAATACAAAGTAATCCCAGCATGCTCAGCAACGAACTTAAAATCGATTTCCTCTTCCTTTTACAAATGTTGCAAAGAAAATTAAGCAGAAAGTTGAATCCAAGTAAGTTTCCCTCGGAAATACTCCACCGCATTCTCCCCAGCTGCACGATGTTTTTCCCGGGCACGGACGAAGCCAGACCGTCTCATTCCTGCAGTCTTCTGTCACTGGCTTAACGGGAAATACTTGTTATGCACGCAGTGGGATGAGTTATTATCGACGGGGTGGTTTATGTCATAATTCATCCTTTTTGATGAACGCATAGGTTAACGGTGTATAGACACATTTCTTTCCAGAAAATCTTTTTAGTGAGTCTGTTCACGTAAAATTTTGTGGGGATTCAGAAGTTCTCATATCAACTCAAGTCTCTAAAGAGGATGGGGATGTTCAAGAGCTCATCAGGGTGTAAATACTTGACCCCTGGGTGCTCTCTATGCTCAGTGGGGTCCTTTCCGTGGTCGCTGTTTAGGTGGCCAGGCAGACAGGGGCAACCTGGTGACTTCCCAGAGAGAGGCAGTACTGACATAATTCTCAAGCACCCAAAGCATTTGCCATCAGAGTCCCAACAGACGGCAAAGTAACAAGCTTTTTGGTTTTGGTTTTTCTAACACAATCAGGACACCACTCACCACTCATGTCTCAGAACCTTATCTCCCCGATTCCAGACACTTAGACGCCTCATCATTACCACGGCTCCCCAGCCATCAGGAATAAGGCAGGTGTAGGGGATTAGGATGTCTCTCTCCTTTGAACCCAAGTTTCTGAAGAACCATCTTGCTCTCTAGTCTCTGGAAGGACAGGAGAGCAGCACCCCGACTCCCTCGCGAATTGTAAGACAGGTGTTTCGGCTTCTGTCCTTTCTTCTGTCTGTTCTTTCATCTCTGGTTATTTTTTTGTTTCTCTTCTTTGGTTTTTACTTATGAATTTGTGACTAGAGAAAGAACTCAGTTTACTCATCTTGTAAAATTTTATATGCATATTTTGGTATGTTTTCAAACATTAAAATACTGCTGTGAAATTGATCGCACATGCATGCACATAATGTCTATGCGTAATTAAGAGACCAATAATAATGCATAGACATTTGTGTGCCCTCTTGTAGTTTAAGAAATAACATGTTGCCAAAACTTCCCATTCTCTTGCGTCCTCCTCGGATAGGGGTCCCGACACTCCCCACGGACAGCAGCCATTGTCCTGCTGCCTGTGTGGATGAGTTCCTTGATTTAAAAAAAAAGAAACAGTTTTTGTATGCATAACATTCATATTAGTCTTAGTTTAATTCATAGACTCTTAACTTTAATTTAGTTGATTTGATCAGTTTTCTAGTCGGCAGACTGCCCCCATTTCCCGTGTCCTACGGCCTGGCACTGTGACTGCGTTACGTGCTGCAGCCAAAGGACCTCCAGAGATGTGACACAGTTGAACTAGAACCAGGGAGTTTCTGCCGGACTGCTCAGGTGGGCGCAGTCACCCGCGTTCTCGCCAGCACTTTCGTCTCTTAGTTAGGAGCCGTCCTAACAGGTGTGTGACAATATCTCACTGTGGTTTTCATTTGCATTTCCCTGATCAGTGATGAACAATGCTGAGCACCTTTTCATACACCTGCTGGCCACTTGTCTGTCTTCTTTCGAGAAATATCCATTCTGGTCCTTTGCCCAATTTTCAGTCAGATTGTTTGTTTTGTTTGCTGTTGAACTGTATGTGTGAGGGGACCCCAGGTGTATTCACCCCCAAACTCGTCAAGCTGTAAACGTATGGTTTATTCATTTTTCTGTATACATATGACTGAATAAACATATCAAAAAACTACCTGGAACACAGAGACATTTCCCTCAGGTAACCTAAAGCACCTGTTTCATGTAGCAGAGGTGAACAATGAGGGAGAGGGCTGGCGACCTGTATTCACACCCCTCTAGGGAATATGAGAAAACAGATGTCTACATAATTTGCTGAGTTACTAAATTAGGATGCTTTATTTCGCCAAGAGCCACAGTGAATTCTTAAGAAAAGATGTTTGGCCCTGGGTGGTTTGGCCCAACAGTAGAGCATCGGCCTGTGGGCCAAAGAATCTCCGGTTCGATTCCGGTCAAGGGCACGTACCTTGGTTGCGGTTCATCCCAGGCCCTGGTCGGGGTCCTGCGGGAGGCAACCAGTCGATGTGTCTCTCTCTCTCTTTCCCTCTCTCTCCCTCCCACTCTATCTGAGGATAAACAGAAAAATATCCCTGGGCGAGGATTAAACAAAAAGAAAACAACACAAAAGCAAGCCGCCTGTGTCTATTTCACAGAAAGGTTCAACGTCAGACCCACCGTGGGCGAACTCACCCTCGATTACCTCCCGGGCCAGGCCTGTCTGCGCAAACCTAAGCCAGCGACGCCGACGCAAAGGGTTGCTCCTGTTCTATGTGAGTGTTTCTTTGTTTCATTCTTCATGTTTTACCTGTTAAGTGGGTTTGTTTGTTTTGCTTTGCTCACTGACATTTTGAAAACTAGTTAAAATGCTGGTCTCGGCCCTCGGTGTACAAGGGTGCAGCGCAGGGGGGGCTGGGCCCTGGCTGGGGCCGGGCCTGTGGTCCCATCCGGAGCTCCCCAGGCCCGGCCAGGCCGCTGCCCCCGCCCCAGGCGCCCTCTGCTGCTCCGCCCCAGCAGGCGGGTGTGAGACGGGAGAGGCCACCTGCAGATTCTGGGAACACAGCCTTTCCTCCAACCTGCTGACCCTCCTCCACCAGGGACGTCTGCGGCGAAGGTCGGCAGGGGGAGCTGGAGCCAGGGTCCTGGGCTGAGGGCGGGCAGGGTGGGATGGGCAGAGGTCTGGGCAGGAGGCTGCGGCGGGGGCCTCCTGCCTCCTTCCCGACGGCGAAGTGGACCTGACTGGTGAGCGAGGGCCTGCCCACTAACTGCTGCTCCTGCAAGGACAGAAGCAGGGATGAGTCACAGTGGGGAGCCCCCTTCCTGTGTAAGAAACCGGTGCAAATCACCATATAAAAAAAGTGACGCCTGCTGACATTTGAATTTCTCATTTCCATTATCTTTTCAGAAAACCTTCAAGGTTCATGCATGCGTTTTCAGAAAAACCGTACGTCATCTTTATTCCCTACCAGGCCTCCGGGAATGGGCTCTTGCTTTGACAATTTTAAGCACGTGTGAACTGCTGGAAAGAAAGAAATGTTCTCGGGGATCTGTGATGACTGCCCCCCTTCCATGGTCGTTCCTCCCTTTCCACAATGGCTGGCGAGCGGCTGAGCAGCTGGGGTCTTCACGGGCAGGGCAGGGCAGGGTAGGGCAGGGCAGGGCAGGGCAGGAGGGAACACACTTATCTTTCCGTTCCTCCCCGCTCTGCTCCAGTACTTGGGATTCTCTGGATCTCGGCTAACAGGAATTCATAGAGGGTGTGAGTCGGGCTCTGGCGATTACGTGGATGAGAGCTGTTTGCTGAGCTTTACACCACGGTTCCCCCAAACTGGTTCAAGGGAATGCATTTCACTTGCTTGGTGGACGAGCGGAGTGATTAGCTCGGGTCAGCTCAGCGGACGTGCAAGTGAGCGGAGGGTGGAGAGGCCAGGCGCCGACTGCAGGCAGACTCCCTACACTCACCATCAGGGTTTGCAGAGGGCACGGTGGGTGGCAAGATTAGTGTTAAGACAGGCTGTTACCCTTTCTTTCTTAAACCTCACCCGAGGATATTTTTCTATTTGTCTTCAGATAGAATGGAAGGGAGGGAAGCAGAGAGAGAGAGAGAGAGAGGGAGAGAAACATTGATGTGTGAGACACATGGATTGGTTGCCTCCTGCATGACCCTGACCAGGGCTAGGGAGGTACGGGCCTTTGTCCGGAGTTGAATCCGAGACTCATTGATCCGCGGGCCGACGCTCTAACTGCTGAGCCAAACAGGCCAGAGCCGATCTTTTCATTTTTTCAAAACACTCACCTTCCTCTTTGGGTTTACTAAAATCTAGCGTTAGCAAGATGGCGGGCCAAGAGAATGTAGATTTCTTCGTTGAGACTGGACCCTCACTTGGGAACGAAGTGACCTAAAGGGCCTGGGCGGCCAGGCCGGATGCCGCAGGGCACAGGGCTCCGGGACCTGGGGCAGGCGCTGTGTGCGCCAGGTCCAAGCTGGCAGGACGGTGGCAGTGCGGCCTCAGCTGCTTTCTGAAGCAACATTTAAAAATAGTCGCGGCACATTCGGATCAGATGTACCAGAATAAGCCCAGGGTATTTTTAGTTGCTGCTGACGGCTTTGGGAGGTGGGTGACATTCAGATCGTTTATTTATGACAACTATAATGCATGCTTTAAACATTCTGTTTACAGGCGTTTAGATCAACCTGTCTCAGCCTGGTGCCAGTCACTAGGCGTATGCTTGACATATCAGCAACACGGATGGTTGCGTAAATATTTAATGACCACACACTGATTTTACTTTTGTTTACTTAAACATTGCAGCAAATATAGGTGACGTTGGCAGTTCAGTTAAAACGATTTATGTGAAGCAGCCTAGAATACCTTCTTTTGAATCTAAGATACAACCGCCACTAACCAGGAAGTAACCTGGAAAAGGACCTAATGGATTTGAAGAGATGCCACCACCTCTTGCTGTGTTAAAGGGATAGAACCGCCTACGCTGGCTCATATTTCAATGATAAGTAAATTAAAGTGGTGTCTTATCCATAATTGGGCTAAGAACATGTTTTTTTCAAATCCATTCAGCAACCATTTATTCAAAATACCTGTGCCATGTACTGTTGAAACTGCAAAGTCAAATTAATTAGTACAGACTGAACAAAAATTATTTTAAAGGTACAGTTACACATAATTCACCATGACGAGTAAGTTATTTCTCATAAATTTGGTAGGAATGGTGAATCTCCTTTGTAATATCTTTCTCGTTAGAAATCAAAAGAGTTACTAGTTTGCCTGATACTATTTATTTCACATCACATTTATAAATAAAATAATTTCTCTGAACGATTACTATACACTGGCCTATAGAAAATCTTGCCCAACTCCATTAAAAACTGTAAACGTTTTTAAAAAATGGGTGTCCTTCCTGTTGATACCAGTTATGGAGAAGAAAAATGTTTTACTTAGAAATTGGTTCTGGTGTTTAGCAATCCATTTAATTCAATTAAAAAATTCCTACTGGTTCTGCCATCCCCCACATTTGTATTGCAAGGAAAAGCAGGTTGCTGTCCTGTGGGGGTGGGGGTTGGAAGATGGATGGTTTTTGACCTTGTGTTAAGCACTCTCCACCTTGAGTTACTGCATTCTCGGAATCCTAGCTGGGGGGCAGAGGGACCTGGCCCAGGTGTACTGGGTGCTTTATTTGCATGTGAATAAGGGTTTGTTATCTTTTGGCCTCCAGGTCTCTTCCTGTAAAAACAAGAGACAAAGCTAGGGTGTATGCAGTAATGCCATCTCAGGGAAATAATTTACTTAAATCCACTTGTGACCTGGGGTACCAGCCTGCAAATAAATGGGACTGCGTCCAGAGAACTGGAGCATTTGCTCCCTTGCAAAGCTCCCCCTCACTCCAAGCAGCGCATGCTTGTAGTTTCATTGTGTTGCACCGATCCCGCTGAGACAGCAATCCTGAAAGGCTGATTATCTTTCATATATTTTTGGTAATTTTGTTATATTTTGAACATTTCTGTCAACTGGAATTACTCATTCTTATACTAGTTCATTAACAGTCTCCTTTGACTTCCAAGATGAATATGACTAATGGTGACTCTCATGGTATGTCTGTCAATTTCCAGCTAAACTCTATCACTTTCTCTGCATTTTTGAAGGCTTACACAGTTTTATTAGAATTTCCACCTCCAGAGACTTCCTTGATTAACTTTACAGTTTTGAGTAGATCATATTTAGTAAAAGGACTTAAAGAGAGTCCTGATGAAATAGATGCCTTCTTAGGAATGTGTTTAGAATCTGTTTTTTCCTGAGGTCAAGGATTTAGCCCGAATGTACACCTTCTCCAGCTATGGGTTTTTGCTGGCTGCCTTGCCTTCTCCCAGGGCGGATCTCCAGGAGACTGCGGGAACCTTCCACCCGAGAACAAGGCTCCTTAGGAAGGGGCTTTAGATCCAGAGAAAAGGACTAGGTTTGGATAGAGTCAAATGCGTTTCTCCATCCTCTTGACTCTAGGCTGGACCTCCTGAAAAAGCGAATCCCCCGTGGCCTGTGGCAAGTCCCCAGACTCCCCTGGGACCTATGAAGGGCTGTAGAAAGATGAGATGGTCTGTAAGCTTCATTCCGTGGAGAATAAATAATAAGTGAAGGCAGCAGCTATGGTTAATTTCAAGAACCTCTGGAGGCTGGGCTGTGTCCACAGCAGCCACCGCTGCGGCGAACCTCGGGAAGGCCTGTTGTGCACAACAGGCTCTTGGACAGAAGGAGGCAATGAGCTGTCCAGGCTGCAGTGACCTCGGAAGGAACAGCACCTGCACCCGAGTGGCAGAGTGCTGAGCAGGGCGGCGGGACCTCCGTGACACCCCGTTCACCATTGGGAGTGAGCCCCCTTTCTCTTTTATACTAAAGTGGGGGTTTATCGTCGTCATCGTTTCTTACAAGTGGAGAATGTTCCTTCTGCACCGTCCAATGCAGTGACGTCTCCAGGTTTCCGGGTGGGGTAACAACCCCGACGGACAGCTCAGCCCTCCACTCCCAGTGATCTGTGGAAGCGGTGTTCTCTGAGTGGAGCGTTCGGGACAAGACTGATGTTCATCTTAGCAGTGAACTAGGTCACATCTGGCTTTAACTGCAGTATTTATTAGAATTTTGGGACCTGAAATACACACATACATACATAAAAATCTAGATAACTACATGCACAGTCACATGATATTTAAACTCAGCATGAAAGCACTTATTGAATTATTTAGGTACAAATGTTGCTAAGATATGGTACCATAAGCACTAAGAGTTGACTATAAATATCACATCTGTACTACTAGTGCACTAAATACAAAATACCAAATTTTACAAATCATTTGTGAGGCTTTTACTATATTCACAACACCTCTGAAGACCCCCCAAATGTCAACTTTATTATTATAGGGACAAAATAACACAGTCATGGCCCTAAGGCAACCATGTCCCTCAAACACAGCTGAAGGATTTTGTGAAAATATCTGTTTCATTAATTGACATAAAAATCAGAGAGTTTCACAAGATGCAGATCACACTGATATTGAAATTTTGTTAACCACCTGGTAATTTTATCAGTGACATATATTTTCAATGCTTTTAAAATCACTGTCTGATGAGACTTCTTTCAAAAAGGCAGATTTAAACTTGTAAACTTATTTGTCTGCATTACTGGTCATATGGACATCTTCAAACAGTGAAGTAAGTTCATATTATTTGTTGGGTTTGCATGCATATGAAATCTAACAATGAAAAATACTTTTATACATTTAAAAATTGCTTTATTTTTAATATTAAGGTATAATATATACAGATTGACACAGTCAAATAACATTTATAATTCTGTAAAGAATCAATAGTCGAAATGAATGGTAAGGGGCAGAACATTAGCAAAGCCCAAGCGTAACAGAACTGCACTTGGCTCGGTCCAGTCAGATTTCAGACAGAAACTGGGCTGCTCTCTGCTGTCTTCATGTGCTGAGGAGGTAAATGACTTTCATTTTTCATATGTAAAAATATTATTTTCCTGCATTCATTAAAATACAAAGTGTGATTATTTATATATGTATAATGTAAACTCAATGTTATCTTTTGAAGTAATTAAGCACAAAAGATAGACTTTTTACTCTAAAACAGAGAAGTATAGTGGGATAAGACTATCATTTTTAAGTAAGGAAGTTTCAGTACACTTGTGTTAATTAAGAACCCTGCTCACCTGAAGTAATTCTGAGTTGCATACATCACCTAGGGTTAAAAAATACTTCTCAGATACACTTTATATTATCAATTGCACCTCTGGCTTACATACATTTTCTTGCATAATATTAATTAATTTTTTAATAAAGTGGAATTTAATGTCTTTTTGAGGAGTCAGAAGTGTTTGGTGTAATAAGTACATAATATATATTGTTTTCTGTTTTAAGAAGCTATTTAAGAAAAATGTAAAAATATTTTAAATGCAACAAGTTTAAAGATAATGACAATTATTAGACAAAACATATAGATTACAAATTCTGTAAAATGACTTGAGTATCAAAGTATTATTCTTCCTGGTATGCATCGATTTCACAAATTTCAAAGTCAGAATTCTAGAACAACTGAAATACTTATAGACTTATAGCCATGCCTTGGGCTTTGAAAAATTATTTTTTTTATAGCTTTACTCTATCAATAGATATTTCAAAAACTTGAATTTACATGATATATCCAAAAGTTCAACTAATACCCTACTTATAGAAATTTACTTCAATCTAATTTTCATCAAATAAATTGTCAGAGTTCATATAAACTGGATAGAGATTATATCAATATTAAATGAAGTAATCAAAATTAGTATCGACACATACCCAGTCTCTTTTAAAACAGTCATTTATCATCAAACGCAAATTCTCTACAGATATGACTGTTTTGTTTCTCACCCCCCAATTTTTTTCATGCTTATATAACCGATGCCTTTACAATTAGACATTTGAATTTGAGACAGAAACCTTGGTTGGTAATGTTTTCTTAAAAAAAACAACCCCAAAACTCAAAAGTATGTTGAGCCCCGGCCAGGTGGCCCAGTTGGTTGGAGCGCATTCCATGTACCGAAGGGCTGCAGGTTCCCGCTCAGGGCACACGTCTAGGTTTTGGATTCGAACCCATCAGGGTGCCTATGGGAAGCAACCAATCAATGTTTTTCTCTCTCTCGCTTCCTCCCTTCCTCTCTCTCTAAAAACCAATAAAAAACATATCCTTGGGTGAGGATTAACAAAAAAAAATGTTTTGACTGTGTATCTATTTATTGAGATATAGTAAACTTATAATTTTGAACTTCTTTAAATGAGCAAAAACTAGTGGTTCCTTGTGCACTAAATAGAGAACAAGGCAGGTGTTCACCGATGCTCCGTGTACACACCTTCCACTGGCTGCTTCGAGAAACTCAGTCATTCAGACGTTCTTAGGACCTCGCGGCGTCAAGCACGGTTCTGGGAGTTGTACTCTTTCATGTTTCCATGTTCCAACAGTAAATATTTGGGTACCTTCTAAGCTTTGTCAAAGTTTTATATGTTCTTTTAGATTATTCAGTCCTTTATCATTTAAATATTACCTTCCTCCCAAATATGGCTCTTACATTTTATAAAGGAGACACTTATTTTTTTTTTTCAAAAGTATATAAATATTTTATTTTTTGAACTTAACAAATAGAGTCGACTGTGATTTCCCACCTCCCCCTCCTCCTCACAACCTCTGGCTCTTGGGCAACAAGGTTAAGTTAATACTAACCAACAAAAGGTCTTTCAGAAACAACTCAGCCTGGAGAAAACCTCTCTATCAGAACGGGTTGAGTCGAATTCCAGTCCCTAAAGGTGAGAAAGGATTCACCTTTGCCCACATCAAAGCATCGTTCATTGAGATCACGGATTTCCCATCTTCAAGGAAATACACAGGGCCCTGCACATGAGAGTTGAGGAAAGAGAAGATGAGAGAATAAATTCACCACATGTTTCAAACTAGAGAAACAATCACCATGATAGAAAACCCACTGGCGACGCTCAGGCAGTGCTGACAGGAAACTGAAAATGTGAGACTTGACTTGGGTTGATGCACACACAACGCAGTGTACAGATGACGTATGATAGGGCTGTACACCTAAAACCTAGACACTTTTACTAACCAATGTCACTCCAATTTAGTCAATAAAAACTTAGAAAATAAAAGTATGAGAAAAATTAGATTTTTTGGAACTGCTACCAATATAGAAACATTTTAAAACATCTTAATGTTATATATAATCCTGATGTCTTTCAAAACAGAATTCACTTTTATCATTTGAGTTCTTTAAATACAATAGTGTTACCAATGATAACAGGTATTATTAATCTATTAATTACTGCAAAGTTCACATTTATAAAGGTGTGTATGCCTACTCATAGCTTTTTTTAAAATGTTATTTTTCTTTTTCCTGTATTAATTTTACAGAGAGAGGAAAGGAGAGGGAGAGAGAGAGAAACATTGATAAGAGGGAACATCCATTGGCTGCCTCCTGCATGCCCCCCACTGGGGATCGGGCCCACAACCTGGGCATGTGCCCTGATCGGGAATTGAACCAGCGACCTCTTGGTGCAGGGTCGACGCTCAACCACTGAGCCACACCGGCCGGACCTACTCATAGCTTTAAACATACTTTACTATTTTAATCACACAGCTGGGAAAATCATGTAGGCCAGGAATCTGACCCTGCTCAGAGGATGAAAATATATAGCTGTGTGTGTGTCTGTACAATTTGAAATCATGCCAGTCATGTGACTTGCCAGCATATTTATAATAATTTATTTATATTAGTTATTCTGTATGTCAAGGCTATTCTAAAAGAACTAAATACAAAAAAACCAAAACCAAAACAAACAGAAAACACCCTTTGGATCTACATTTCCCAGCTCTCAGAAGGAAAAGCATGATTAGAAAACACAAAAGCCTCTCATGTCCTGAAGTGAGGTGTGGGCGTGATTTCGAAGGACACAGCTTGTTGACAAGTTGCTTCTGGGTGGGGAAGCCATCCTCGGACTAGACCCCGTCCCCAGGAACCTGCCGCTCCCAGTTCTGACCAGAGCACACCGCCTTTCTGTTGGGTAGAAATAGCCTGGAGGCGGCCCACCTGTCAGTGGTGTGCGCTCAGGGCACGGAGGGAGGTGAGGAGCAGGCCCTTCCCAACGTGGTTTGGGGCCGGGGTCAGACAGCACCCGACAGGGCGGCTGGTCCCCCAGAAGGGAAAGAGCCAGCAGCGGAGAGAGGAAGGCAAAGGACGAAGCACCCCGAGTGCAGTGAGTGGCACTGCAGACACAGCCTGAAACTATTCTGCGTTCGCTCCTGATCACCTTACTAACCTCGGCTTTGGTTCTTGGTCGCTGAACAGAAGTCGTGTGCCCTGCCTGTCTGTGGGACCACCTTGGTATGTTCATGAGTTTGCAGTGTCAAGTTTACATCAGTCAGGGTTACATTAGTAGCAGGCCACTCAGTCGATTTTGAGTGGAAATCTCCCAAATACTTTTCCCCATTGGCCTGGCATGTTCCTATGAGAACTGCAATTAGACACATTACATCAGAAATAAGAATCGACTTACTAAAATGTGACTATTACTGGGAGTGATGTTCTTTCCACCCAAGCTGTGGTCTCCATAAGATTTCAGGGGGCTTCAGCTTTACTTCATGGGGACCCTCTCCCCGGTCCTGGCCCCAAGAGGACGAAGGCCTCTCTCTCCTGGGGGGCCCCGGCAGGCTCTGGGGTCACTCCCCACCACACTCTGCCTGCACATTAGGGACCATTCTTTGGGACTGAGCCATCCCTCCGATTGATCCTAATAATGTTTAGTCGCTGGAAAGTTCACTAAGTCAATATAGACACATGCATAATATGTCAATAATATATCATGTATCTGTGAGTTTTTAATTGCTTCCTTTGTGTTTATAAAATACAAATGGAGACTATAAAGTTACATTTAATGTTACAATAATCTATTGATTGTTGCTTGTCTCCCTTATTTAATTTCCTAAGGATATGATCTATCTGTATTTTAAAACATTTGTTACAAAGTATCATATATGTGTTACTAAGGAGGCCTGTTCCATGAATTGCTCTTATGATGAGAGCACAGCGACTGAGTTTATTTGAAGGAGAGAGGGCATTTACACGGGGTATCTTCTCGCTGGGCCTCGGGCCACCTTATAGGTACCTATGACCTATATGTATTTTAAAACATTTGTTACAAAGTATACATATATGTGTTACTAAAAGGTACCTACTTTTAGTCAGATTATACTTATTTTAAAAACATTTCAAAACATAATGAAACAAATAAAAGGATGGAAAGACATCATTTCTGCCTGCCACTGGACTGTACCTGGATTTTTAATCCCGTAAGACAGGAGACGTGAACATCGGAATGACTGGGAAGCCGGGATCCAGTCACATAATCTGGTCCAGTAAGTCCTCGAACTGGTTCTTCTTTTAGTCTCTCCAGTAAAGCCGCATAAACCATTCTTTGGGACTCAGACGGGGGTGTATATGAAGAGTCTTCTGATGATCTATATTTTCAACAGATTTTACATTTTCATTTTTGTAGAATCATAGAATTACCAAGGTTTGGATTAGAAACAGCCCCGATGACTATTTAGCCGCCTTGATAAATCAACCTTGGACTCAGTTTGTTGTACAACAGACGACTCTGAAAAGGCTGCGCTGCAGACTGCTGCTGCGCATCTGCCCCCGCCAGCTCCCCGCCCTGCTGGGCAGGAGCGGCCGCGCGGCCCTGTCCGTGACACGCCGGCACGCCTGCCTCCCGCGTGTGCCCCACTCACTCACTGGCTGGCGGGCTGCGTGCACGCTCTCCACGCATCCAGCTCCTCGGAGAGCCGTCCGATCGTCAAAGGCACGGACACATGCCGGCGCTTTAAGAGCTGACTGAAACGTGAACGTGAGAAAGAAATTAATATCTAATGGCCAAGAGACATCTGAAGAAATGCTCAACGTCACTAATCATCAGAGAGATGCAAATTAAAACAACAATGAGGCATCACCTCACACCTGTCAGAATGGCCGCCATCAACAAATCATCAAACAACAAGTGTTGGCCCTGGCCGGTTTGGCTCAGCGGTTGGAGCATTGGCCTGCGGTCCAGAGAGACCCGGGTTTGGTTCCCGCTAAGGGCATGTACCTCGGTTGCAGTTTGTCCCCGGCCCTGGTTGGTTGTGCGGGTGGCGACCACTCGATGTGTCCCTTTCATGTCGATGTTTCTCTCTCTCTGTGTTCCTCTCTCTCTCTCCCACTCTACCTGAACAAAAGGTGGAAGAATGTCCTCGGGTGAGGATGATAAAAAAAACAACAAAAAAAACAACAACAAGTGTTGGCGAGGGTGTGGAGAAAAGGGGACTCTAGTACACGGCTGGTGGGAATGCGGACTGGTGCAGCCACTATGGAAAACACTATGGTGTTACCTCAAAAAATTAAAAATTGAACTGCCATTTGACGCAGTGATCCCACTTCTAGGAATATACCCTAAGAAGCCTGAAACACCAATCAGAAAGAATATATGTACCCCCATGTTCATAGCAGCACTATTTACAATAGCTAAGATCTGGAAACAACCCAAGTGTCCATCAGTAGACGAATGGATAAAAAAGCTGTGGTACATATACACAATGGAGTACTATGCAGCTGTAAGAAAGAAAGATCTCTTATCCTTTGAGACAACATGGAGGGACCTGGAGAATATTATGCCAAGTGAAACAAGCCAAGCACAGAACGACAAATATCACATGATCTCACTTATTTGTGGAATATAATGAACTAAACTAACTGCTGAACAAAATTAACCCAGAGACATAGAGGTGGGATATAGACTGACAAGCCTCAGAGGAGGGGCGTTTGCGGGGGAAGAGATAAACCACAGAACTTACATGCATGTATGCATGACCAATGAACATAGACAACAAAGCTGGGGATAGGGCAGGGGGGAAGAGGAGGAGGGTGTCAATGGGGGAAAAATGAGAAATGTCTGTAACAAAAACAAATTCATAAATAAAAAAAATAAAAAAAAGAAATTAACTTCTGACGTCTGAGACTAAGATACCAGAAAGGCAAGTAAATGTGAAATAACTGCAATGTTAGATTCAACAATCATTGTTCAAAAATGTGTATACCAGTGTGTGTGTGTGTGTGTGTGTGTGGGTGTGCACGCGCGCATGCGTGCGCCTGCTCACTGTGTATTTAGCCTTTGAGTCCCTGCGCGTCAAGAGCGGTCAGCAGCTGTAGCTGGATGACGGCCCGAGGGGGAGGGCGGGACGAATGAACTGATAACGCGTGGAGGGAGGCCCACAGCCATGCGGTGCTGACTAGTGGCCGTGTGGCCAGTGCGCAGCACACTGTGTGTCTGCATCAGGAAGGAGAGTCAGGAGTCAGACAGCAGGTGGTGGAACCGACCAGAACAGTGTCCCCTAGTGGAGAGGCAGGGACGTGCAGACTGCAGTTCTGGACACAGATGCCCTAAAACGGGGGCAGGGAACAGCCACCGCAGGGACCATCCCATCTGGTGCAGGAGGAAGACTCGCTTATTATTAATGAGGAGGCTTCAGACAAAGAATCCTAGTTCCAGCTTCTATCAGTTACAAACTCTTTATGTTTCTCAAGGAAATAGCTAATGGGAGTTTCAAAGTAAAAGCTGTTCAGGAGATAAAAAGAAAAAGAACATAAGACCTTAGGGATGAAGGAAGAGCAAAATTGTGCCTTTCTGTCATTTACGTTTTATGGTCACTCTGGCTAGTTGTCATCGTTTTGCTGGGATGTAAGAACTGGTGAGAAAAAGGTATAAATAGCACCCAGCACACACATCTAACATTTCAGTAATATTATATCACGTTAGCAGCTTATTGTTTTGTTTTAGCCCCAAATTACTGACCACGTGGCCGGCTCCCAGTGAACTCCTTGAACAACTGGGCTCCCGGGCAGACGGCACCTGGCAGAGCGCGGCCGCCTGCGGTGCCCGAGGCCTCGCTGCCTCTGGGACGCGTGGAGAGAGGAACACCCAGGCGACGGGATGGCCCCGAGCGAGAACACCAGCGCCAGGGACGCAGTCACAGGCACACAGGCCCCAGTGCCTCGGTCCCCCGGCGGAGAACAGGGTGGGAACCCCGTGTTCGGGGCCTTGGAGGTATAACGAGGGATCTAGGATGTTCTCAGTAGACAGTGGGGCGTCCTGGAAAGTACTAAGGAGGGTGGTCCTCCAGGAAGGCGGTGGCGGAGTCACAGGGCGGGCTGGCGGGAGAGACAGGGACCAGGTCTAGAGGAAGGGCATGGGCCAGAGGACCGGAAATGAGCACGGGGACGCGGGGATCTCCTAAGTCACTGGATGCTGACGGGGAAGGAAATCACGTCCTCGTGACCCTGGCCACCGAATCCTGGATGACAGGAACATCACGCCACCGTCGAAAGAACGAGAGCACATGCGAAGGAGCAGAAGGGAGAGGGAAGACGCCCCTACTTTCGCGAACGCGCGTTTAGGATGGAGTTTGGTAGCGGCAGGAGCTCGGAGGGGGGCTGTGCGTGAATCTAAGGGGAGCCACCTCCACGGAGGGGCAGGCGGAGCCATGGCCTGGTGAGGCTCCTGGGGACAGACAGGCGAGAGGGTGCAGGAGGGGGGGGGCAGGAAACAGGAAGGAGAGGACAGAAGGGGAGACGGGAGCGAACAGAACTGTGAACCAATGGGAGCAGATGGGAAAACCGATATAAGACAAGTCGACAAAGATGGAACCGACAGAGAAGGAAGAGAAATTCTTTCAAGTCAGCAAGTTGTCAGGTTTCTCTTTCTGGACCAACGTGTTTCCTGTAACTGGACAGTCTCTCATGTCCCTCCTCCCTCCAAAACAGAAGGCCCTCCTGTTCTCGATGTAATTTCGAGGGACCACTTTCTCTCCCTTCACTTTCCCTGCCTCTGAATCACATCCAGCCGAACACTTTCCACTAAGCAGCCTTCGGTTCCAGGTGACAGAGGCCACTGTTCCTGCGACGGCCTAGTTGGAGCTGCTCTGGATCGGCGGTCCTGCTGCCTGTGCAGGCAGGTGTCTCCTTGGGCACCGCCAGGGTCCGGTCCTGCTGTCCCTCCGCCTGCTCCGGCGGCCACCTACAGCCGCAGCACCGTGCCCCCGGCAGGGGAGGCAGGGACGAGGAAGCTTGGTTTTCCTCTGAAGCCTGAGCCCCATGAAGGGTACTCAGAAGAATCGTGCAGCCACGGACTCACTCTCAGGAGGGCCTACTCTGCCAGTCGGCAAACCAGTAGACTTGGAAATGGATTTGTAGGGAAGGCACCGTGGTTTTATTTCTGAGTCTAACAAGTTTTGAGGATCACGGTGGAAGGTCAGCAGCTGTCAGGAACCAGCCGGGCAGTAGGTTATGCCTGAACGGACAACCGGGAGTTAGCTGCTACCACAAACTCCTTTGCTTTGCTCTCTACTGAAGAGAGAGTGGAAAACTAAAACTCCCAGTCTCCCATCTTTGAAAAGCAGAGTTCTGCAGTTCTGGCCGAGGGATGTGGGCACACCACCCTGAGGGGACTCTCCTCCCTGCCTCAGGTGGTCTTGCCCCTGGTGGTTGCTCACCCTGTGCCCTTTTCTCTCTTTCCTGAAATCTCAGGATGCAGACACAGGGCACAGAGGGCTGGACGCCACCTGGTCACCTGGCAGCGGCTGGCACAGCCCTGGAACGTGACCTCCATGTCCCGACACAAGAACACGAGACCCGATGTGTTCCCGCTAGAACCGGGCTGTCTGTTATTCCCAGGCCGACTAGCTTCTGAGTAGCTCGCTGAGGCTCGCGTCAGCGGCGACTCCCCGCCATCGTGAGAGGACCCCTCTCCTCCCCTAACAGAAGAGTCGTCCATACCTTGTGTACTCGTACAGCGCGGGGACAATGCTTTCGTACTGTCTTCTGATGGCGAGCAAGGCGCCAACGTAACCACACAGTATGAGCAACTCATTCCGAGCTCTAAAAGGGAACATATTTATTGCATTAAAATTCCATCACGTGAGGTGTAGAACATCACTCTCAGATGCAGTTGCTGTACTTGCATCTCAGTATTTTAATGGGCAACATTTATAGCAAAATATGTTTAGAAAAGTTTCTAAACCTGAAGATGTTTTTTATTCATCAGGTGACTCACGGACGTTATGCTAGAACACACTGTAATTTAAAACAAAACCTTCAGCATTATTTAAGTCTTCCCTCTTGTTTTCCTCGATTCCTTGGCTGTCTCCACGCATGTGTTGCATCAGTGACTATGTGTTTCCTTCTTCCCCAACTCGTATGTTTTGCACACACAGATATGTAATAGATATGACCACCAGTTTCTTCAGGACTTGAGGTCCAAAACCACCAAGAAGCTTTAAATTGGCCCTATTTGAACCTGGTGTGTGTGTGTGTGTGTGTGTGTGTACATACACATATATAAAAATACCGACACTATTAGTAAATGAGGCCACTAAGATTTATGATTTCTATTTCAAATTGATCTCTGTATATTTTTCTTAAGATTATAACATAAAAATGTAGTATTTTTCTATATGGACATCTACCTGTCCAAGATGATCTTATTTCTTGATCTAAACATGGAAAATCATAGAGCCATCCTGAAACATTATGAAGCTGCAGTTATGGATTCTGGAGAAAGGTACTCACTTCGTACATGTATGTAGGAGCAATTTTTCAGTACATATATAACTCAGTAGGTCAAGAATGGGATAAATGGTATCCAAAGTCCAATCTGAACTACTGATGTATTCTGGCAAAATAAAGCAAACAAAAAGAATCTCTAAATAGCAGGATCAATATTGTTCACCCGTTTCTAACCCATGTAATTAGATCTCTTCCGGCCCCTCCTGTCTGCCCCCAGCACCCAGGCCCAGCATCGCCTCCTGACTGTCTCGAGTCCCTCATCAGACAATCAGCAATCTCTTTCCTTTGTCAAGTTAGGGTGGCTAGAGCTTAATTTCAAACTTTTTAGCAACATGAATAAAAATATCAAATAAAAGAGGAGATTCAAAAAAAATTTTTTTCTTTACTGATTTTAGAGAGAGAGGGGAAGGGAGAAGTAGGGAGAGATGGAAACATCGATGAGAGAGAACATTGACTGGCCGCCTCCTGCATGCCACCCACTGGGGATCAGGCCCACAACCTGGGCATGTGCCCTGACCGGGAATCGAACCTGTGACCTCCTGGCGCAGGGTCGATGCTCAATCAGTGAGCCACACCGGCCGGGCAAAGGCGTAGATTTTAAATCTCACCTTTGACGAAGTCGATGCCAATGGGAAGGGCTCTCTCCGGCTCTCGACTTAACAAGTAGTACTTGACCGCCTCCAGCGTGGAGCCGCCGGCCTGCGCCGCCCCGGCCAGCCGCTCGCTTTGCTCCGCGGTGGGCAGCTTGCACTGGGAGACAATGGCTCTGATGACAACATGCCAAACCGCACAGGGGTAAAAGCATCGCGAGAAGCACTAAATCTGTCCCATGTACCTGGGCCTTTTTCTTATTCAAGTTGCTCGGAACAGATGTGAAGAAAATAACTGGCATTAAGAGAAGACATTTACGGAACATCTTTAAGGTATAACACCAGTAATAAGGAGGGTGTCACCTAAGAGCCAGGGGTTTGCAGCAACAAGTACCTAACCCAGAGGTGGAAGGGACTGTCTTGGCTGTGATACTGGACCCAGTGCCAGCGAATGTCATTTAGCAGAAATGCTGAGATCAGTTATCTCAGAACAAATGCGCTGACCGAGATAAAAAACTACAACAAATGTACGAAACATAAAAGGTTCACTCTCCCGTGCCCTGTGCACGATCCATTGATTTCCCCGGTCTCCGAGACAAAACAACTCATCTCAAGCAGACAGGCAAACGTGTACAAGCTCCACACGTGCTCAGCCCAAATACTACACAGTGCCGGTTCAGAGCTCACGGAATCTCACTGCTGGAACACGAGAAGCTGTGCACCCCCTTTTCTACATTAAAAAATCCTGTTAAAACTGAGTCGCTTCCTCCCGCACGTGTTCTGCTTCCACACCGGTCGGAATCAGGTTACCTCCTGCGTCACATCACAACACGGATGCTTTGTGAAGGCCACGTGCTCACGTCTGCTGGCGTGTTTTGGGGCAACGCTGAGGACCAGTTTAATGCTCCGTCTCCCGGCCTTTGGCCGCCACGGCGGTGTTGCTTCCCCGGCCCAGGCTTCATGCGGTGACGGGAGGGTGCTCACCCCGGGGGCACATGTCTCTTCCCTTGAGACTTGCCACCCTCTTCCCTCACTTTTCCATCTCCTTAAGTTACCAGGACGGTTTGTTCAACTTATTTATTTATGCACTTACTCAACAGTTTCTTATTTTCTGCTTAAAAATCAGGCGAACTGAACATTTCAGATCTATCAAACGATTGTGACGAGCCCGGTGCAGGAGCTTTCGTGTCGCCGTGCTCCCCTCCACACCCACGGGGTGCCGGGTCCCCGAGGTACGGCGTGTGCTAGGCCCTGCGTCCGCCGGATGAAAGACAGTTTCTCCCTTCAGGTGCTCCAAGGGCAGAGGCAATGCCAAATGGTTCCCACGGAAACTCCAAATGGCATTCAAGAAGGGCGAGACGAACATCCCTGTAACTCTTGTCCCACCTTACAATTCTGAAGTTATATAAGTTAACATGATTGTCAGTTTACTAGCGAAACTGTCCCGAGTTATTAACACCTTCACACGTACAAACTAGTTTTTCTGACGTGTTATTAGTGAAGTCGGGTGAGCGGCTAACTGGGGCCTTCTGGAGCATGTGATGAAGGGACCGGTGGAGACGACCTGCCCGCCATCCGCAGCTGTGTAACAGTCCCCCGCTTAGCCTCTCGGGCTCCCCTTCACACCGGGACCTCGGCCCCGCAGGAGTTAGAGTCACTCACCTCACAACCCACTGGTAGGTCTCAGCATTCGTCCTTCCACAGGAATCCCCCGAGACCACCGCACACTCACACGCATGCACCGACACACTCTTACACCACACTCACACACACATTCTCACACACACGCACTGACACTCTTACACTCACACACATTTGTGTACACACACATTCTCACACACATGCATTGACACACTTTTACACACATGCACGGACACTCTTACACTCACACACATTCTCACACACAATTCTCACATGCATTGACACTTTTACATTCTCACACACATGCACTGACAAACTTACACACATTCTCACACACATGTACTGACACCAACTTACACTTTTACATTCTCACACACATGCACTGACACACTCTTACACACACATTCTCACACACATGCACTGACATTCTTTCACACACTCACACGTGCACTGACACACTCTTACACACACATGCACACATACATGCCCTGACACACTCTTACACACTCACACACTTTGGTCTATCTAAAGTAAACGGTACTCAATAAGTCCCATGAGGAACAGAGACACTCTCACATGGGGAAAAATCAAGGTTCACATAAATAAAACAAAATTTGTTGTTATTAGAGTTCAAAATGAGAATGTTTCACTGGCATCTTATCTTTTCCCTAAAAGAACTGCGTGCACCTTCTTACGTGTGCTGCACAGTTACATAGACAATGAACCCACGGGCATGTGCACAGGCCGCGACCTGCTTTTCTGTGTTTTACAGCCGTGCCCCGAGGCCAACAAAAACAGAGCTTCATGATCCTTCTAACGGATCGACAGCCTGAGACACAGAATGTACCTCAAGTTACATGCAACCTCCGTACTGTGGAACATTTTGGTCATTTTGTATATAATCTTGGTACATACGTTCCTATATTCTGCAAGGGAGTATTTCCTGAAAGCACTTTAGAAAATGGCATGAACACTTCCTCATGCTTCACCGGGCCCTCTGCAGCCTGCGTGGTCAAACAGCACACGCGCACCTCGCACGCCAAGTGGGCAGCGGAGGGGCGGGCTTGGCGCCGGGAGCTGATGGCCTCACCACCATTACCTCAGGCAAGCTCCTTTCCTGCGCTATAAAATAGGGACAACAGCCCCTGTTTTCAGGGTTTCGTGAGAAGTTAGTAAAATACAAACTCACATGAACATTTAGAATAGTTCCAGGCACATATACAAGCTCAATACGTGTTACTTCTCACCACTCTCGCTGCATTTATGAAAGGGTCCCAGAGAGCACAGATCTGTTCCTCTGACTGCACCTGTCCCCCAGGACCTGAGACCAGCGCGTTTCCGGCCGCGGCCGAACTACCTTCTCTCGGAGCTCGTCCCTCTCCTCCAGGCAGCCCGGGCGGAAGGCACACAGCTTCACCAGCTGCAGCTCGTTGTCCCGCATCATCAGGAGCAGGTCCGCCGCCAAGTCCCTAGCCACATGCAGAAGGAACGTCAGAGAGGGAAACGGCACCGCACAGGTCAAGACGGGGAGACTCAGGACACCCCCTGGTGTTTACACCAGCAGGACTACTTCCCACGTAATCCTGAGACTCCTCCAAACGACTGCAGGGACCAGGGGCATGAAGAAACACGTGTTAGGAAATTCCTAAATATTTTTAAAACTCTAAGCTGAGTCTTCACATGCTCACAACTGATTCTGTTATTACAGAATGATTCTCTAACCAAACTGAATCATTTAGATCTGTGCTTTGGAGCAAATCACAAAACCCACTTGTGAATGCTCAGCGGACAGCGTATCAGTTGGCTAGAACACCAGGGAATTTGGGGTGTCTGCCTATTTGTTCCACAGTAGGTGGAAAGCAAAGATACAAAGGCAGTGTTCCAATTTACTTTTTAAAGAGTCAATCAATGGACTAAATCATTCATAAATAAAGCATGTAAAAATTGTTTGGACATAACAGCTTTACAAGTACTTTTCATTAAATTCTTTTTTAAATCACCAGATGAAGAGTTTTTGGCTGCATGAACGACAACTGAGAAAACACCATTTTTCATAGTTCAAGATGATCTTTACCCTCCAAGGAGCTGAATACACAACTCAGGTGACTGTGGAAAAGGCAGCATTAAGGGGGCTCCCTGGAGCACGCTGTGGGGTGCCACAGCGAACCCTCCTTCAGTTGTGTGTGATGCCCTCAGTGAAATCGACATTGCTCAGCTATGTGAAGAAGTTATTTTTCAAGCATTAAAAGACAGTTAATCAAGAATATAGTGAGGCCCTGGCCGGTTTGGCTCAGCGGTTAGAGCATCGGCCTGTGGTCTGGAGAGACCTGGGTTCAGTTCCCGCTAAGGGCACGTACCTCGGTTGCTGTTTGTCCCCAGCCCTGGTTGGTTGTGCGGGTGGCAGCCACTCGATGTGTCCCTTCATGTTGATGTTTCTCTCTCTCTCTCTCTGTTCCTCTCCCTCCCTCCCACTCTACCTGAATGGAAAATCGAAAAAAAAAAAAAAAAGAATATAGTGAGTACAGAACAATAGAAATAATCTGTTGTGTGACCAATGTTCTATTATCACTGGAGAGGTCAATCGTTGACTGTTTTTACAGTTTCCAAATTATAGTAATTTATAAATGTTCTTGCTGAAATTATAAATGACTTTATGTTTTCTGATACTAACATTCAACAGTGTTTTCAATAATGTCTGTGAGAATATAGAAAGTACTACTTGTTTTTGTGGTATATAAAATCGCTGTGCTAAAATTCTACTCAAACTTCTGTCAACTACAGACAAAAATCTTTCTTTCGAATCACATCCTGATGCAGTGAAATGTACAGTAATGCTAGCTAGTTTCACTCACTCTTTAGATGAAATCACTACTTACTGAAAATTTAGTACACCAGTTGGGGAAAATGCATATATATGTAATGATATAGACCAACCAAATGACCTAACGTCTTATATTTCACTATCAGAACAGGCATTTTATTTAGTTTTTATTTTTTAAAGTTTTTTTAATTGATTTATTTTTTAGAGAGACAGAGGAAGGGAGAGAGAGGTAGAAATATCAATGTGAGAGAGACGTCTATCGGCCGCCTCCGGCACGCCCCTCACCAGGGGTGGAGCCTGCAGCCCGGGCCTGCGCCCTGACCAGGAATCAAGCCAGGACCTCTCAGTTCAAGGGATGATGCTCAACCACTGAGCCACACCAATCAGGAAGAAGAATTTGTTAGCTGAATTAGCTATTATTTTATAGTGTATAAAGTCACGGTTCATTATACACCATTTAGTATAAAATCATGAGTGCTTTTACACCTAGGTTATAGGAGCTGTTCTAATTACTTTAGGTTTTATAAGCTAGGAATTATGGAAATAAATTGGCATTCTGTAAAACAAAGTGAAAATAGTTAATGATAATTTCTTAATATAGAGTTGATATTCTAATAAAATAGAATAGAAATCTTTAATTAAGCAGTTCTTATAAAAGTAGATGATACCTGTATCCATCAGGTGGGAAACTAGAAAGAAAACGCTTCTGAATATGAATACTATAAACGTGAGATGAGTACCAGGAAGAAGCAAACATTAACCAGTAATTATAAAAATGTGAAGGATTCTTGGTTTATGAAATAATAAACATTCTCTTGAAATTATGCTACCTTAATTATTCTTTTAAATTTGTGGGGCTCTACTAATCCATGAGAATGAAAGGTTTCCGCTGGAAATAACCTGATCAGCATCATATATGCCAGAATTTTAACTCTGTCCTGCTTTTTGGTACACATATCTGCGGATATATAAAGGAACAACTCGGGGAGGGGGGAGGTCTGAGGGTTACAGGGCAACAAAAGTTTTACATTAAAAGCATCTAAAACATATAGTTATTTGAAAGATTTGAAAAACTCTTTTATATTTAGTATCTATTCCTGTTTGCTTCTTTTTATCTTCACTTAAAAAAAACAAATCCCATTTTTAGATTAGACGATGACTTCTGCATGGAGACAGTCACCTTTGTGAGCCCACCGTCCGGGTTGACCTCATGCTCTGGGCTGGTCTAGGGAAGTCCCGTAACGATGGAAATGACGAGGGTCCTCGACAGAGGGAACTGGGCAGTCCTGAGGGATGGTCGGCACTAACCGTGCCGAGTCTAAGACCGAGGCTGGGTACCACAGCACTTGGCGGGGAAGGGGACTCCGTGTGGATGGGTAACAAGGAATAAAGACAGGACGCCTGGCTCACTGTAAAGCTCCCGGGTCCAGACAGAAAAAGAAGTGGCAAGTGCTGCTCTTTCTGAGCGAACCGCACGTGAGGAGGTGGCACAGTGTGCTGGCTGCCGTGGTCTGACCGTGTGTCCCCCCAGTGTGCTGGCTGCCGTGGTCTGACCGTGTGTCCCCCCAGTGTGCTGGCTGCCGTGGTCTGACCGTGTGTCCCCCCAGTGTGCTGGCTGCCGTGGTCTGACCGTGTGTCCCCCCAGTGTGCTGGCTGCCGTGGTCTGACCGTGTGTCCCCACAGTGTGCTGGCTGCCGTAGTCTGACCGTGTGGGTCCCCCCACAGTGTGCTAGCCGCCATAGGCTGACTGTGTGGGTCCCCCCACAGTGTGCTAGCTGCCGTAGTCTGACCGTGTGTGTCCCCACACAGTGTGCTAGCCGCCGTAGTCTGAACGTGTGGGTCCCCCCAGTTCGTAGGTTGACACCAAATCTGCAAGGGGATGGTATTGGGGATGAGGTCACCAGGGCAGAGCCCTCATGAATGGACGTGCGCCCTTATGAAAGAGCCACAGAGGCTCCCCATCCCCCACACCACGGGGCACAGTGACAGACGGCCCACTGTCACCCGGGGAGCCTGTTCTCGTCAGACACCGACGCTGCGCCTTGACCCGCAGTCCTCAGCTTCCGGACCCGAGGGGCACAGGTCTGCTGTTTCTCAGCCCCCGTCTGCGGTCCCCTGAACGGCAGCCCTGAGCGACGCGGACACTAGCTGGGAGTGTGAACCTCAGAGACAGCGCATCTTGGCTCCTGCCACTTACTAGGCCTGAGACGAACCGTCCACCGCAGAGCGCCCGGCGAGTCATCACACGCAAGGTGCTCAGGCCGGCGGAGGCCCGAGCAGCACCCAGACCGGAGCTGCCGTTGCCACGGTCACTGCCTGCGGAGCTCAGGGTGCAGCCTGGCACTGCTCCACCGAGTGGGTGGCAAGGGGGGACGGCGGGGAGGTCAAAGTCCTAAGAATCGTTTATTAAGCACCTCTTGAGGTTCTGAGTAATTTGGTAAAAGAGGAGATGAAAGTCTAAAATCATCTGTATCCAACACAATACCACTGAGACAGCTTCACAGCTTCCCGAAAGTCCCTCCAGAATAAAAGCCCCTCCATCATGAGGGCGCTCGGCCCGAGGACAGGGCTCGGCAGGTGTGAGCGAGAGCAGACTGGGCTGATTTCATCACCCAGGGACTCTCCAGGGCCGTCTCTGAAATGCTGCCTAAGCTTGGGGAAGTAGCCTGCTCCATCTCCAGCGACCCCCCTGTATTATACTCTCCACTGGAAAGTGAGTTTCTTTTCCAAACCTTAAAGCAAAACACAAGATCTGAGAAGAATGAGTGTAGTAGGTGCACAGAATTTGGAATGTGGGAACGCGAGGTCTCGATAATCGAACATGTGCACATTCGTCATCCCTGGTACTTTGAGTGCTTGGACCATTATGGAATTACAACCGGGTGACTTCAGATGGGTCACGGTAGATTTCATCACACAACCCAGTAGTTCACACCATTACTTCATCCTCACATCACCCTTTCCTCCCACCATCTGTTTACTCCCAGCACACCTTCTCCAATGCAACTTGCAAGACTGAGAAAATGCATTCCATCACTGTAAAATTCTTCTTTGCATTTAGAAAGTCTTACCATATTGGAATCATCATGCATTTTCTCGCCAGTAATTCCAGGGCGTAGTGGGTGGCTGGTGTCGCCGACTCCCCCAGGACAGTGCCCACGCAGATGGCCAACTCCAGCTCGTTCCCGCGGATCAGGGACGCCATCGCCAGCTTGCTCGGGAGCAAACAGGGGGTCAGTGTCCGAGGTGCTGGGGAGGGACACCGTCCCGCCGAGCTCAGGAAGGCGGTGGGGCTGGATTCCCCTATGATCAGTTGTTCTTGTAAAACAGTAACTGTAATGTTTCTACACAGTATGTGAGTGTAACTGCGATTTCAAATGCAAAAGGTAATAAAGGGACACATGGGAATATTCTATAAAGTTAGCATTTAAAAATTTAGAACCATTGCTCATATTTTTGTAATTAATAACAGTCTTTCTGCAATAACCTCAACATGTCCTTCAGTCTCTCAGAAAAAAATGTAAATTCTTAAAGGCTTCTTAAGTAGTGTATGATGTATCAATTATCCCCTAAAGCCAATATATGTAAGGATTCATGAAAACAGAATCTGTACCTTTACCTAGTATTTTCCTTATTGCATTAGTGGGCCAACTGGAAAATACCCTAAAGTATAACTTGTGAAGAGTATACAGAAGTATACTTTCAAATAAGTGCTTTCAAATGCAGCGAATGTCCTTTACCACACTACTGCTTCTCCTCTATGAGCAGATACTTCAAGTAAGCTTGTTACAAATACGTCTCCTGGGATAACAATTAAGCAAATTTAAAGCAGACCTGGAGACTGCAGAATCGTAATCCTCGGGCTTGGAAAGCATACAGAACCAGGTCTTACCGACCTTTCCCAGAAGTCACCCTACTCTCCCCTCAGACACCTCGACTCATCTGCAGAGCTTTCCAGCGGCAGAGACCCCGTGGAATGTACCTCGATGTCGTCTGCAGCCAGGTGGCAACACGCGGCGAGCATCGCCCGGCCGTCCTGGAGGTACCGCTCCGCCAGCTCTCCGCTCACTGTGTGCAGGAGTCTGGAACGAGGAGGAGAGCGTGTTCTAGACAGACACAGGAGTCCCCCGGAAAAGTGACCTCACTCCCCTTTAAAACCAGCTAATTATGAGGTCAGATCAGATTTAACTGGACATCCTTGATTTTGGTATAAAGCCTGGTTTGGGGAAAATCAGGAAAGTAGTCTTTCTTAGATGAGCTGATGAACCCCGATCGTCAGAAGAAAAGCCTCATTTTCAAAACTGACCATTGCGCGTTGACCAGTTCACGACTCAGCCAGAGGGCAGTGCACCTCTGAAAAACTAAGGCTGAGCTCGAACTGTCAGAACTCAGGTGACGGCTGCACTGTGGTGCGTGTCCGAGGGTTAGGATGCCGGGGTGGCGATGGCAGAGCAGCGGCAGCGCGCCAGGAGGGACGTGTCGGTCCCAGGGCGCCCCTGCCTCACACGGTAAGATCCGTTCTCATTGGTAAGTGCCCTAGAAGGTCACACGGCCTATTTCCGGGGTAAGCCAGGGGCCGAGAGGAGAGGGAGGAGAAGGCAGGTGACTAGATTTGGAAGGTCAAAAAGCTGAAGAATTCTAATTTCTATTTCTTTAAAACATGTAACTATTTGGATTTCTTCTTTAAAAGGGGCTGAAATGTGCCCGGCTGGTGTGGCTCAGGGGTTGAGCGTCGACCCTGCACCAGGAGGTCCCCAGTTCGGTTCCCGGTCAGGGCACATGCCCAGGTTGTGGGTCCGATCCCCCGTGGGGGGCGTGCAGGAGGCGACCAGTCGATGTTCTCTCTCATCCATGTTTCTCTCTCTCCTTCACCATTCTTCTCTCTCTAAAACCAATAAAGAAAAAAAATTACATTAAAAAAGAGGCTGAAATGTTATTCCAGACACGGGAACTGGGGTCACGGGTCTATAAATACTACCACGTTATCATCCACTGACTCTTCAGCAGAACATGAAGCAGCAATGTCACATCCCTGCTCCCAACAGGGTTGCTCAGATTTAAATATTTAGGTTCTTGACTTGCAGTCTCCACGCTCTGCCTTCCTGGAAGCGATACAGAGCGTGTCCGGTTGTGTCTACATGGCTGACATGTCCCTGCTCACCTAAGCACCTTGACTGGCGGGAAGTGCAGGGAGGACCTGAGCCAGCCTAGCTCTGCTCGGCCCTCAAGTCAGCCTAAGGAAACCAGCTCTAAAACCCAGAGCCCGACCGAGAACCAGCCCCTCACTCGTTACACTCGTCCTTGTAGACGTCATCAGAACAGGAAGGTCCTCTGGGCGTGGAAACATGGCAGGTCTGCATGTTCCCCTCACAAGCAGCCTGGAAGTTAAGGAAAACTTTAATTAATCTTTAGCTAACTGTTGATAATCGACCCATTTCAGGCAAGTGTTTGGAATGAAGTATACCTAAATCATGTTTGAAATGTAGACCACAATTTGGAGATACTCTCGGAGTCTGAAAAAGCAGCGAACTCCACAGTATGGACATGGAGCTCAGGACACGGGGAGCAGGCAAAGCTGTTTGAGCCGACACTGTGTTCAGGGGCAGACAGGCTCAGCCTGCAGAGATGCCTGTGTTTGAGGTTCTAAAACAAGGTCACTGTGGCCAGAGCACAGAGACTGGGCCTGAGAGGTCGAGACGGAAGGCCGGGGGTGGGCAGAGCCACGCCTTCTCTGATCTGTCCATCAGGAAGGAGAATCAGTCATCAAGACCTCTCCTTTTCACACCCACCCACCAACGCGCGTGGCTTCTGCGGTGAGGTGGCCGTACCTGGGCGATGAGCAGAGCTTCCTTGAGCTGACCCCGAGACACAAAAAAGTCGACCAGTTTTCTCACATCACCAGTGGCTATGCAGTAAGGAATGACATCATCCTTATCTTCCTGGATTAACTGGTCAGCTCTCCTAATAAAACAAAAGCAATGTTTTACAATATGGTAATGTCAAAGTTCTCAGCTAGACTGCGATTTTCTGAAATAGCTAAAAATTTGAAGCGGATTTCATAACTTTTGAGTATCACTTTAAAAAAAGACAGACTTTATGATCAAATCATATATGGAAAAGTTTTCTGAAATAATAAATGCTACAGATACTTGTTTGACCTTAGAACACCACATATTTTTATTTCAAATGTTCTGAGCCTGCCAGGTGTTCAGGTTAGAGCAGCTCACCTGTTTACAACAGTGACACGTTTCTGAAAACCAGTTATAAACCAGGTCTGTGTGATAGGAGATCTGCTCTTGATTGGATGTGGGTGTCTACTTTATTAAAGAGACTTTTAAATAAAGAGCTTCAAATGCAACTAGCTTAAAAATCATTAAAGAGAATAAGGCAAGCACATAAATAATGATAATAAAATGTGGAATACTGTAATTACCCAAGCAAGGTAATTTATTTATTTTTTAAAAAATATTTTTTATTGATTTTTTGTTTAGAATGAGAGGAGGGGAGAGGGAGAGATAGAAACACCGATCAGCTGCCTCCTGCACACCCCCTACTGAGGATGGAGCCTGAGGCCTGGGCATGAGCTGACTGGGAATCCAACCGGTGACCTCTGGGTGCATGGGATGACACTCAACCCACTGAGCCACACTGGCCAGGCCAGGCAAGGTAACTTAAAGAAAAACTGTGTTCCAGCCCTGGCCGGTTTGCACAATGGTTAGAGCGTTGGCCCGCAGGACCAGAGTCCCTGGTTCGGTTCCTGCTAAGGGCATGTACCTTGCTTGCAGTTTGTCCCCGGCCCCGGTTGGGGTCGTGTGGGTGGCAACCAATCGATGTGTCTCTCACGTTGATCTTTCTCTCTCTCCCCCTCCCACTCTATCTGAAGATAAGTGCAAACATGCCCTCGGGCGAGGAGAACCCCGTGGTCAGGTATGCGAAGGGGGTAGGAGATCCGGACGCTGACAGTTACCGAGGGTGTACGTGTCTGCCTCAGGCTCTGTGTCCACACGGTCTGTGTCTCTGCTTCTCTTCCTATCTAAGTCCAGGCACTTTGCCAGTGACCAGCCAGGTCCTTCCACTCGCATCTGGGACGTTTAACTGATGTGCATTTGCACTAACTTGCATTTCAAGGGCCAATCTTTGGGCAGGTGCAAAGCTCATCTTCAATTTACAGGGTCGCTGGGCTCTTCCCAACAGCGCTTTGGTTACCCCGTGACCCTGATTCCCTTGTTGCGGCAGAATAGAAACAGTATTCTCTTCCTTGGCACGTGGGGCCAGGACGGGGGGACTGCCAATCTCAGTGGCTGGGTCTACAAAACGTGAACTTCGGAGCTGCAGGGAGACCATTTTCTGGCCGCCAGGTGAACTGCAGAGCAGAGAAAATCAGTGTTTGTTTTCAAAAATAAGTTTAAAAAAGCTTTGCTGAGGTTGAGATAAAGTTGTCTTGTGAAATAAGCGTCCTCTGCTAACTTGACCTGCTAAGGTTTCAGTGGGAGCAGTAATGTTCACGGCGCAGCAAGGGCCCAGAATCCGCTGGGACTTGGAGCTGAGGGGAGGGAGCCGGCAGCTGGAGGGCTGGGCCAGCCTGCCGCTGACCACAGGGCGGGGAAAGTCAGTGCTGGGGACCCCTCCTCTCCCAGGGCAGATCGCTAACCTTCGGGAGTCCACGCTGGGGACCCCTCCTCTCCCAGAGCAGATCGCTAACCTTCGGGAGTCCACACTGGGGACCCCTCCTCTCCCAGAGCAGATCGCTAACCTTCGGGAGTCCACACTGGGGACCCCTCCTCTCCCAGGGCAAAGTGCTAACCTTCGGGAGTCCACGCTGGGGACCCCTCCTCTCCCAGGGCAAAGTGCTAACCTTCGGGAGTCCACGCTGGGGACCCCTCCTCTCCCAGAGCAGATCGCTAACCTTCGGGAGTCCACACTGGGGACCCCTCCTCTCCCAGGGCAAAGTGCTAACCTTCGGGAGTCCACACTGGGGACCCCTCCTCTCCCAGGGCAAAGTGCTAACCTTCGGGAGTCCACGCTGGGGACCCCTCCTCTCCCAGAGCAGATCGCTAACCTTCGGGAGTCCACACTGGGGACCCCTCCTCTCCCAGAGCAGATCGCTAACCTTCGGGAGTCCACGCTGGGGACCCCTCCTCTCCCAGGGCAAAGTGCTAACCTTTGGGAGTCCACGCTGGGGACCCCTCCTCTCCCAGGGCAAAGTGCTAATCTTCGGGAGTCCACGCTGGGGACCCCTCCTCTCCCAGGGCAAAGTGCTAACCCTCGGGAGTCCACGCTGGGGACCCCTCCTCTCCCAGGGCAAAGTGCTAACCCTCGGGAGTCCACGCTGGGGACCCCTCCTCTCCCAGAGCAGATCACTAACCTTCGGGAGTCCACGCTGGGGACCCCTCCTCTCCCAGGGCAAAGTGCTAACCTTCGGGAGTCCACGCTGGGGACCCCTCCTCTCCCAGAGCAGATCGCTAACCTTCGGGAGTCCACGCTGGGGACCCCTCCTCTCCCAGAGCAGATCACTAACCTTCGGGAGTCCACGCTGGGGACCCCTCCTCTCCCAGGGCAAAGTGCTAACCTTCGGGAGTCCACGCTGGGGACCCCTCCTCTCCCAGGGCAATGCGCGAATCTTCGGAAGTCCATGCCCTGCCTCTGATTTTTATTTGTACATATGAAATGCAGTTCAACTGTTTTATAAACCATGTGTCATGAAATAAAAAGTTTCCATTTTTAATGCCAGATATAAAATAAACACTCATGCCAGGCTAGTGTGGCTCAGTAGATTGAGTGTCGTCTCATGAACTGAGAGGTCCCAGTTCAGTTCCTGGTCAGGGCACATGCCCAACTTGCAGGCTCGGTCCCTGGTAAGGGGGCGTGCAGGAAGCAGCTGATCAATGTTTCTCTCTCACATCGATGTTTCTCTCTCTCGCTCTAAAAAATGAATAAAACATTAAAAAAACAAACAGCCCTGAAATTTCTTTAAAAAAAAAAATTAAAATACTCATTAAACAGAACTCTATAGGCCAGCAGAGTGATCAGCACAGTGTAAGCACTAAATAAATATTTGTTGCGTAAATGAATAGAGAATAAAGTCTTGTGTTGTGGGTTAAAATGCATCCCCCAGAAAGATATGTTGACATTCTAACCCATGGTTTCGGTGAATGTTACCTTATTTGTCAATGCAATTAGTTAAGATAGGGCTATATTGGATAGGACAGTCCCTAGACCTGGTATGAGTGGTGTCCTTACAGCCGGAGGGAAAGCTGGGCACGGAGACACCCAGGGGCGATGCCTTGTGAAGACGAGGCAGGGGCCGGGGTGATGCCCACCAGCCGAGGACTGCTGGCAACCACCAGGGCGGGGGGAAGCAGGCGCCTGGTTCCATCTGAGCCTTCAGTAGGAACCGGCCCTCCAGCCCCGGGACGAGAGAACAGATTTCCGGCGTTCCAAGCCACCTCGTCTGCGGTACTTGGTGTGGCATCGCTAGGAAACTAATACATCTCAGGAAAAAGTCTTGTTTATTACGTTCTTGAACAAGGACATCTAGTTAAGCCTGCTCAGTGTGGAGACTCTTTGCCATCTGTCCCTCCCCGCTATCCAGGGAGAGGAAATGGCAGGAGGTGGCGTCTACTGAGAGAATCTGAGAGTACAGAGTAAGTATTCCACAGACACCTGGTACCGTCAGAAACTCTCACCACTCATTTCTCAATAGCCACGCTGTAACCAGCGAGCGCGCGTATGCACCTGTCATCTTGCCCGTTGACACGGGGAAATTTGCCTTCCACCGTCTTTATTAGATGTCCGGTCAAACAGAACAGCAAAATGACTTGTAATTGATTAGTTTATTGTATCGGTAGATATAAAATTCAGTTATTATTTAAGATAACATAAAAGCATAAATCTCAAAAGCTGCCATCATATTCATCTATCGTTTCTACTTTAACATGTTTTTCAAGCTGTCTTGGACACAGACCCTCTGCCTTACCTCTGCATCAACTTCTTCCAGTACCTCAGAGAGACCCCCGGGGCCACCGACAAGGCTTTGTCCCACTGGAGCAGGAGACAAGAACAGAAACACGGCTTCTGATGCACGTCTGACTCGCAGCTTGTTTTATTGAACTCGAATTTCTAATACGAGGTTTCGGTGTGCGCATTTCCAGGATCAGTTTCGTGTTCTACCTCATTCACTCCACAGAGCATAAATGTTACCATATTTTAAAATGAAATAAGGTATGTAAAGTGTACTATTTGGCAGGAAATAGCCCAAAGTTCTAGACAGAGAGACGAGAGCTAGAGAAAGGGAGAGGAAGAGGGAGAGAAGGTGAGGGTGGGGGAGGGATACTAACTAAAGTATGTAGTTTGGAAAGTATACGAACTCATCTTCCAACACGCCAGAGTAATCTGTTCTGCGGTGTTCTATGTTCAAAGGAATACACATACTGAAATTGTCATTTTACTGTTATGTTTAACAAATATCCATTTCTATTTTTATTCTTTCCCTACTCACTTTTATAAATTATATTTATTGTACATTCTTCCTTTATAATTGATAATACTTGTCTTCATATTTAAAATTAGACTACTGATAAAGAAGCTCATTGCTCAATGAAAGCTGATTGTGACTGCTATTCGAAAACATGGATTTCACTGAATCCAAGTCTAGAGGGAAGTGCGGGAAAATATTCTGAACTATCACTACAGAAATCAAAGCTTCGTTTAATTTTATGTATTTACTTGTATTTATTTATTTATTAAGTCCTCACCCATGGATATTTTTTTAAATTGATTTTTGAAGAGAGAGAAGCATCGATGTGAGAGAGAAACATTGATCGGTTGCCTCTGATTTATGTGCCCTGACCAGGAATCAAACCCGCAACATTATGGTGTACAGGACGACGCTCCAACCAACTGAGCCAGCTGCTCAGAGCTCAAACCTTCATTTTAATTAAGGCTTTCCAAAACAGAATTCTATTGCAATTAAGGCTATAAAATTGGTCATTAGCTTGAAAATAATAGGTTCAAGTTTAAACAGGTAATTAAAAATATTATTTATAGTCATGTTACCTAAGAAAGGGAACTTGAAATATCTTTTAGAGGAAGTTTATCTATAATATAGTAAGGAGAAATGGAAAACAAGAAGTTGAAATGTAGGTTCAATTAGCTTCACCCGCTCCTTCAGTAAGAACAGGTCTTGTAAGTGAAAAGATTAAATGTCTTTCTGATCTCATAGTATTAATCTTACAGAAATAAGCGATCTGGAAGGAAGTGATAATGAACAATTACAAAGACACCACATTTCTAAAGGAAATTGGGTCATTAAGTCCATCAACAAAACTGCACAACAAAATTATTACGTTCCATAAACAGATACATGATTAAAGGATCTTCAATTCAATTAGAATTAAATTTAATTTAAAATTATAAATATCAAAATATGGAACTCAGAAAGATAAAGAATTATACCATTCTACCAAAATGTATTTATTTCCTCCGACTTTTGGTAGAATCTATTCTTTCTAATGCTGCCCTGTTAAAAGTAACCTTTAGGTCATATCTTTACCTCTTCATAAGGAAAAGCTTTACACTGCTCCTAGATTAAATGCTTTTTCATTTGCAGTGCCTTCAATAACAGTTTTAAATGACACAATCTATTATGTTAGGTCAAGCAGTAAGTATCTCTAGTGTATGAATAAAAAGGTGAATTAAATTTAATTTTGATATATTTTATTGTAACTTTATTGCTGTTTTACTTTATATTATTTATATCCCTAATATCATGTTATAATGATAAAATTAACGAACACAGAACTTGTCAAAAGAGACCAAGTATGACATGAGTTGAGCCATTCTGATCCTTTTTGTTTGTTTCTGGAAGGGTGGGAGAATTCTGTTCAAGTAAATACACGGGCAGAAAATACAAAACTCAGCAAGTTTTCAAAAACTGAACATTCCTGTAACCTGCACCCAGATCCACAAACAGAAGCCTCCCCACCTCTGATCTGTCAGTCCCCACCCACCTGCAAATGCAGGCACTGTGCTGAGTCTTATCCGGACAGTGCAGCCCAACCTTCATGGAAACTGTTTTGTTCAGTCCTCTGAACTATCCAGATGTGACATCAGGTGGTCCTCAGTGGAAACCCTTCCTCTGGCCAGGGTGGGATTTCGTTAGGACAAAGTACGAGCAAGGGGACCCTCGGGGAGCCAGCCAGCCGGCACGCCTGTCTTAGGAACCAGATCCCAGACCAGGGCAGTGGTTCTCAATCTGAACCTGCGTGAGAAGAACGTGCGGGGCTACGGAAACACAGGTCACTGGGCTGAGTCTGCAGGTCCGGCGGGGATGCCCGTGGACGAGGTCGGCTAGCCTCGGACCGCACTTGGCTACCGGCTGCTCTGAGGCACATGCCTGAGGTCAGACCGGCAGGGAACCATGTCATTTGGGAGAAGGTAAGTGTACTATTTAGTGTTTAACTGGCACTCAGAATAATCTGCTAAGCCCCTTGATGTTCCTTTAACACCACATTACCTCTCCGAGTTCAACCATGAGCTCGCAGTATCTCTGGATCTGTCCTAATCTCAAGTGCATCTCGGCAGCTTCCTTCAGTCTTTCCTCTTTGGTAGGAACACCGATGCCGCCACCGAATTTAGACATCTTGACTGTTGTCAGTTCTTGGGCTTCAGACTGGTTATAGAGAAAATAACGTTTTCCAAATTTTGTTATACAAGAGCTGGTGATAACACATGACCCCATTCTACGGGTACACAGTTTAAACGGATATAGCTAGAAATGAGACATTTAAAATATCAATACCTTTTCTCTATAAAGTAGGCTACCTCTTTAAACACAGTATTTAGGTGGGGGTGGGGCATGCGCCCGGGTGTGCCTGGTGTGGGTGTGCAGAGGCAAGTCCCGCTGCGCTGACCCTCCCGGGGCGCAGCCACACAGAGGCCCAGGGGCGGAGAGGCAGTGAGCGCCTAAGATATGCCACTGGGGAAAGATAGGCAAACCCTCCAATTACAATCAAAGTCACTGGCTTCCTCTAGTGGCCCCTCCACTGTCCACAGGCATCTCTGTCGCTAGTGCCCAGTTCTCTCCGCGCCCTGACAGTCACGTTCCGCACGGACGCCTCGATGCAAACACGGAAACTCCGTCTTCTTCCGGCCCAGGGCTGGTGTGCTGTGGGTGCTGCCTACTGCCCAGGTACGAGGTACGAATGATTCTGCGTACAGTTCGCCGAGATCTACATAACACGATGTTTTAACAGAACATATCTCAGAACATGCGGCCTGAGACTAGAACCAGGGTGGACCGCGCACCTCTCCCAGCTGGCTCAGGGCAAAGGGGAGCGTGCCAGCGTCCAGGGGCCTCGGAGGAATTCCATGAGGTCCGGCTGCTGGAAACCAAGGCCGCTGCTGCTTCCTCGAATAGTCCACACTCTACGTTACTCTCCGGCTCGGTGTGTACTGAGCACGCATCTCCTCAATGTTCATTTATGTTATTCAACCAACTCTAATTATATGAATTCTTAAAATCATCTTTATATTGTAATAGTGAAAAGGCAAAAATCTTTTGCTTGAGCACACGTTTGCACATTCGCTTACCGTTCTGAATTTAATCAGGTGTTTCAGATGCATGATCCCTTTACAGTAGTTCTGAGGAAGTAAGCTATCATCCTGTCCTTGGATCACTGCAACCAAGTTCCACAAGTTGTCACTGCCCCCTGGAGGCTGAGGAGTTGACACAGAATAACCGAAGGTGTAACAGTGAATGAGAAACCCCGCAGCGCACTGCATCTACAAACACAGTGTGGGCCTATGGGAGCTGAAAACACACAGCGACGGATACGCTTCGCCCCACGTACTGTTCCTGGTTTCCACGTGCTTCCTCACACCGCACAGGGTGTGCTCGGAGGGACCCATACGTGTAAACTGGGACGATATGTGTAAACATGACAACTTCGTGACGACGGTCGTCATGATTCATTTTGGTGCACGGGAAAAAACTCACACTCCACAACTCACACTCCACTCCCGAAATACTCACTGACAAACACTCTGAAAACCATCTGAGCTTCTTCACTCGAGGGTCACCAGCTAGCTTCTCTATTTCTTGTTTAATCTCTCTCGACACTTTGCCACACAGGACAGGAGGGGCGCCTGGGAGTATGGCGTGATCTGGAGACAGACATGGCCCAGTGAGAAAGGACTGCTGTAAAGTACTGTTGGGAAGTAAGAGCCAATAGGTGCATAGTTTCAATACCGGGGTTCCCAATGATCTCTCTCCAAGGTCTGCCTGCCACAATGCTGATCTGCAGCGGACTGATCAAAGGTGCCAGCGACCAGAGCCTCACTGTGGAGTCACGGGAGCACGAGGCCATAGTGAAGGGGCGGCTCGGATGGCAAGTTAACCCTGATGGCACAAGAAACCTGGTTTAACCAAAGTAAATACTGAAAATACTTTTTATCTAGATGGACCTCATCAAACTTGTACAGAATTGAAGTTTTGGAGAAATATTTCTATCCTGGCTGAAAATAATATGAGAATGTAATAAATTATTTAGCATTTTCTATAAATATGAATACAAATTGAGTACTTATTGGAAAGCAAATGGTCCTGGATGAAAATGTTGAAATTAAATTTCAGTTTGTTAACACCCACGGAGTGCACGGTCACCGGCGAGTTGAGGGAAGGTGAACTTCCCTTTCGATTTCAAATGTGGGAAACGGGCGCTCCCACACTCAGCCCCGCGCTGCCCACGCAACAGGCCCGGGAGGCACACGGCACAGCTGGCTCGAGCAGGGCGGCTCCCCAAGGAGTCGCTTCTGCACTTACTTCACCTGCTTATGCCCAGCAAAGTCTCGGTGCTACTAGCAAGAGTGAAGTGACGTGGAAAAGATAAGAAATCTGATTTTTCATACCCAACTCAATAATATCAAAAAACAAAACACCACTCTAATGATCCAGAAATAGAGGTAGAGGAATGGCTAAATAAGCTGTATCTACTTTGTGACTGATTTCCCATCTTACAACTTACCTCTGGAGTGAGGAGAAGAGAGGGAGAAAAATCCAAGCCATACATGCACGTATGTGCATAGGTATATGTGTGCATGTGTGCCTGTGTGTGTAGAAACACAAATACACAAATACAATTTTTTAATATTGTCTTTGTATTCTCATAGTTCAATAACATGAAGAGTTTCTAATGAGAAAATGTTATTTTCAAATGAAACAATGCAAGACTTCTTAAAAAATACTGCACTGGTCCGGCCAGTGTGGCACAGTGGATGAGCGTCGACCATGCAGCAAGAGGTCACCGGTTCGATTCCCGGTCAGGGCACATGCCCAGGTTGTGGTCCCAGTCCCCAGTGGGGGGCATGCAGGAGGTGGCCAATTGATGTTCTCCCTCATCGATGTTTCTATCTCTCTCTCTCTCCCTCTCCAAAATCAATAAAGGAAGAAAAAAATACTGCACCGAACAGAAATCATAATTAAGATAGCAAAATTTAAAAGTACACGAGAAACACTTTACCGTATACATCTGCACCATGATCACACACAGTATCCAAGCAAGTCCCTTCTCGTGTGTCCCATACTTTCACAGTGTAGTCCCAGCTGCCCGACACGAGCAGATAAGGGATCTCGGTATTCCACATCAACCCCCTCACAGGGGCGGTGTGTCCGCTGAGAACATTTATGCAGGCATCTTGAGTATAATCCCAGATTCGAACAGAACTGCAACAGAATATTATGGATATAATGCCATTCAAGTTATAACGTATCTAAAATATTAACATATTCTTATTGGAGCACAACGTATTTTTCAGTGTATTAAAAAAGCATTTTATGTTTCAAGATATGTTATGCTTCTCTTCTCTATAGCAGAGGGAAATGAATAATTAGGCTGGAGCTAGCCTATTCAGCATACAGTTATTTTTTTTCCTGACTTTTACTAGCCATTTGTTAATGATACTGAATGTATCATTTTACAGTTTATATGTTTTAAAAATTGCTTTCTTAAAATGAAATATCCAAAACAGATAAAGCCAAAGAAAACTATGATTAATAACATGGATACAACAACTTAAGAACACTCAAATTATTTGTAAATTATAAAAACACTATACATCTGGAATTACTCTCAGATCAAGTTCAAAATTTAAATATAACTGGATTCATATTACTTGAATCTGTTTATACAAAGTACAAATGTTACTAAAATAAAATTTGAACTCAAAATCAACTGAAGACCCCCAAATGCCAACTTTCCTTGGACAATCATGCTAATTATTTAGTCACAGATTTATATCAACCTGACAATACCAAAATGTTAATACTTCAAAGATTATATTATATAATACTATAAAGGAGATATATATATATTTAAGCATATCTTTACCTGAAAGGATTTTTCCCCCCTTATTCTAGTACAGAACTATGTATCTAGGTAGATCAAGACCTATTTTTGGGTGCTAATTTTTTATATATATTTACATTATTTTGTTTGATATCATATCTTTATATATAAGACTGTATTAAAGTGTTTTGTTTCAAAATACTTGAATGTTACCATGGGGGAACTGGAACAGGTGTCCCTGTTTTATGATGTAAGTTAGAATAGGCAAACATCAGGCACTGAAGTCCGTGTGTGTGTGTGTGTGTGTTTATCCTCACCCAAGGACATTTTTACATTTATCTTCAGATAGAGTGGGGGGGGGGGGGTAGAGAGAGAAACATCGATGTGAGAGACACACATCAAGTGGCTGCCATCCACATGACCCCAACCGGCCCGGGGACAAACTGCAACCGAGGTACGTGCCCCCAGCGGGAACCGAACCTGCGACCCTCAGGTATGCAGGCCGATGCTGAGCCCAACTGGCCAGGGCCTAATGTATACATTTTAATTGAACATAAGGAACACTGTGCGCGGGGACGCGTGTCTGCGCCCACCGTACATAGGAGTGCCTGAGGTTTCCAAAAGGAAGCACAGTACCTGCGAATTCTGTCATAAGTACATTGGCAATGAACGATGTCCCAACAATTTTGACTTTTTCTAAAGGTGCTGGATAACATGCTAGGTACAACCATCATCTACGTGACTACTAAAAGGACAACCAGAATTCAGTGAAGCCTTTCAACATTCATTTCCACAGTCAGTTAGATGCTTACTGCTGTCTTTCTGACAAATATTTCTTAGACAATAATTGAAGATTATGCTTCCTTTTCACGTAGAATAGAATTTGGACTCTGGAATGCATGGTAAGAGACTGGTGATAATCCCCAGACATCCCACACTATTTTTATTATTAAATTTGGGCTTATTTCAATATTTCAAGAAGAAAATACTTAATTTTCAATATTAGACCAGAGGTTACTGTATACTATGACTTATATTTGCATAAAGTAAGATTTTTCTTACTTAAATATATCTCATACTCAATAGTGACCAAACTGTATTATGCAAATCTATCTTGTTTAAATATAAAATATAGTCAAGATTTCAGAAACTTCCACAAATCCCCCCCAAATTTTAAATCACTCTCATTGCTAAAACATCCTCTTTTCATGCTAAAACATGTAAGAATCGTCTTTCACACCCTCCGTCATGGCCACACAGTACATTGTTCTCTATGCTATGTGACACATAAGCGCTTCTCTATATTTTACAGTTGTTTCCTATCTTTTTCCCTTTCCCAAATGACCCTTTTAAAATTTTTGTTTCTATTAACTTTGCTATTAGTAAGATAGAAATAAGCACCCATAGTAAGTTAAATACGTAAGAAAACAGAAATCATGACTATGTTAACATAAGTGCGGCACAGATTTAATTTAGTTTTGGTTGAATGTAATTAGGTACTTGTTAACTGCCAAAACTTTAAGTACATATTTTAAGTATTTCCCATTCCAGTTGGACCATACAAATAAGTGCGTTTCTGAAAAACTATAAGCAAATGATTTCAAGGACTAGAAAATTCGAATCTAAAACATCCATACCCATCATCAGAACCACTGCAGAGAACCCCCTCCCGCAGGGGAGACCACCTCACGTGGAACACTTTGGCTGTGTGGCCACTGAACACTTTCAGTGGCTGATCCGAGCTGGTGGCTACATAATAGACACGGACACTTCGGTCTTCACAGCCAGTAGCTATCATGTCTCTGAAAGGACATCAATGGCATATGGAAATATAAAACATGATGTTATTTGTTACTGATGATTTAAAAATGTACACAATTCTAATTTCTAGCACTAGAATTTTTTGCTTCCTTAATGAATCCCTCCCTTACCCCCCATTGGTCTTCTCCCCCCTGGTCCCCCCTACTGGCCTTCACCACACTTGTCTGTGTCCATGGGTTATGCATGTAAGTTCTTTGGTTAATCTCTCCACCTCCACCCTGTTCCTCTGAGATTTATCAGTCTAACAATGTGTAATAATCTTCTGTATTGACTGGAAGAAATACACAGATCTGTCATTTTGTATAAAATGTGACTTGATTCAGAACACAGGTGCCCTGGCCGGTTTGGCTCAGCGGTTAGAGCGTTGGCCTGCGGTCTGGAGAGACCCGGGTTCGGTTCCCGCTAGGGACACGTACTTCGGTTGCAGTTTGTCCCCGGCCCTGGTCGGTCGTGTGGGTGGCAGCCACTCGATGTGTCCCTTTCACATCGATGTTTCTCTCTCTCTCTCTCCCCCTCCCACTCTATCTGTACAAAAATTGCAAAAATGTCCTCGGGTGAGGATAAAAAAACAAAACAAAACAAACAAACAAAAAAAACACAGGTAAAATAAAGTATTAATAGTTTCGCATGTATATTGTCCACCTGTAATATGAAAATCATAAGATAGTTCACACTGTTTTAACGCATCTGAAGAGAGTTTGAACTTCTAAGAGCAACGTACATCGCGTCAAAGAGAGGCTGAAGCTCAAGACTCGGAGGTGCGATGAGTTCAGGATCAATTTTAGTGGAGGTGTGACTTGGACGATGTTTAAATCTAAGCTGGTTTTCACACGGTGACTATCAGGCTCTTAAGCAAGGCTGACTTTCAAAACCATCCGTGTGTGTTCCACATGGGGGCGCTCACCCCTGCTGAGGCACCAGCACTGGGCAACGGGAGGTCCTGGCAGACCCAGACACTGCACAGGCCCCTAACAGGGCTAGTGCAGGCCCTGTTCTCTGACAGAATCCACACCACACACAGATTGGACTGGTTTCCATTTTTCATTATTAGCCATATGCTTTGTGGTAAAGCATCAGGAAGTTGTTTTGAAAGCAGGAAATTGATATTTCTAAATCATGTAAAAATTCATGAAATAAAAATAAACATCTAGAATAAATAAGCAATTAGAAGGCTAGACAAGGGGAATATTACCAAAAAAGAATGATTGGGACTAACATTAAACTTTATGGTGTAATTATTACTTATTTCAGGAAAAAAAGACACTCACTTGTTGTTTTGGCTCCAATCACAACCAAACACGGCAGCAGGATGTTTGTACCTGTGTAGTACTTTACCACTGACTGTTCGAATAATACTGAAATTACAGAAAAAAACATTCTGAACAGTTCATTCAAGGGATCAAAGAATTGTATTAGTCACACAAACGTAAGTATTTTAGGATGAGACCTTGTTTGCAGAGTACTGGGAACATTAGAAAATACTGTGCAAATGTTATTATCAATTATGAGTATGCATATTTATATCACATATAATTAATTATGGTAATCCATTTATATCCATTTAAAGGTGACACATTTTTATTTGGAAACTATTATAGAATTTTTGATTGAGGAAAAGCACAATTTATACATATATTTTAAAACATGATATAACATATGTATTAGATATTTAGCTTCAGCATTTATATTTAAAACAACTAACTGAGCCCTTCCAGTGTGGCTCAGTGGACTGAGCACCATCCCAGGGACTGAGAGGTCCTGGATTCCAGGCAGGTGCACAGGCCCAGGCTGCAGGCTCCATCCCCAGTAGGGGGCGTGCGGGAGGCAGCCAATCAATGTTTCTCTCTCCCATTGAAGTTTTTCTCTTTCTCTCTCTCTAAAAAAAAAAAAACAAAAACAAAAAGAAATATTAAACCAACTAATTTATAATGCTGATTATACATACCATCACACCATCACACCAAGTCCAAGATGTATAAGTTTTAATACTTCTCTGCATATTCTAAGTGATATAACTAATATTCAAAAGACCCCCTTCTCCCTGAAAGGATCCAATATACTTTGACTGCAAAAATAAGAGAAGCTCCAATACCCCACTCCACGAGACCACAATGCAAGGGCCATTGAGTCCGTTAGAAAGAAACGTTAGTTGTGTGCGATGTTTCACGTCTCTGGAAAGCCTCTCTGAGACACCGGGAGGCCCCCCACAGCGCCCGAGTTGCTGGGGGTGTGGGACGGATGCTCAGTCTGGCCACCTCTGATGAACGACTGTGCTTATTCATCACACAGGTGAGCCCGGCCAGTCCCTGGGAAAGCTAATCATGTGTCACCTGATCAAAAAACACTTGGGCACATTAAAAAATATATATATATTGGTTTGTATCAATTTGCAAATAGATCTTTTCAAGGAAAATATCACTTATATGGCTATTTCTGAAAATGTCAATTTCCTGTAAAGAAGTTCGGGTTCCATGGGTGCCGTCTTCCCCACGGAGATTACAAGGTGAGCGTGAGGGAACCTGGGGCAAAGCAGAGCCTCAGGCGAGACGAGCTACTGCCACCAACAGCCAGGAGAGTTGCGTCAGCGTCAAAGGCCAACGCCTGCAGCTGCAGGGCCGCCACCTGGCTGAGGCCATTCGTCCCCAAAGGCAGTTCTTCCCACACGTGTTCTTTCGTGGAAACCTACTTTTCCCTAGAACTTAACAGAATTCAGAAAGCTCATATTTCTGAAACATAGGATCAGCGAACTGAGCATCTAAAAAAGGTATTTTCCACACGAATTACCTTATTCCTCTTTGCAGAGGCTTCTTATATTTCTACAAATAGCAGCGCCTCCAAAACTGTGAAGAAGTTTCTAGAGCACCTGATATCTCCTGCGTCACTCTAAAACTGAAATGCCACTCCCTCAAAACTCTGAAGAGATCACTTAGACTCTCCGTAAACGGTCCTTCGAGTCTCTTTGAGGCAATTCGCAGTCCTTTAGTTGTCGTTCAGGTAGGGTTTCACTTGCAACAACTGCTGGCTTCTTTACTTCCGATCATCATTCCACTGTCATCTACTACCGACACCTCAGAGCAGCAGAGCACATGCCGCTGTGGACTTACGGACACTGCTTGTGAGAGCTGGAGAGGTGCCCAGCTGGAACCGCACCGACTCTGCCGCATGCGCTAACGGGGTGCAATGGACAGGACCCACTGCGTCCTTCCCGGACAGTGACTCTGTGCGCGGCACTCACCAGAAGCCATCGCCGCTGCAGGTCGCTATTCTCCTGGAATCTTTGTGACCCCAGGCAATGCAGAATATTCCATTCTTTCCATGCTTCAAAAAATGCAAAACACCTATCAATGAAAAATAATTCACCCCCTTTTCTCTTATTTATTTACTTCCTCTAGGTATTATTTCTGCACTAGGAGCTTCAAGGGTGGGGAATGTCTGGCCCACAGGCAGTGTAAGGCCCGTGCAATCACCCAGCTAACATCACCGCCTCACCAAATCAGCCTGACCAAATGCAGCAGGCCAGTCTTTAAGTTGATAATTTTGTATGGCCTGCAAATGATGTTATAAATATCCAAATGGCCCTACGCAGAAAAAAAAGGTTCCCTACCCCTGCTAGATGATGCTAAAAGAGACATCACTGCCAACAGCAGAGATATGCATTAAGAACGTGTCATGTTGTCACACTTGACCAGCAAAGTCATTGCTGCAGAACATGAACTGGGCGGCTCTGGTTCTCCTTGTGGACACTGGTAGAGCCAGAACCTGCTGCTGAGCCTTCGGTGGAACTCAGCTCTGCCAACGCCTTCTCCTGCAAACACCCGGCTGGAGCCGAGGAGAGTTATCTGCTTCCTCACCCAGCACAACTGTGACCAGTGTAAGAAACATCGCAGAAAACCGTTACCATTGATTGTTCTTCTCAATTTCAAAGTTTTATTTACATAAAAACAAAGGAGAGCATATTTAAGATCATGCCTACAACCAATAACTCTATATTTATGTGTTCATTTGCATTCTTGGTCTGAGAAAGGTGAAGGGATATAGTCATAGCTGCCGTGATGAGAATTCTTCAAACACAAGAAATATATTATTATCCTTGGGAATATCCTTCAGCAACTGAGTCGTGAGTGAATAAGGACTGAATCAGCCCATTTCCAAATCTGATTTAAAACACTTCACTCTTCCATAAGACTCAAGTGTGGCTGTTAAGGGGAGAGCAAAGTGCCTTTAATCCTGAGCTTTAGTCTGTTGGACTAAGGTTGTCCTGTTTGAGGTTCCTACCTCTTGGGAGGCTAGGTGGAGGAGGCTCGTAAAGATGGATACAGCAAGGGCGTCTCTCTCAGCTGAAGGCGTGGAGGCCTTCGGCCAGTTTGTCACCCCACGCAGAGGGCACTAGGACTCTCGAACGTCCTGCATTTCCTGTGTGAGGCCCATGTGACTGCTGCTTCAAGCTGGCACTGCTAATTCCCCCATGTGCATTCTCCTAGATGTGACTACGAAATGTCCTTGGTGCTAAGATGCTGGGCGCTGGAGTCGGGCTGGGAGGGCTCAGTGCCAACGGGCAGGCAGGTTAGGTCACACGATGCCATAAGAACAGATCAATAGACCTCACACCCAAGGATAAAAGTTTTGGATCTAGATCAAAAGTTTCCTTTTCAGGTTAATTTCTTCTCATATCCCTATTTGTTCAGGTTAAGTGTTGTTCTGGTGGGGAGGGTGGAGGGGAGGCTGGGGCACTGCTGGATGAGAGCTGTTCTGTGGAGAAAAGGGAGGTCAGCACACGGTCCTCTGGGGGGTTCCCTTTTCCGAGCAACTCTGCTCACTGGGGTGTGGGTCTCCCAGACACTCTGCGCCTGTCACATGTCTCAGAACCCCCAGATCAAGGCTACTTGGTCCTCAAAGGGATAACAGTCCTTTGCACAGATGGTTTTAATACCTCAAATACATTAACGATTTTCACAGAAGTTATGTATTTAATACACTTGAACAGCAACCATTGGAAAGGAATGAAATTTCAAGAGCAAGAAGCAATCCTGGGTTCTGTGCTACTGCTCTCGACTCATTTCTAACACACTGTCCAGGTGATGAGACCGCGTGTTTCCCAAGAGTGGGCTCGTAAGCTATGGACAACAATCTGACTCCAAGTGGAGGTCAAAGGACCATCTGTGACAGAACAAACAGTAAGAGGAGAGGTTCTGGAACTTGTCATGGAATACGAGAATTTAAGGACTGAAGGGAAATCCAAGGAATTCTATAACCCAACTTGACCGTCTTACAGGTGAAGAGTCGGGTTCAGGCAATCAAACGAATCTCCGCACATCAAGAGCCAACGAGTAAGAGAACTGGGGCCCTAACTTGGGAGTCCTGAGTTTAGTCTCTTCCAGCTACTGAATATTTGCCCAGATACTCCAGGGAGAAAGACTCAAAGTTCCCCTGAATCTCCAATGCAATTTGAGGTGGATTTTTATATCTTAGACGCATTTACATTTTTCAGAATTCATTTTAGCATGTAAACATCGTCTTAGGTTTTCTTCTAAGACAGAGAACATAACGCCACCTGGTGATTAACTATTAAATTAAGAGACAAAAGCATTTTAAAATATGGAGCAGTACAAGACATTAGGTCCGTCAGCTACCAGTAAATAACGTCTTACCTCATTAAATCGGTGTACTATTTTGCCCTTTTTAATATCCCAAATGAAAGCACCGTTTTGGGAAGTTGCTCCAGCAATACAATTCAAATCACCTTAGGAAACAATTTGTTAGACATTGTAAGAAATGTCTTCCAGAAATGTGTGTTTTGAAAATTACATTTTTGAAAAAGACTTGAGATTTGCAAAGTAGTTCTTTAAACATTTTTATATGGAAATCATTAAATGTATGTATGCAACCACAGAGGACAGTATGAATGCACATCATCGAATGCGTGCAACCACAGAGGACAGTATGAATGCACGTCATCGAATGCGTGCAACCACAGAGGACAGTATGAATGCACGTCATCGAATGCGTGCAACCACAGAGGACAGTATGAATGCATGTCATCGAATGTGTGCAACCACAGAGGACAGAAAGAATGCATGTCATCGAATGTGTGCAACCACAGAGGACAGTATGAATGCATGTCATCGAATGTGTGCAACCACAGAGGACAGTATGAATGCATGTCATCGAATGTGTGCAACCACACAGGACAGTGAGAATGCACGTCATCAAATGTATGCAACCACAGAGGACAGTATGAATGCACGTCATCGAATGTGTGCAACCACAGAGGACAGTATGAATGCACGTCATCGAATGTATCAACTACACAGGACATTATGAATGCATCCATCCTTCTACAAATATCAAAATACTGTCAGCTGTGTTTTGTCTATAGCCCCCACTCAATTTCTTTCTGTGAACTGGTGACATTATATCATTTCACCCATAAACCCTTCAGTATGGATGCCTAAAACACAGGGTCCCGTTCATTAACATGACCAAGTATCACAATCTCAAATCCTAAAATCTTCAGTAATTCCTCAATATCATCACATACCCAGTCAGTATTTACATTCCTCTGACCATCTAGCAATTGTTTTCATGGTTGGAGAAGTATTTATGTAAGCAAAACACATGACAAAAATTTGCTTTCTCTTTTAAAAACAAATAACGCTTAGTTTTTAAGAAGAAGACAATGTGTAAGGACTGCACTGCTGCCCGTCAGTAGCCAGAGAGGACGTCAGTGCTGTCTCCAGGCTGTCAGAGTGCAGGCTTCTCCATAAGGAAAGGAGGTCAGCCCAGCCCGTGTGGCTCAGTGGTTGAGCATTGACCCTGCACCAAGAGGTCGCCAGTTCGATTCCCGGTCAGGGTACATGCCCAGGATGTGGGCCAGATCCTCACTGGGGGGCGTGCAGGAAGGGGCCAATGGATGTTCTCTCTCATCGATGTTTCTCTCTCTCTCTCCCTCTCCCATCCTCTCTCTCTAAAATCAATAAAGAAACAAAAATTAAAAAAAGAAAGAAAGAAGGTCAAAGAAAAGACCCTATGATGACATAAAAGTCCTTCACTATTCAAAGGTGAGTTTACATGGAATTCATGACATGGTCACAAGTGAACTATGATGATATGGAACCATTCCTATTTACAAAACAGTTGTATCAGGGAAATACAGATATTATACTTTCAGGAAAATAAAATTTTAATTTCCATATATTTGATTCACATGAAAATTTTAAGGAAAACTTTGAAGGAAACTGGGTTATATCATTAAAGGCAAAACGATACAAATGCAGCTACAATTGGACGAGTCACAGTTAACCTGCTTTACCTTGGCTTTTCTATCTGATTGCGTCATATGAAAGGACCCCGAAATCACAGTGCCTACACAGGGCGTCTACTCTAAAACCCCACCAAAAACTGACCCAACAGGTGTGGAACTAATCTGCCTTCACAAGCATTGGGAAGAAGACAGCTCTAAGGGGAAGAAGAGCGTTCAAAGGAAAATAAAAGTCATTTAATCGTATTCCTGACTTTAAGGAGATACTTGTACCTGGAGCCCACGAGAGGGAATAAATGACGCCTTCATTCCCCGGGGACGTGGACACGGCGGTCAGTGTGTTTACGTCCCAGACTTTGATAGTGCCGTCAAACGAAGCTGTTGCTAAGAGATTGGGGTCGTCGGGCTTGAATTTGCAGTCGAAGATGGTTTCCACGTGTCCCTGGGAATGCAGCACAAAGGGTCACAACTACTGAGGAAACGTCACATCATTAATTAGCAAACCACGGTGTCTAACCATGTACTCCCGTCTCCAGAAACGAGTGCACAAACAAGGCGACGAGCGCAGACATGAGCGCGGCGCCGCACACGGGCCGTGCAGTTGCTGCTGCGCCCGCTCGCACGGTCCGACCTTGTCACCCAGCTCCTCACACCAGCAACACACACAAGACGTTCAGAAGTCTGATTTTCAACTTCAGCTCAGTCCATCTCTCTTCTGTCATATACAGAATATTATGCTAGGAATATATAGAGTAATTAACTATTAAAACTTATGATGTCATTCTGGTAGTATAATAAAAGACCAAGATATGAATGAAACTAAAAGACCTTTAATGCAAATACTCCTTTTTTTTTTTATACCAATGGCATTCTCCAAAAGAACTTCACAATTTGAACCAAAAGAAGAATCGACATCGTCTTGTTTTTAATGAGTCTTGTTCCAAAATATTCTAGCAAGTTTATTCTTAGGAACACACAATTCTTGGTCCCAACGCATGGTGGTTTGGACGCTGACATCCCACAAACTGGGAAGTGGGATGTGCAGATGTATGTAAGCATACCTTCAGCGTGGAGACTCGTTACCACGCGCCTGTGGGAGAACCCGGTGAGGTCTAAGGTCAGCAGCCAGATCAGTCTGCCCAACACTGGGGAGCGCAGCTGAGCTCCTGCTCCAGGCAGCAGAAGCTGTGAGATGCTGGGACTGGGGGGTTAACACAGGGGCAGGCTCTCTAGTCCCAGTGACTTCCTTAACGGCCCAGAGGGGACCTGCAAGGCGCCTCTCCAGGCAGAGGAGGGAAGTCTCAGGAGTTAGCAAGAGGGACGGGTCTGTCCAGCCACAGGTCCAGGGCAGGAGCCGTCCCTCTCGTCAGTGTTAAGAACGCACTGCGCAGGGGCCACCTGTATGTGCCTTTTTCAGCGTTAGGTCACGGTCTGCCTTCAAGTTTATCTTTGAAATGTGAGAAATCATATGGCAAGAACTAAACAGTGACTGCTTCTCCATTGTCTTCTTATCAGAAGGGTGCAGGGAGAATGATGAGCACCTTCCGTGTTCTGCTCGAGTCGACGTTCACGTGGAAGTCACCTTTCAGAAAGCGTATGGGTGGGCTTTCCTTCTCCCGTGTACCTGGGCGTCTCTGCAGGTGCGTTACGCTCCCCACATGAGAACCAGCTGTGTCTTCTGGTAACATTTCTAGCCTCTCAAATTTGGGTCTGTGTTAGGGATGACAGCAACTATAAGAACAAAACGCACAGCCTCTTCTGACTGGCAAACACTTTTATTTATTTATTTATTTACTTATTATTTTTTAATTAATTATTTTTGTTACAGATGTTTCTCCTTTCCTCCCACTGATTTCCCCCCTCCCTCATCCTCCCCACCCTGTCTCCACCTTTGTTGTCCATGTCCACTGTTCACCCATACATGCATATAAGTTCTGTGGTTTATCCCCCCTGCACCCCCTCTTCTGGGGATTGTCAGTCTGTACCCCACTTCCATATCTCTGGGACTACCCCATTCCGCAGACTGTTATGTTCATTATATTCCACAAATAAGTGAGATCATGTGATATTTGTCTTTCTCTGCTTGGCTTATTTCACTTAGGATGAGACTTTACAGGTCCCTCCACATCATCTCAAAGGATAAGAGATCTTTCTTTCTTACCGCTGCATAGTACTCCATTGTGTACATGTACCACTGCTTTTTTATCCATTCGTTTACTGATGGACACTGGGCTGTTTCCAGATCTTAGCTATTGTAAATAGTGCTGCTATGAACATTGGGTACATATATTCTTTCTGATTGGTGTTTCAGGCTTCTTAGGGTATATTCCCAGAAGTGGGATCACTGGGTCAAATGGAAGATCAATTTTTAATTTTTTGAGGTAACACCATATTGTTTTCCATAGTGGCTGCACCAGTCTGCATTCCCACCAGCAGTGTACTAGAGTCCCCTTTTCTCCACACCCTCGCCAAAACTTGTCTTTTGATGATTTGTTGACGGTGGCCATTCTGACAGGTATGAGGTGATACCTCATTGTTGTTTTAATTGGCATCTCTCTGATGATTAGTGATGTTGAGCTTTTCTTCATATGTCTCTTGGCCATTTGTATGTCCTGTTTGGAGAGGTGTCTATTTAGTTCCTCTGCCCATTTTTTAATTGGGTTCTTTGTCTTCCTTTTGTTGCATTGTATGGGTACTCTATATATATATTAGAAATTAACCTCTTATCTGATATATCATGGACAATGATGCTCTCCCATAGAGTGGGTTGCCTTTCCGTTTTGATGATTGTATCTTTTGCTGTGCAGAAGCTTTTGAGTTTGACGCAGTCCCATGTATTCATTTTCTCCTTTGTGTCTGTTGCCTTAGGTGATGTATCAGTGAAAATTCTGCTGCATATAATGTCTGAAATTTTGTTGCCTATATTTTCTTGTAAAAATTTTATGGATTCATGAGTCACATTTAAGTCTTTTATCCATTTTGAGTTTATTCTTGTATATGTTGTAAGTTGATGGTCTAGTTTCATTTTTTTGCATATAGCTGTTAAATTTTCCCAACACCATTTATTAAAGAGGCTGTCTTTACTCCCCTGTATGCTCTTGCCACCTTTGTCAAATATTAATTGAGCATATTGCCTTGGGTCCATTTCTGGGTTCTCTGTTCTGTTCCACTGTCTATATGCCTGTTCTTGTGCCAGTACCAGGCTGTTTTGATTATAGTAGCTTTGTGGTATAACCTGATATCCGGTATTGTGATCCCGCCAACTTTGTTCTTCTTTTTCAAGATTGCTGTGGCTATTTGAGGTCTTTTTTGGTTCCATATAAACTTTTGAAGTATTTGTTCTAGTTCTGTGAAGTATGTCGTTGGTATTTTGATCGGGATTGCATTGAATCTATAGATTGCTTTGGGTAGTATGGACATTTAAATAATGTTAATTCTTCCAATCCATGAACAAGGTATGTGCTTCCACATTTTAATATCTTCCTCTATTTCTTTTTTTAATGACCTGTAGTTTTCTGCGAATAGGTGCTTTATTCCTTTGGTTAAGTTGATTCCTAGGTATCTTAATTTTTTTGCCACAATGGTAAATGGGATTGTTTTTTTAGTTTTTCTTTCTGTGAGTTCATCATTGGTGTATAAGAATGCCATCAATTTCTTGATGTTAATTTTGTATCCTGATACTTTGCCAAATTTATTTACTAAGTCTAGTAAATTTTTGATGGAGTCTTTGTGGTTTTCTATGTATAGTATCATGTCATCTGCGAATAATCATGTCCCATGCTGTGTGAAGGGCTGACAGTTTCACTTCCTCCTTTCCCATTTGGATCCCTTTTATTTTTTCCTCCTGTCTGATTGCTGTGGCTAAGACTTCCAATACTATGTTAAGTAAGAGTGGTGAAAGTGGGCATCCTTGCCTTGTGGCAAACACTTTTAAAGTGACAAGATCCACTGAGATCATTTATAATCAAGGAATCTTTTAGTTTTTATTGAATTATAAATATAGTTTTAAAAACAAAATATACTTTAAAATGAGGATATACACTCAATAGACTGTCTATTGAACTTAGATTGCCTAATTTCTTTACTAATGTAAATTTTAATATTTAATTGTTTTGTTATATTTTTCTTCCTTCCCTTTCATGATTCTTTTTAAAGTAAGTGGTAAATTGAAATAATAGAAAAAGTTTGCCATACTGGGAAAGCATTTACATGGAAAGACAAGTTTATGGGGAAAGAAAATTAAATGATCTAAAGACTATCTACAAAAGGAATATTTTTTAAAGTATATTTTTATTGATTTTTTTAGAAAGAGAGGAAGGGAGAGAGAGAAATATCGATGTGGGAAAGAAACATGAATCAACTGCCTCCTGCATGCCCCCTACTGGAGATCAAGCCCACAACCTGAACTTGTATTCTGACCGGGAATCCAAACGGGACCTCTCAGTGCCTGGGATGATGCTCGATGCACTGAGCCACATGGGCAGGAGTACTTTCAAATAACTAAGCTACACACTGTTAAAAAACATTTTTGCTAACATTCAACATTATTATTTGAGGACAAAATTAAATTAGTCCTGAAATAATAGTTTTTTTGAATATATATATATATATATATATATATATATATATATATATTTTTTTTAAACCAGATCAGTTATAGCTCTAGACTCTTTTCTAAGATTTTCCGTGGAAAAACATTAACATTTAAAAGTTTCTTAAATGTCTAGATTAGTATAATTCAAACCTGTAGGGAAAAAATGGGCACTTTTGTAAACTCTGAGCGAGGGAAAATGAAGGATAAATCTTCCCAGTACCGATGTCAACACAGCACACATGCTCCATGCATGGCATGCACTCAAGAGACTGCGCGAGTCCTCCACGTGCCGCACGCTGTTTCAGGCAGTGGAGATGAAGCACAGACCAAAGCCAAACAAAGATGTGTGTCCTCAGCAAGGCTGGATTCTAGTGCGTAGAGAGGCTCAGTGATTGTAAGAACAGAAGCTTATAGAATCAGAACTGTTATGATGATGTCATGATAAAAATAAATCTTGAAAATACTTAATCCAGCCGTGCTCATGTCCAGCTGAGGACGCCCAAGCTCGGAGGAACGGGCGGGGGGGGTGTTCTCCCCCTAAGAGTGTGCTGCCCTCACTGCGCCCCGACTGGCAAGGCAATCCCCGTGCTGTGTGAAGGCTGGCACGGTCCACGCCACCGCAGAGCCATCACAAGCCAGGCATTCCTGCTAACAGGAGTGCCACATTCAACATTTAGAGAATTTCAATAGTGTGTCATCATTCCATACATTATTCTAAAATGTTTTAGCCGACCAAGATAAAGTCCTAATAGATGATTCTTTAAAAAAATAAATTTTAACAATATTAATGTATAAGTAAAAGGAAACATCAGGACCTTCACAAGGTAAGTGTTGTGTCACAGAAGGAACGACCGCAGACATACCATGTCCCGAAGAAAATCCCACTTCTTGGCTCCCATGTCGTAAAGTCCAACACCACCATCCAGGAAACAGCACAGGGCATGGCCTGGAGGAAGGGAAAAGGCCTGGCTCTGGGCCAGAGTGGGCGGGGGCACCGCCTCGCTGGTGGAGGACGTGTAGTGATTTGGGGCTGGAGGCTGGATGGAAACTGAAAAAGAAAAAGTTGGTGAGTCAACATTCATGCCTGCAGCTTCCCATCTGCTGGAATGAAACCCCGGGGCTTGACTCCCAAAGATGCTCCTTTGTTTCCCTGCACCCAGAACATGCACAGTGAACCCTGCGACAATCACATCTTCTGCCAGGAGGACTTTTGCAGCTTTGCCAAAAGGCAGGGTGGGCTGAAGCAGGTTTACAGTTGTGTGGATGGAAAGTACCACAATAATTAATAAGTAATAAGACGAGAATAAACTCTGTGTTCCATGTACTCACAACTGCAAACCTACTTTTGCCCACCCTGTCTATACCCATATACACAGAACTGGATATTATTCTGAAAAGAGGTATACAAAAGTGCAGGGGAGCAGAATGGTTGAAAATCTGTGTGAGGACCACAGTGTGTTGTGAATATCTGGTTCTTATCTCCCCATAAATGAAAGCACACAGTGATGATTTTTCAATTACAATCCTCTTTACAAGTCTTGATATATTAATTTACCCCCCTCCACACACAAACACGTGTGACTTTTTCTTTTAAAGCTTATAACTTTCTTCTACTAATTGCCAATTCAATAAAAATAATTGTTTTTGAGATTATATAATTCACTTCAAGTTAGCACCCAATTTTATTTATTTTTGTTACAGATGTTTCTCCTCCCCCCACTGACACCCTCCTCGCCCTGTCCCCAGCTTTGTTGTCCATGTCCATTGTTCATGCACACATGCATCTAAGTTCTGTGGATTATCTCCCCGCCCAACCCTTCTTCTAGGGATTGTCAGTCTGTACTCCACTTCCACGTCTCTGGGACTACCCTGTTCTTCAGACTGTTATGTTCATTATATTCCACAAATAAGTGAGATCATATAATACTTGTCTTTCTCTGCTTGGCTTATTTCACTTAGGATAATACTTTCCAGGTCCCTCCATGTCATCTCAAAGGATAAGAGATATTTCTTTCTTACAGCTGCATAGTACTCCATTGTGTACATGTACCACTGCTTTCTTATCCATTTGTCTACTGATGGACATTTGGGCTGTTTCCAGATCTTAGCTATTGTAGATAGTGCTGCTATGAACACGGGGGTACATATATTCTTTCTGATTGGTGTTTCAGGCTTCTTAGGGTCAAATGGCAGTTCAATTTTTAATTTTTTGAGGTAACACCATATTGTTTTTCATAGTGGCTGCATAGCACCCAAAGTTTGTCTGACATCCATGTGCATCTTAGTTTTTCTCTCTTCTTCCTCAGGTTTACGTTAACCGTTCGTTCACTTCCATTTCTCCAAATTTCTATCACACAGGTGTCCCCATATTTAGTTATTTTGTTTCTTCTTTCAAGAAGTGTTTCTTTAGAACATGAATATTCTTTTGCACACACAATTCAAAATAATGATATCACTGTAAATTATCAGACTAATCTATATTAATTACATAGTGGAACATAGATAAATATTTCCCAGATATTCTCTCTTTTTTAATATGTTCTTCTTTTTTATTCAAATATAGTAAAGTCTTCCTTATTGCATTCATTTGGCTCACACTCATTCTTAGAATCTGAGAATGGTAGGAAGTCCATACTAGAATAAGCTGCTAATAACAAAAGAAGCATTTGAGTCAATGAAATTTTGTTGACAGTTTGGTTAAAATTAATACGATCCATGACTCCTTTTTCGAATATTTTAATTAACTGACATCATGGGTGCTTTGACACCTTTATATACCTACCCATCTGTAAGTCATCTGTTTTTTAGAATTTGGTCTGTCTATATTTAACATCTTCATTTTCACAAAATTTTTATTTCACACTTTCTGTTACAGCAAAGAATAATGGGTTGAAAGACTAGATATCTAACACTAGATTACCTGAAAGAAATGACGAGATTGGTATGTACTTTATATTTTATGATTTTTTTCTAATGAGCATGAACTACTTCTGTAATATGAAAAGAAATATGAAATAGGAGAATTGGGGGTATTCCACTCATCCCATGATGTGAAAGTTCATAGCAACTAAACAAAGAAACAAATAACTACCAAAACCGGCAGGATAGCCAGACAATGTATCCGCCCCCAGAATGTTCCTTTTGCAGTCTGAGCTAGAAGTGTTGTGGCTCCACAGAAAAGCTCACATTGTGTGTCTTTCGAGGTCCCTTCAGCACAAATACTGTATTTGCTTTTCAGTAGCGTGTGGTATTTGATATGCACACATCACTACATCAGCCTTTTTATCTGAAAGCAGCAAATACCATGAACTCTGATGATACTTTTACTTACATTTTCTTCTTGGAGGAGAGTTAAGTACATGTAAGCAGTGAAATCCTGTTTTCTTTAACTTAAAATTATCAATAGGTGTTGTTCTTGAGACATTCCAAATGCGTAAAACACCAACTTGAGAATCTAGTCAGGAAAAAAGCATTCTGTTAACAAATTTTATTTGAAATATAAAATGCCCAGACAGGGAAGTAACCAAAAAAACTTCGACTTGTAAGATTTTTAGCACGGCTAATTGGCATTCTTCAAACAGTAAGATTGTATAATAATACAATGAAAGAAACAACTAAAACACTATTCAGTGTTTAAATTTTTCATACATTTACTACTTTTCCTGTTCCTGACCCTTCTCTAGGATGAGAAACTGCCTTCCATGGCCCCTCCCCCACACAGGTCAGCATGACAATCTGATCACAGAAAGCCCCACTGACCCCGTGCGCTTGGAAAGCCAGGCCGAGAGCTCCCCACCAACGCTCAGCGACCCTTCCTCGTCTGAAATGTCCGCAAGCTGCTCCCTTGCTCTCCTGTGGCCAGACGAGGATGCCCCATAACCCTGAAGGCCAGCCAGAAGGCCTGTCCCCTCCCAAAGCTCCACCTTAGTAAGCTGCTTTGGGAAACAATCTGGCAGTTCTCCAAATGACTAAACATGGAGCCACCACGTCACCACATGACCCAGCAACTGCCCTCCCGTGGATATGCCCAGTCCAGCAACAAATACACCACCCACAAGCCTGTCACAGATGCTCACAGCTGCGTGTGCACAACAGCAAGAAGTAGAGAACGTGAAATGTTTATCAACTGATGGGCAGACGGACAAATCTGCGTATCCGTGCAATGGAACAGAGTTCACCCACACGCAGGAGTGGCTACTCGCACACCCAGCAACACAGATGAAGCTGAATACTTTGCGCTAAGTCAAGCCGGACATAAAAGCCACACACTGAGTTACTTCATCTCTACAAAACGTAAAAATCCAGAGACAGAAAGTAGATCAGCAGTGTGTGCACACACGTGTCCACCAGGGGCTGGGGAGGGTTGACGGAGAGTGACTGCTAGAGGGTCCAGACGGGGTTTCCTGGGGGGACAGGGAAATGTCTGCAGTCCAATAGTGGCAGTTTGTACAACTCTGTGAATGTCGAAACCACTGAACTGTACACTTTAAAATGGTGAGTTTTATGGTATGTGAATTTTATCTCAATAATAACAACAATGATAACAGCTATATAAAAAACTCCCATGTCTATCATTAATTATACCCTGTAAAATTAAAGGGCAATTAGGACATAATAGTCTGTCTACATCCATGTGTAAGGTAAGTGCTTAAAGTAGTAAGGAATTTGTTTTTCAACCAGTTTACCTTCAGTACCATTCCACACCCGTTTCAGCTGCACAGCAAAGTGGCGGAAAACCACGCTCTACAGAGTGGGCCCCCCCCAAGCCCCCACCGCCCCAAGGCCTGTTTTCATGACAGTACTGACGACTCTCCGTGCTGCACTCCGCATCGCTGGGGCTGTTCTGCGCCTACCAATCTGTGTTGTTCAACCCCTTCACCTTCCCACCCAGCCCCCGAAACGCCCTCCCCTCTGACGCTGTCAGTCTGTTCTCTGTGTCTAGGAGTCTGCCTCTATTTTGTTGGTTTGTTTTGTTCATTAGATTCCACATATAAGTGAGATCATGTGGTACTTCTTTTCCTGACAGGCGTATTTCAATGAGCATATGCTCTTCAGGTCCATCCATGCGGTCGTAAAAGGTAAGATTGCCTTCCTTTCTATGGCCCAGTAACAGTCCATTGTGTAAGTGTGCCACAGCTATGCTGGCCGGTGTGGCTCAGTGGACTGCGCGCTGCCCCATGGACTGAGAGGTCCTGGTTTGATTCCAGTCGGGGCACAGCCCGGGTTTCAGGCCTGATCCCCAGTAGGGGGCGTGCAGGAGGCAGCCGATCCATGTTTCTCTCTCACATGGATGTTTCTGTCTCTCTCTCCCTGCCTTTCTCTCTAAAATATCAATAAAAACATATTAAAATAAAAAAAAATAAATGTACCACAGCTTTTTTATCCACTCGTCTACTGATGAACACTTGGCCTGTTTCCAGGGCTTGGCTATTGTAAATAATGTTGTAAAGAATTTCTTTAAAAATGTTGAGAGGATGAAGACTTTGTCTTTTATTTTACGCTAAGCAAATAAGGGAATTATTTGTATAGTAGCTGACTGTGCTGTCGCGTCAGAAGCCGCTCTTTCTGAACCTAAGTAAACAGTAAAAGCAGAGTCATTTGAATTCTAGTTGCTATTCTACGTTCCCCCATCTTCCCATCCCCCATCACTTCTCAGCTTTGCTCGTTCTCTCGATTAGGAAACCACGAAGGAGCATCCTTTCAACCACGGTGACAAATTCTGGGGCTACCTAGGGTACGTGGGCACTGATATCACAATGGCCAGTAAGGCTAACAGGCCTCCTATCCAGATAAACTGGTTTTCTAACCAATACTATAACTCATCCTGCCACGCCTGAAGTTGAACTGTTTTGTCCTTTGTATACAGACATGCACACATGTGTGCACATGTATAGTTCAGTTTATTACCAGAAACCTGGACAATAGGGTCTTCATTTTGTTTTTCTTTTTTATAAATGATCTTTCTTTTTTAAAAAAATTTATTTTTCCTTTTTAATTTTAGTGAGAGAGGGAGAGAGATAGAAACATCGATGAGAGAGAACATTGACTGGCCGCCTCCTGCATGCCCCCTACTGGGGATCAGGCCCACAACCTGGGCATGTGCCCTGACTGGGAATCGAACCAGTGACCTCTTGGTGCAGGGTCAATGCTCAGCCACTGAGGCACACCAGCCGGATCATTTTGTTTTTCTTTGTCATTATGTTAATGAATGATATAAAGTACAAATAAAAGTAAACTAGGCATTTACTATAATAAATGATAACATTTGCAGTATTAATAAGTCTTACATAAAGTTAACCACTGAAAGAATACCATTTGCTTGGCTGAACTGAGGAACACACACACACAATTAGGGCGCCGGGGAGCAGAGTGCTCTCACCTCCGGTCACGAACATCCCCGGCGCACTGGGGACCCAGGCCAGGCCCTGCACACAGGCCGCCGCACTGGGCAGGCTGAAGGCTGTTATGCAGTAAAGCGATTCCGAGTCGAGCAGCCGGATCCCGTGGTGCACATGGGCCACAAGGAGGTAATCAGTGGACAGAGGGTCCCATTCCAGGGCCGTGACCGGGTCCTCCTCATCTGTCCCTTCCAGAGACTCCGGCCTCAGGACATGTCTCTGATTTTTATTACCTATTAACATAGAAAGGAAATGATTGAAAAGAACGTGCACAGCGCTGACCCGGCAGCGCCCCCAGAGGCCGTGCACAGCGCTGACCCGGCAGCGCCCCCAGAGGCCGTGAGAGTGACTGCAGGCCCAGAGTCTGTGGGAGGGCAGTCAGCCCCAGCACCTGCAGAGCTCTCCCTGTCCCTGGGAGCTGCAGGGAAAGACGGACACACGACACTGTCGTCAACTCCAACCTCACTGCGTCACAGCCAGCGAGGACAGGAAGAGGCTTCGCAAAAGGAAGAACTTCGTGTTGGGACTAAAAGTATAGGCTCTGGAGGGTCAGCCTGGATCCAAGCGGACCTAGTCCACCGCCGACGAGCTTCGTGTTCTTGGGCAAAGTATTCAGTCTCCGTGTGCTCAGCTCGAGCTTTATAATGAGAACATTACCTCGCAGAGATTTGTTTTCAGCGATTAAATGAGTTAGTTGCTGAAGTGCTCAGAGCGGGGAGGGAGGCACAAACGGCACACCGCGCTGTCCCCGCCTCCGCGCAGCCCACCGTGTGCCATAGCCCCACCGTGCCTCCTGGCCACCGGCACAAATAAGGCAGCCAGGGACAGGGAGCTGAAACAAGTGGAACTAAATGAAGCCAAACGTCACCCAACAACCCCGTCCCTTCACACTGCATGCACACTGGCAGCAGGGAGTGAGCCTGCCGCGCCCCGCGTGGGGCCTGCAGCCAGCCCGCGCTCCCCGGAAGGCGGGGACAGCCCCAGTGGAGACCATGGCCTAGGCAGAAAGGACCAGATTCCTGAGGACAGCACACTCTGAAAGAAGTGTTCATTTTTAAAATAACACAATTGAGCCAGGCCGGTGTGGCTCAGTGGATGAGCATCGACCTTGCACCAAGAGGTCACCAGTTTGACTCCCGGTCAGGGCACATGCCCAGGTTGTGGGCCCGGTCCCCAGTGGGGGCATGCAGGAGGTGGCCAGTCGATGTTCTCTCTCATCGATGTTTCTACCTCTCTCTCCCTCTTCCTCCCTCTCTCCCTAAAATCAATAAAGAAAAAAAAATTTAAATAACGCAACAGAAGATGCCGCCACTCTGTCTGCAGTGCCATCGGTACATGCTGTATTTCAACCTATCAGATTATAAGAGTGGAGAGAACAGACTGCCTTGGTCTGTAAGCTCACATGACATGAACTGAAAACCTTACAGCTTCTGCCTTGATGTTAAATTCATCAGAATATAATGTTACTTAAATATAATGCTGATCTCACATAGGTAGTGTTTTATTTAGAATTTATGCACATAAAATTGTAGGAAGTGCATGAGAGTTTTCTTTTATTTGGATTTGTCAAATTTTTACAATAACCATGAAGGAAAGTTTATTTGCTGCTTTTTCCCCCAAACATCTTCTAAATTGCTATTTGATATAACAGACAGTAGTGGATATTAATATACTGAATGATTACAAGGCCAAAAGAGGTAGAAAAATAATTTATTAACCCAAGTTGTACTAGAGTAATTTTTAGGTATTTGCATATGCCAGTTAGTATCTGTAATTTATTAAAAATATTCCAGGATGTGAAAAAAATAACAACAGTAACACAAAACATGGTGAAATTTGCAATGCAAATGTTATAATATCTAAATCATGTCGTTTCAAAGCCTCAGGCTTATGGTGAAAGTGATAACAAGTTATAGTCACTGTTCTCTGTTCTATCTGGTAGTAACATTTTTATTATAAAAGATAGAAAAATGAATCTATAAAATTTAAAGCCAGCCATTAGAATAAGAGCTGATGATATTCTTACGATTATGCTGTTTGTTTTGCTATCATTTGTGTTCTATTTTTTATACAACTATCAGGTACCCCATGTTGTCAGATAAGGACGGAAGCATACAATAACCTAATAAGAAGGTGAGGTTGACAATTTCTGTATGAAAAACAAAAACTGGGGCAAGAAAAAATTGGTGTTGAAAAATAAAATAATGAGGGTGAAGCATCAACCAAAGAGCTGATGAAAATCTGACTCTGAGGTCTTTGAGTTCCAGTGGCTAATGCAAAGAGGAAATAAATCAGGAAAGGTTGCACAGTAGGATAAAAATAAAGTAAAATGACAAACAAAAAATGTACTCATGTGAAGCACAACTTTTCCTAGAACTGAGACCAGAAATAAATGTCTCTCTTCTGTGTATTTTCAAAAGGGGACACAATATTATCAAAGGACAATGTCACCAACAACATTTTTAAGATAAAACAATGCAAATTTGATGAATGCACACCCCAGGTCAATCCAATTAAAATATTCCTATTATGAGGATAAAAAAATTCTCCAATGAGCTGGTTTTGTCCAAGAATATAACTTGAAATAATTAAAGCAGTTTTCCAACATTTTTGGCCCTGGAAGCTTCTATCCATGCGAGATTTTTACATGAAAACCCAGGACACAGCGCAGAACAAAGTGGTGCTTTTCCGATGAGCTGGGAGCAGAAGGCATAAGCCAGCTGGTCACCTACCAAGGCTTCCTGCCCCGCACCAACACACACAAATACACAAACATACTGACAAGCACAATTTAAAAATCACTGACTGAAAATGATGGGTGAACTGCCTTATTGTGGGCAGTCCTCCATGAATACTTCCTTTTTCTTCTTCCAAAACAGATCCAACTGGACAGCAGAGAGTTTGAGGTCACAGTCACCTACAAGAAGCCGGAGGACAGGAATTCTATCTTGTCACGTAAGACTGAACCACAGTGGTGCCGAGAAGTCATTAGCAAGGTAAGGCGACCGCTCCGCAGGGAAAGTGAAAACCAACACTGCAGTACTCACGCTAAGTCTCAAAGTTCAAACTCACATCAGAATGTCTTGTCAGAATCAAAATGAAGCATTTTCTTCATGACCCATTAGCTCTTATCTATGCAAAAGGACAATGCGTGGCCAGATTATACCTTTCATAATGGTTTGTGTGTGAATTCTTAAAAACCCTATGGAATAAATGAGAGTAAGAAGTCTGCACTGGCTTCTTATGGGTTGAATTGTGTCCCCTCCAAAAGATGTTGAGGTCCTAAGCCTCAGCATGTGTGAATGTGACTTTGTTTGAAAATAAGGTATTTGAAGGTGGTCAAGTCAAGATGAGGTCATGAGGGTGGATGCCAATCCAACACGACTGTCTTTATAAAAGGGGAAATTGGGGCACGGAGCGATGCACCTGTGGAGACCACCGGACGACTGGCATGATGCCAGAGGCCGAGAGCGTCCGGGGCAGACCCATTCCTGGTGCCTCCGGAGGTCCTTGCTGACAACTTGACTTCCCACTTCTGGCCTCTAGAACTGTGAAATAGTAAAGATCCTAAGAGTTCCTATCACGAGGAAAAACATTTGTATCTCTTTTTTCTTTTTCTTTTTCATGAGACTACGCTGCTAAGTAGACTGTGCCATTTCACAATACACACGTCGAACCATCATGCTGCGCACCTTGAACGCACAGATGATGTTCGTCAATTACGTGGCAATAACACTGGGAATAAGTGTCTGCTGCACTAAGCCAGCCAGCTCGTCGTGGGTGGATACTGGACGGCATGGGTACAGGTGCCCCAACTACTGTAATAACTGGAAGCTTAAGTTACTGAAAAACGATGGCATCTTCTGGAAGTCACCCTGGTTAGCCTGCTCGAACATTACACTTTCTAGCTTGACATAAACCGAGGAAAGAAGACGCGCAGGAGGCCTTCACCCCTCCCTACCCTTCCCATCTCACAGCATCTCAGTGCTTCATATCTTTTTTCTATTTTATCCTCACCCGAGGACACTTTTGCATTTATCTTCAGATAGAGCAGGAGGGAGAGAGGGAGGAAGAGAGAGAGAAACATCAATGTGAGAGAGACACAGTGAGTGATCACCACCCGCATGACCAACTGGGGCCGGGGACAAACTGCAACCGAGGTACGTGCCCTTAGGAGGAACCAAACCCGGGACTCTCCAGTCTGCAGGCTGATGCTCTAACCGCTGAGCCAGACTGGCCAGGGCTGGTGTTTTACATCTTAGAGACTTCCAATAACGTCTCAATGCCTAATGGATTACAGCCTTCAAAAATGCCTAATAACAATAACAAAGCAAAAAGAGAAAGCCCTAGCCAATGAAAAAGGAGACGGCCATATGACAAATTACAAAATGTGAAAACTAGAATGATATACGGACCAAAATAAGAGCAAACTTCTCATTATCCTCCTCTGATCTCTGGGACACTGACTACTCAAAAAGGAAGTGTCACAATCCTATGGAATCTCTGGGAGAAGTCATCCAAGGGGCAGAAGTGGGGAGTGTCCCCATATACACCCCGAGGGCAGAGAGGTAGGAGGAGGGACCACACAGCACACAGTCCAGGACTGGGGAGGACAGCAGAGATGAACTGCAGCGGGGAGGAGACCAGTAGTCACCAGATCAGAACAGAGGACGTCTGTGAATTCTGTCCCTTAGCTGTGAGCCTTCCTGACCAGCTCTACAAGAGACCCTGCTCCCGATGCAAAGGACAGAGCAGGTCACAGAGCAGGTCAGGCGGAGGTGTTTCAGAAACCAACGCAAATGCAGCAAACGCAGTCACTCACCTCTCCCCATCCTTGTCCAAAACCAAGGGCTGACATCAGTGCTTCTGGGGGGAGGAGGGCGGGGTCAAAGGGGGGAGGGGTGGCGCAGAAGGATGCACACACTGGTTTCTCTCTCTCTCAAAACAGCAAACACCACAACCTGCCTAAAACGGAGGGGCATCTGTAATACTGTCAACAATAAAGATAAATTTAAAAAATACAACAAAACATATTTAAGAAAAAACGGCCCTACTCTGTCAATGTTTTGCATGTCTTTTTTTTTTTTTTTAACTTTAGAAAGATCATTCCCTGGAGAAGGATTTATTTGAATTTTCACAACTTCTATTCAGTTTCAATTGGTTGCTCTTCGGTGAAGTTCAGGGAAGTGGGATGCAGTCTGTTTGGGGAGGGTTAGTCATCCTAACCCTGAGAAAGCGTGCACCTACCAGGTGCATCTACCAAGCGTGCATCTGCAGAGGACGCAGACAGCAAGAGGTACCGGGCGCTAAGGGCAGGACTTTTCATGGAGAGCTATTCAGAGAATTTTTTAATTTTTTGTATTGTGTTTTTGTTTAAATTTTAAAAATAAACAAATTTCTCAGACCCTTTCATTCAGCCACATTAATGAACTAATGGGGTCTAAAGAGTTATTTTTCCTTTCTACTCCAGGATCAAAGACTTGGCTAAGGACCCGTGGCATCCGAATGGTATTTTCCCCACAGGTGGGAAAATACTTGCGTGGCAATGCCTCATGTATTCCAGCTCCATGCTCTTATTCATGCAGGACATTTTTTTTAGAAAGTGTGCAGAAATAAAGAATTGACTTAAAAGGTAAAAATATGGGACACAGGAATGATTTGGGTTAAATAAAAGTAAAATCTGCACAGCTGAGTCAAAGGTATTACAATGCCTTATAAATAGTCACTTCAAATGATTATTTCAAATCAGTGCAATGCTGGATAATATTTGCACAGCTATTATTTTTACATTAAAATTCTGTTACCTTTGGCTTTTTGCTATGTAAATCAGAAAGTATATAAAAATGAAATGTAAGAGCCCTGACAATTAAATTCTGACCTGGCTGAAAAATCGACAGACTTCCATCCATGTGACCGAACGCGACTTTGCCCTTTTTCTGGGTGTGCCATCTGAAAGTGCAGACGTCAGACATGAAGCTGTGAGCATCCCTGTGCACAGTCACGCCGCTGTCCGGTCCCGAAATGGTCCAGATGAACAGGGGGCCTCTCCGGGGAGCAAACGCCACAGCGCCACCCGCGTCCCAGCACCAGCTGAGCGAGGTGGGCGCGCCTGGAACACACGGAACACGGACACGTCACCGGCAGTTCTGGCAGAGAGCCACCATTCGACAGCATTTGCTTTGCCGGTTTCGACCTCAACAGGTAAGAATATGTTCGTCGCCCTGGCTGGTTTGGCTCAGCGGTTAGAGCGCTGGCCCGCGGACCAGAGAGCCCCGGGTTCGGCTCCCACTAAGGGCACGTGCCTCGGGTGCAGTTTGTCCCGGCCCCGGGGAGGGTCGTGTGGCTGGTGAACACTCAATGTGTTTCTCTCACATCGATGTTTCTCGCTCTCTCTTCCCCTCTTCCTCCAGCTCTATCTTAAGTTAAATGCAAAAAAATTGTCCTTGGGTGAGGATTAAAAAAAAGAAGAAGAAAAAAGAATATGTTCATTATTAAAAAAAATATTACCTTCTTACTTGGGAATTGGGATTTTAAAGTAATCCCTAAGACCCCTGGGGACACATGTAGGGTACTTCCATGGTGAAGGGACAATACCTAGTTAGGTTTAAAACTACGAATATGATCAAAGACAGGGACAGAGTTCTTTCTTTTAGAAACTAGATGCATATTAAAGCAATGAATTCTTATTGAGTTTTGTGTAGGAGGCCTGCTCTGGGCATTTCAGGTATACAAGTTAGTGTGGGTACAATTCCGGCTTTAAATGTTCTTAAATAAACACTGGGGATAAGAGGATTAAATGTATGAAAAGCGAAATGTTATTGTAAGGAGTTAATAATACGATTAATGCTATAGTCTATGTCTTATCAGTTTAGATTCAAATCTTAGCTTCCCCTCAGGTGAATTAAACGAGTCACTTGACCTCTCTAAACCTCTGTTTCTTCATCCATAAGAGAGATACAACTACAATTTCTGACCACTTCCTTCACGTGAACATTAAGACAATATAATAATGTGTGTAAAAGTCCCTTATAAACTCTAAGGCAAAATGCAAAAGTTAACTGTAACTCCCCACTGTCACTGTATCAAACAGATCCTAACGGCAGCCAGTGTTACGGTCAATTCAGGACTGAGCCTCGCAGCCCAGACACACTGACCACCCGCCTCAGAACCAAGGCGACGGCGCGCGTCGGATCTCGTGGGATCAGAGCTCAGCGATCAGGTTAGACGGGTTCTCCGGAGGGCCTGCAATGTCGGAGGGGCTGTGAACCACGGGCTACTGTCCTGCAGGCACATGGATGTGAATGATCCCTGGAAGGAGCAGTAGAGTTTAAATGTATGCGATGAAGCACTATTTCCCAGGAAGAGAAAATGATACAAAGACACTGAGTTAAAAGTTGTTTACTAATAGCAAAGTCCATTTGTGTCTGTAATGAGCCAAGAGGTGGAAACTGGGAACCAAATACCTTGTTCAGGGCCTGACATATGATGGGAACTCCGTACCTTTCATTAAATGAATGAAGAAATGAATATATAAACAAGGTTGATAAAAAAAGCTGATGTGATTTTAGGAGACATTAACAGAAGTAGAATGTCCCCGGCAGGGGATGAGATGCTCTGTGTGGATCCAACCACCACAGCACACTTGAGGAAACCATCAGATTGCGGGCTCTCCGAATGCATATGTCAAGAGAGGCAGCAGGAAGAGAAGCAACCAGAAACAACGTCACATCGTTACGATAGAAAACACCACCACAGTGGCGCTGCTGAGAGCTCTATCAATATTAGCTCACTCAGTCACTTAGGATTCTGAGACGAGTGTGATGTGTAACTGTCCTCTGCCAATAGTTCTGTTGTCTGAAAGCACACTGCAACGTTTTTCAAGTTGGTGACAATGTTAACATTTTAAATGTAAACAAATGAATACTCAGCCGGCTGGTGTGGCTCAGTGGATTGAGCATGGACCCATGCACCAAGAAGTCACCAGTTCAATTCTGGGTCAGGGCACATCCCTGGGTTTGCAGGCTCAATTCCCAGTAGGGGGCGTGCAGGAGGCAGCGGATGGCTGTTTCTCTCTCATTGATGTTTCTGTCTGTCTCCCTCTCCTTTCCTCTCTACAAAAGGCAATAAAAAATTAAAAACAACAACAAATTAATACTCATTTTCCTTTAAATTAACTTTTTGATTATTGGGAAAAAATAATGAAGTAAAAAATTACAGTTGCATGTTCAAGTTCAACTGCTGGATATGGAAGTTCTAATACTGATTAAAACTCGACATGCACATCCCGTGGACTGAGAGATCCTGGTTTGATTCCCAGTCAGGGCACAGGACTGGGTTGTGGGCTCCATCTCCAATAGAGGGCATGCAGGAGGCAGCCAACTGATGTTTCTCTCTCTTTCTCCATTCTGTTCTCTCTAAAAAAATCAAAAAAATATTTTTAAAAAAATCGACATGCAAACTTCTACTTTGCTTAAGCTGGATTCTGGAAAGAAAAAACAAACTCTGAGACATTTCAAGGGAATTATTCAAAATGAAAATGAGCAAAAATATTCACAATATCTTTTTGAAAATAAAATATCAAAGTTTTCTGTCTTCTAATTAAGGAGATATTTGAAAATAGTATGATGAACTTATTGATACGTTTTTGAAAATTTCAGAGAAAAAGATATGTAAACCTGACTAAAACTGTTACCAAAATTATTGAATCAGTCTACAAATGTTAATGCAAAGTCTCATTTATTTGTATATTCAGTGACAAAGGGAGCTACGGTACACACAGCTGGTGAAGGAGAAACTCTCCCACCACGAACAGATGTGATGTATCTGGTGTTTGATGACAAAGCTGGGGATACACTGGTGATAATACAATACGTTCTCTAATCTGTACTTTAGCATGACCTTTAGAAAACATGTTATTATGCAACTATAGTCTCAATTAGATTTTGTGTGACACCTTTATGAGAACAATGAAACTGTGTAACATTTTTAGTTTATGACACATAAAACATGAGAATTTTAAGGAGTATTTATTGTGGTATTTAAAATTAATTTCATACAAAGTTAGATTTAACGTATTGGGGAAATACACTGTTTATTAATGTAAACAATACTGAGAAATTTTATAGAATTTGTGGTTGGTGGAGAAACACATATGACATAAAAAATCTTGATTGAGGCTATAATTGCTTTTATAATTTTTTAAATCCTTACCTGAGGAAATGTGTTTATTGATTTTTAGAGAGGGAAGGAGAGAGAGAGAAACATCGATGTGAGAGAGAAACACTACTGGCTGCCTCCATACGCACCCTGACTGGGATCAAGCCCGGAACGTTTTGGTGTAGGGTACAACACTCCAAACAACAGCCACCCGGCCAAGGCTCAGTTGCTTTTATACATCACAAAGCTTGTACCAAGTGCAATTTTGCTTTTTCTTATTGATGCATTGAAAGCTTTAAGAAAAACTTTCATGCACATTAATGGAAGCTCACTGAATAGCTGAGTTTTAAAACTATTTTGCTCATAGATTGCAGTAAATTATTAATACTGAAGTTCACTGGTTGTTGCAAGTAAAAATAATAAATAGGATGTATAAAACTGGAAATAAGATTTATATTTTTCTAGATGAAAAATTAACGTTGTTTGGCAAATATTTTTAAAGATGAAATTCATGTAACAAAATTGGTATATTTTACTGGTATTTTCAACATTCCTACATTTGAAAAGACAAGAAAAAAACAATAAACTGAATATTCTGAACATATGCAAAGGCTCCAAAAGGCATTGTTATCTTGGAAGCAAGATTTAAGTATCACTGCCTATGGATTCTCAAAATTATCACCATATACTGAAAAGATCATTAAGAATCTTTGAACAAAATAAAGTTAATGAGATCGTCACTTCTCAAATGTCTACCTCAAAGTTAAAATCAGTGTGTTTTAGGGAAGAAGCTGAATATGGAAAATGTATCCAGCAGTAGCTTGCAGAACCATAATCAGTAATTGAGCTACACTTGAGGCTCAAAATAGATGGCATTACTGTGATACTGAATGCACCAAAATGGTTACTTAACTTTATCAATTATAATGGGTTATGATTCCCACAGGTAGTAAGAGTGTAGTGATATTATTTGATTCACTAAAACCCACTGGCGTGAACTAGGACTTTCTACCTTGACCTAATTAAAAATTAAAGAAAGAAACCAGTTCACCAGGGCGCTAAAGATACGTATGATATTGTCCTTGTATGTTTCAGATTGGAATAGAGTGTAATAGGCAAAGCCAATTGTCTCAAGAAAATATCATTTAATTATTATTTTTACATGTACTATTTTGAAAATGTTTGTGTTACATTTCAATACTAACAAAATTATTTGGTACTTTGTTTTTATTTAAAAAAAATTTTTTCCCCCTTTACATGTATTGATTTAAGAGAGAGAGGAAGGGAGAGATAGAAACATCGATGAGAGAGAACTTTGATTTGTTGCCTCCTACACGCCCCTCACTGGGGATTGGGCCCACAACCTGGGCATGTGTCCTGACCAGGAATAGAACCGGTGACCTGGTGCATGGATCGACGCTCAATCACTGAGCCACACAGACTGGACCTTTCTATGTTTTTTGGGGTTTTTTAATTTTAATTTTTTTTTTTTTTTCTTTACTGATTTTGGAGAGAGAAGAAAGGAGGAGATAGAAACATTGATGAGAGAGAACTTTGATTGGCTGCCTCCTGCATGTCCCCCACTGGGGATTTGGCCCACAACCTGGGGATGTGCCCTGACTGGGAATTGAACCTGCAACCTCTTGGTGCATGGGTCGATGCTCAACCACTGAGCCACACCGGCTGGGCTTTTTTAAAATTTTTGTTTTCTTTTTTGATTTGAGAGAGAGAGGAAAGGAGAGGGAGAGAAAGATACAAACATCAATGAGAGAGAACATCGAATGCTATGTTTTTATTTTTTATTTTTTATCCTCACCCGAGGACACTTTTCCATTTTTTGTACGGATAGAGTGGGAGGGAGAGAGAGGAAGAGAGAGAGAAACATCGACGTGAAGGGACACATCGAGTGGCTGCCACCCGCACGACCAACCAGGGCCGGGGACAAACTGCAACCGAGGTACGTGCCCTTAGCGGGAACCGAACCCAGGTCTCTCCGGACCGCAGGCCGACGCTTTAACCGCTGAGCCAAACTGGCCAGGGCGAATGCTATGTTTTTAATTGATCAGTTAACTAAGTATAATTTTTCATGAAATTTTGTTTTACACACATGCACACACACAATGAGTCATGACATGAACTGTATTTCTTATACAGTTACCATTAGGACTACTTTAAAACCTGAGCTAATTGAAAAAATATTTTGTGTATTGAAATAAAAATATTTCATTCAATAAAATAAATCCCAGTTACAAATATACCTTTTGCATTGTTGAGTTTAGCAATGACTTTTTGTTCTGCAACATTCCAAATGATCACTGAATTATCGGTGCTGCCACTTGCAAACAGATCGGGGTTATGTGGACACCAAGACAGAGCTGTGATTGGTTTTTTATGTTCAGACATAATTGCGTGGAGTTTAAATTCATTGTAACGGTGATCCAACTAAAAAAAAAATCATAAATAAAACATTTAAGTGTTTCTTTCAAGACCATACACTTTCCATTAATCATATTCCTTTTAAAAAGCTACCTACATGAAAATCAGCACACCTAACAATAAAATATGGACACATTTCAAGTCTTGGTCTACTTTCAGGTATATTCAATCAGCTAAAATAAACTATTTTTCAAAAAATGTAAAACAACTGAAATTAAACATACCAATTTTAAAAACAAGTAAAAATAAATTATGCCCATTTAAATATGAATAATAATTGAATCTTATTATATTTTCTAAAACTATATCTATTTATGAGGAAAACACCCTTGGTCTCAAAATATACTTTTTCTGCAAATTTTCACTTATATCTGAATAAAATAAATTGAGGTTAAATTAACCAACTACTCATTACTACATTCTTAAGATGTCCAAAGTTTGCAAAGCAATGAACTCATTTTATATTATTGCTTTTTCGAAGGGGCATTGTATTGTTATATGTAAGTGAACAAAAGAAATCACCTAATTTTCCCGTGTCCTTGGTAAATGTGCCATTCAGTAGTGAATCAATTAATCTTTTTATCATTTTTAACATATCTGGGATTCTATTGTATACATTATTTTGTTGTACCTGGTTTCTCCTTTTAACATATAATGAACGTTTCACAGTGTTATTGAGGATTTTTCAAATCATTATTATGTTAACTATTTATCATCTCAATCTTTGCTGGACCAGGAGTTGCAGTCAATTCCTAAGTGCTGACGTGGCCTTGCAGGCCCTACATCAGGACCCTCTGCTCTTCGGCCAGTATCACTGGGGTTTCCTGCCCAGCCCTCTGACCTTTCTCCAGCGCAGCAAACGTGCCTGCTAAGGGCCCTGCCCGCAGCTCCCGGCCAGGGCCCACAGCTCCCCGGCCGGGGCTCTGCCCCACTCACTCAGAGTTACTCCTTCTCCCGGGCAGGGCACAGTTCAGAATCACCTCTTAGAGACATATTTTCTGGCCAAATAAATTCATACCTCTACCCAGAAACTGTCCCATGACTTTCTATATTTTAAAAAGTGGACATGTCACATTTAACATTATACTTGCTTCAGGTGTACAACATAACAATTTGATGTTTGTATATATTATAAATCCATAGTAAGTCTAGTCAATTTTCAAAGTTGCAAATGCTTTTTTTTTTTGATGAAAACTTTTGAGATCTATTCTCTAGCAACTTTCAAATATCCATCTGGTATTATTAGCTATAGTTACCGTATACCCTGTACATCACCTCACTTACTTATTTTATAAGTGGAGTCTGTACCTCTGACCATCTTCACTGGTTTTGCAAGCCCCCCACTCCCACTCCAGGCAACGGCCAATCTGCTCTCTGTCTCTAGGAGTTCATCGCTGCTGCTGTTTGAAATTCCATATGTAAGTGAAGTAATACAATACTGTCTTTCTCTGACTTATTTTAGTTACATAATGCCCTCAAGGTACCTCCATGATGTTGTCTCAAATGGCGAAATTTGCTATTTTTAATTTTTTGAGAAACCTCCATACTATTTCCCATAGTGGCTGCACGAGTTTACATTTCCACCAATAGTGCACAAGGGTTCCCTTTTCTCTACATCCTCGCCTACACGTATCTCTTGTCCTGTGGAAAATATCCATTTTAACAGTGTAAGGTGATACCTCACTGGGGTTTAGATCTGCATTTCTCTGATGATGACTGATGTCGGCACCTTTTCTTGAGCCTGTTGGCAATCTGTATGTCTTATTTAGAAAAATATCTATTCAGATCCTCTGTCCATTTTTTAATCAGATTTTTTTGCTATTCAGTTGTATGAGTTCTCTATGTATTTTAGATACTAACCCCTTATCAGATACATGCAAACACTTTTTCCCCATTTGGAAAGCTGCCATTGCATCTGACTGATGGTTTCCTTTGCCGTGCAGAAGCTTTTCAGTTTGATGTCGTCCCATTTGTTTGTTTTTTGTTGTTACTGTTGCCTTTGCTTTGGGTGTCAATGATGACCTTATTACCTGTTTTTTATATTCTTTGCAGAACCCATTTCTTCCTGAAATACTTACTTACTGATTTCTTCACTTATTTATTTTATGACCTCTCTCTGCCCTCTGTCCTTGCTAAGAATATGAATTCCATGAGAAGACTTTTCCTAATTTGTTCACAGTTGGAACGCTGAGCAAATAAGAGACCATGTTACTATTATTAACAAAATGAACCTTCTGCTATTGTTCAGCATTGAAGTGACTTTTAACTTTTGCTATCACAAATTATGCTATAGTGAACATCTCTTTATAAAATTTTGACTAATAATCTAATTATTTCTAAGGCTTTACCCTCCATAATTTCAATATCTCTTACTACTTGAACTTCAGCTATTTCTAAAAAACTTCAGATGAAAATATTAAAAATAACCCAATACCAGGGGAGTTTTTGTCTAATTAATATTGCAGCTATAAAAATTTTAAATAATTTTAATTATTTAAATTTAAATAAATTTAAATAGATATTTAAATATACAAATGCATTTTCTGTACACTTAGAAATAAATAGGTTTGTAAATTTTAAATTATTCAGTGACTTAAGTTACCTATGATAGATATAAATGTATCTATTGTATCTAATAGAATAAACTGCTCTATAAGTTAGATATTAAATGGTAGAGTCGATAAATATAATAAATGTATGAAGAAGCTATGTTGAACATCAATAATCTTCACTGACTTATACAAATTATTCACATGGTGTCTTAAGCACAATCTAGAACACTGAACTATTTGTAGGAATTAATTTATTATTACATTCCTATTTTATTTACAATTCAGTATTATGAGGCTGTACTGTTATATTGAGTTGGACAATAAAGTATTCTGCTTTTAGAGTAGTTAATATATTAGTGCATTATAATTTAATGGTTAAACAAAACTTCTTATGGCATTTACAATGATCAGTTAATAGTTCAGAATCATCTGATAATACCTCAGTGCCTTTATACAGAGTGTGACGGACCACTGGACTGTTTACATTGACCCTAGGTGTTAATAAATTCGGTATTCCTTCTATAAATTGTTGTAATAGTTTACATTTACACAGAATATTTTTCAAAGCACTTTCATTTACATGATCATATCTAAGACAACTTATTAATATAAGTTTATTAATACAAATGTCTCCTTTAACAATGGCATTTTCTACTCGCATAGTTTAAAACCAGGGTTTATGGTGGATTCGGCAGTGAGCTGTCCTCTGAGTTTATTCGTAGTCACTTCTAAATCAGAGTAACTGTTAGATTTTGTTTCAGCCTCTAAGACACATAAACTCATTTGATAGATTTTATATGAATCATTTCAGCAAAATCTTTCTAAATATTCAAGTCAGAAAATGTCATCATAAAAGTTAAGACACATGCAAACACAGTAAAGTTAAGTTCTGCCCTCATCCCCTTTCTGACCTCCCTTACTCCGTAGAGGAATCGTTTGCTCTGCCTGGTAAGTTTTTCTTTAAAAGGAAGTAAGAGGCAAGAAGACGGGGACTTAAGATGAAGGAGAAATTCAGTGGGAGGAGTTTGGGGTGGGAAGCTTGGGAGTGCAAGCAGACTAAAGGGGGTCGATGGGAAAGGGGGAGGCATCCGGAGGGCTTGCTGCTGTCTTACCAATGGGGGATGGGAAGTAAAAAACGTGAGTTGGATTGGAATTGCATTTTTTTATTGATTGATTTTTTTTAAGAGAGAGACAAAGGTTGAGAGAGAAATATCTATTTGTCGTTCCACTTATTTATGCCTTATTGGTTGATTCTTGTATGTGCCTTGACCGAGATCGAACCTGAAACTTGGGCATATCGAGGTGACGCTCTAACCAACAGAGATGCCCACCCAGGGCCTGGACTTGCATTTTGATTGCTGGATACTTCCACCCAATTGAGAAATAAATTATATACAATTTTATTCTGTATTGTGGAAAATTAATTAGTTTATAGATTAACACTATTACTTCTAAAATTTTCAATAAACTACAACTATTAATAATTAAAAGGAATTTTACTTCAGAATACAGAAATATCTTTTTCACTCTTAACTGAAATGAGTTGGTGTTTCAAGATAAAAAGATATCATTTAAGAACATTTATTGCCTGGCTGGTGTGGCTCAGTGGTTGAGCATCAACCCCTGCACCAGGAGGTTGCTGGTTCAATTCCCGGTCAGGGCACAAGCCCAGGTTGTGGGCCCAATCCCCAGTGGGGGGCATGCAGGAGGCAGCCAATCGATGATCTCTCTTATCGATGTTTCTCTCTCTCTCACCCCCTCCCTTCCTCTCCCTCTAAAATCAATAAAGAAGAAATATATATATATATATAAAAGAAACATTTAGTGAGTATCTACCGAATGCCAGAGAGCACAATCACATGGGAACCGAACAATGCGGAAGATCCAGGCTGGTAAATGGACGCATGGAGACAGGAATCCATTTCCCACGGGCCTTCGTTCGGAAGGAGGAAAGAGCAGAATGTGGAAGAGAGCTCATGCACTTGAGCTGAGATTTGTAATGTTCTCTTGACTGGCAGTGCAGGCAAACGGAAAAATTAATGTAAGCAAAGGCAAGATAACAAAGAGTCTGGGATATTTTAAAAAATGCAATTATCTTGGTATGCCTGGAGCTCAAAGTGAGAGGGAGACAGAGACAGGGAGGCTGCAAAAGAACATCATACTATGAAGTGTGGCTGTTTGTATTAGGGAAGGAGAAGCAACTGAAGACTTCAAATTCTAGATCTGCATTGCAGACGACTGATGAGACTCAGGTGTAATGTCGGGGGTAACTGCAGAGGCAAAGAGAACATCAAGAGACTATTATACTAGTTTAGGAGAGGAGGATATAGAGGCGACAGGGACAGGTACAAAGCACTGAACTCAGCCTTGGTCACCCGAGTCCAGGACGGGAGTAGAGCAGAGTCGAAGGTAACTCTCGCGTTTGTGGTTTCAGTGGACGGTTAGTTGGAGACACGGAAATACTGAGCCCAGGCTGTAGGAGCAAGACTGGACTTGGGTGTAAGATGCATATGGCACCTCCAAGGAGAAATTCAGAAGGCCACTGGCGCCACAGACTGGGAACTCGTAAAAGATGGACATGAAAAGAAGTAGTTATAAAGGTTTTTATCTCGAGAATATCTCAAAATATATCTGCACTATTTTTACTATAATGAACTCCAATGAACTACCCAGACTCTCCAACTAAGACAATTTTCTCCTATCAAACGTTACTACTGAGCAATGTTTGAAACAAATGAATAAATAAATTCCATTTAATTATATGGGAATATAGTTCAGAAGAATTAAATACTACTTGCTCATCATTCATAAATGGGACCTTTAAATTCTTGAAAAAATTTTTTTGATGGATAGCCCCTAAAGGATTAGGAAACCAATTAAGATTTTGCTAATAATTTAATACTATGATGTAAGCATTTTCTCAAAGCCTGACTTGTAAAATTACTATATAATATAAATAGCAACAAAATATAAAACATATACCAATAAAACTACAGCGATAAGCTTTTCCTGTGACAGGGCCTGAGAAGGGACTGCGGACTGAAGACGGGCGGGGCCGAGGCCGCGTGGGGAGCCGCGCCTAGCCTACCTGGTAGACGTAGACGGCCAGGGTGGCGCAGTAGGCGAACCGCTCTCCGCTGGCCGCGCACACGTCCTTGTTCCACGGCTGGCAGCCGGCGGCCAGCAGTCCCACCTGCCGCACCCGGGACATGTTCGCCTGGAAAACAAATGTGGAGGAACATCAGTAGTTTCCACTGTTACATAAGTGTCCCCTTCCCTGTTTTAGATCTGACTTCCTCAATCCTTATCTTTGTGCCCTGAAAACTTTCTTCTTTTATTACCATTAACCTCCAGTTACACTTTCAGAGAACAGGGGTTTAAATCTGCAAATGTCTGTGGACATCGAGGCAGGAAGTTAAGTTAGGGAAGCACGAGACTGTAAAGTGCCAAGTGACAGCTGACACTTGGTCAAGGGCTGGGCATCCAGATGCGGCGCGCTGAGGGGAAGAGAAGGCACGTCCCTTCCGCAGGGTCTGGTACACTGCGAGGCCAGGCCACGGCCCAGACATACGTACGGAACTTCTCAGACAAAACTATAAATACGTTTTTATGGAAAATGTACCAATTTTTCAATACTGGCAATTCATTCAAGGCAGCAAATTCAAATGTAAAACAATGAGCCAATATTGGGAAGAATATGGCATCTGTCACAGAACTTCATTGTTTTTACATGGATTTTATATTCTTACAAAAAGTGAGTTACGCAAGGGAGATGTACAAGCTATACTATCAACATCGTTCATTGTGATGAGGGGGCAGAAGGAAGCTGGATACTGACTATAAACTGTTTTTGTGGGAGCACAAAGGACGTGGGTGTACACAGCCCCAGAGGTGATGTTAACTCTGGTATCTACCCTTACTCCATGCTGTCTGAAATTAACATGGCTATCCCCACCTTCTTTGATGAATGTTAGCATGGTATATCTTTCTGAATTCCTTTACACTTCATCTATATGTATCTTTATAATTCATGTGTTTCTTGAGTCGTGTTTTTTGATCCTCTCTGACAATCTGTCTTTAATGGGTGCATGTAGACCGCTGACATTCAAGGTCATGATTGCTGGAGTTGGATGAATATCTACCATGTTTTCAGTTTCAATTTGCTGCCTTGTTCCTGATTTTGTCTTCCTCACTTTTTCTCCCTTTTATTGTGTCAATGGAGCACTTTATGAGATTGATTTTTCTCAGCATATCAATTATACCCCATGTAAAAAAATTAGTGGTTGTCCTAGATACTGCTATACACATTCACAACTAATCTAAGTCTACTTTCAAATAACACTGTCCCACTTCTCGAGTAGAGCAGTGTCTTTAAATAACCAAATATCCCTAATTCCTCCTTCCAACCACTTGCTCACTGCTGCCATTCACCTGACTTACACATAAGCACACATAAGGATGTATATATACACATAAGAATAATCAAGTACATTGTTGTTTTCATTTTGAAAAAAACTGTTATTTGTCAGATTAAGAATAAGAATAACACTTTTTATTTTACCATCACTTATTCATTCTCTGATATTTTTCATTTCTGTAGATCTGAGTTTCTGACCTGCATCCTTTTTCTTCTCTCGAGAACTTACATTTCTTGCAAGGCAGGTATACTGGCAACAAAATGTCCAATTTTTGTTTGTTTGAGAAACCCTGTATTTCTCCCTCACTTTCTAAGGATAATTTCGTAGAGTACAAATATTCCCAGGTTAGTGTTGTAGTTCCCTCAAAATTTCAAATATTTCATTCCTCTCTCTTCTGGGTTGCATGGCTTCTGAGAAGTCAAATATAAGTCTTATCCTTTCTCCTCTACAGGTAGGGTTTGTATTTCCCTTGGCTTCTTTCAAGATTTTCTTTTTGGCCCAGCAGGTGTGGCTCAGTGGATTGAGGGTAGTCCCATGAAAACAAGAGGTCGCCAGTTCGATTCCTAGTCAGGGCACGTTACCAGGTTGTGGGTTCAATCCCCAGTATGGGGTGTGCAGGAGGCAGCCAATTGATGCTTCTTTCTCATCGATGTTTCTCTCCCTCTTCTCCCTCTTTCTAAAAAAATGAACATTTAAAAAATAAATAATAAATAAGTAAAAGAGCTCCTTAAAAACAAAACACAGATGTTCTCTGTCTTTGATTTTCTGTAGTTCAAATATGATCTGCCTTGGTGAAGTTTCTTTGGCATTTACCCTACTTGGTGTTTTCTAAGCTTCCTGAAACTGCAGTTTGGTGTCTGATACTAATTTGGGGCAATTCTAATTATTTTGCTTTAATTATTGCTTCTGTTCATTTTTCTCCTGGTATTTCTACTATATGTATGTTACACCTTTCATCGATGTACCACAGTTCTTGGATGTTCTGGTTTTCATTCTTTTTTTATCCTAACCCGAGGATATTTTTCCATTTTTTGTACAGATAGAGTGGGAGGGAGAGAGAGGAAGGGAGAGAGAGAGAGAAACATCAACGTGAAGGGACACATCGGGTGGCTGCCACCCGCACAACCAGCCAGGGCTGGGGACAAACTGCAACCGAAGTACGTGCCCTTAGCGGGAACCGAAACCCGGGTCTCTCCGGACCACAGGCCGATGCTCCAACCGCTGAGCCAAACTGGCCAGGGCGAGGTTTTCATTCTTTTTTATTCCTTTGCTTTTGTTTTATAGATTCTGTTGTCTCAAACTCAGAGATTCTTTCCTCAGCCACATCCAGTCCACGAATGAACTCACTAAAGCATTCTTCATTTCTGTTACAGTGTTTCTGGTCTTTAGCATTTCCTTTTTTATTCTTTCTCAGAATTTCCATCTCTCAGCTTACATTATCCATCTGTTCTTGCATGTTTATTAATCATAGCTTCTAAAAGTCCTGGTCTGATAATTCTAACATTCCTGTCATATCTAACTCTGGTTCTGATGCTTGCTTAATCTCTTTAAACTGTTCTGTGCCTTTTCGTATGTCTTGTAACTTTTTGTTGAAAGGAGAACATGTACTGGATAAATAGCCTTTAGTAACGTACTGGTAGGTGAGGGAGGGGAGGAAGGCTTCTTAGTCCGAGAAGCCTGTGCCTGTGAAATGTCAACCCCACCAAAGATTCTAGAAGGTTTCCCCCTAAGGTGAGACAGGACGGCTAGAAGGGGCTGGAGTTGAGTATATCCCTTCCCCCAAGAGAGTTAGGCTGATATAATCCCACCAGGTTAGGCTCTGGTGAAACAGTTTCTCCGTAGGGCAGCCTTTTTAAGGTACTCTGGTATATTTCTGGGTGGTTCCTTCTCCTCTCCCCTCGCCAGCAGCATAAAGGGCTTTCTCTGATATTCACTGTGAGGACCTGGTGGAGGTCCTGGACGTAAAACTCACAGAAGCAAGGGGCCTCCCTGGAGTTCTGGCCTCAGACTTGCCACACTCTCTCTGGTTCCCACAAAGGCGTCTGCTAGTGGCTTCTGCTCCCGCACATCAGACTTCTCTGTGCCTGCCTCCTGCCGGCCACTCCAGTTTGGGGGCAGCCTCTGTCCTGCAACGTCGCTTCTCTCAAGGATCAAAGAGCTGCTGAGTTCTCAGTTCCTTCAGCTTTTTATTGTTGTGGCCTGAGTGAAGACTTCTAAGCTCCTTACATACCAGACTGGAAGCTGTAAGTCCCTCTGCTACTATTTTATGTATTAAAAACAAATAAATTATTTTGAAATCCAAGCCGATACATTTTTACCTTAACCAGCAGTGTACCTTCATTTACTACATTTTATTTTTTATATTTAGATGATATAAACATTTCGATTTTGTCATACAATTGGGTATCTCCTTGAAATCTTACAGTCCAACAACTTAAATCCTTTTTAAATTCAGAGTTCAATAATTTGTCCAAACCAGCCATTAAAATAATAGGCCTTTTATTTTTTGTTTTTTAAATTTGTTTTTGTTACAGATATTTCTCTTTTCCCCCCACTGACACCCTCCTCCCCATTCCCCCCCCACCCCATCCCCAGCTTTGTTGTCTATGTCCATTGGTCATGCAAACATGCATATAAGTTCTGTGGTTTATCTCCCCCCTACCCCCTCCTCTGAGGTTTGTCAGTCTGTACCCCACCTCTATGTCTCTGGGTCAATTTTGTTCATCAGTTTGTTTAGTTCATTATATTCCACAAATAAGTTAGATCATGATATTTGTCTTTCTCTGCTTGGCATGTTTTGCTTAGCATAATATTCTCCAGGTCCCTCCATGTTGTCTCAAAGGATAAGAGATCTTTCTTCCAGCTGCATAGTATTCCACTGTGTACATGTACCACCGCTGTTTTATCCACTCATCTACTGATGGACACTTGGGCTGTTGTTTCCAGATCTTAGCAATTGTAAATAGTGCTGCTATGAACATAGGGATACATATATTCTTTCTGATTGTTGTTTCAAGCTTCTTAGGGTATATTCCTGGAACTGGGATCACTGGGTCAAATGGCAGTTTAACTTTTAACTTTTTGAGGTAATACCATAGTGTTTTCCATAGTGGCTGCACCAGTCTGCATTCCCACCAGTAGTATACTAGAGTCCCCTTTTCTTCATACCCTCGCCAACACTTGTTGTGTGATGATTTGTTGATGGCTACCATTCTGGCAGGTGTGAGATGATACCTCATAGTTTTTTGTGTTTTTTTTTTCCCTTTATCCTCACCCAAGGACCTTTCTCCATTTCTCGTTCATATACAGTGGGAGGGAAAGAGAGAGAGAGAGAAACATCGACATGAAAGGGACACATCGAGTGGATGCCACCCGCACGACCCATCCAGGGCCGGGGACAAACTGCAACTGAGGTATGTGCCCTTAGTAGGAACCAAACCCGGGTCTCTCTGGACCACAGGCTGATGCTCTAACCGCTGAGCCAAGCCTATCAGGGCTCATAGTTGTTTTAATTTGCATCTCTCTGATGATTAGTGACATTGAGGATTTTTTCATATGTCTGTTGGCCATTTTATGTCCTGTTTGGAGAGGTGTCTATTTAGTTCCTCTGTCCATTTTTTTTTTAATTGGGTTCTTTGTCTTCCTTTTGTTGAGTTGTATGAGCATTCTATATATTTTGGCCTTTTATTTTTAAAATATCTAACATTTTTAATGAAATATTTAAAAATCATATATTATTAAGTATGACTACTACTGCACATATAAATCTGAATATGTATATAATCTGGTAGTATTTGAAACTTCTGTTGCTCTTCAAAAGTGTTACAAGACGCACGAATGTCCATGCCATGCGGTGGCGAGGAGGTAGCTTCCAGAGTTGCTGCCCAGATGACGAGAAACATCAGGGCTTCTGTTATCTCTGTAGTCACATGAATTGTCACACAAGGCATTGTCATCGTTACTGAAAGCAGGCCACATTCCGCTGAGGTCTATTCCAACATATATATTGCTATTTAAAATAGTAATCCTGCAAAATGTCACATATATAGATAAACAGATTTTAAATTAGGCGACAGGTAATCATGTATTTCAGATAAATATTATGTGTCCGTTTTTATCTTTATATTTCATTTCTTACGTGAACAACTTTAAGAAATTCCATGTCCATTTTAAAGATTTGTTGCTTCAGAACATATCATCTTTTTGGCCCAGAAAGAACACACACACTTTAGGGATGAAGCACTCGACCGTGCAGTGCACTGACCAATGCCCACGGAGAGGGGTTCAGGGAGAGCGCTGTGCACTCGGTCCCCACACGCCCCTGGCACCATCTGGAGCTGCGACCGCAGCCCTGCAGAGATACCGTCTCTGTTTTCCTAGCGTAATACAATTTTTAGTTTCGAACACACACACACTCACATACATGCACTCACACATACACATGCTCAAACATACACACACACACACACACACACACTCACATATACATTCACACACATACATATACACATACACACTCACACATACACGCACTCACACATACACATGCTCAAACATACACACATATATACACATACACACTCACATATACATTCACACACATACATATACACATACACACTCACACATACATGCACTCACACATACACATGCTCAAACATACACACATATACACACACTTACATATATACACATACACACTCACATATACATTCACACACATATACACATACACACACATACACACATACATACATACACACTCACACATATATGTGCACACACACTATACGGTGAAGATGCTTTGCACAGTAAGTGTATGGAATGTAAAAAAAGTGATGAGCATATTTTCATTAGATTTATATACTATGAGAACTCACTTTTTAAAATGAAAGAGTATTATGACATGAAATGGCTGTCATAAAATTTAAAATATAGCTGTATAGTTATCACACTGCCAAAAATAAAATTCTAAAACTAAGCTAAAATCAAGTTCATATATATGTGTCTGTGTGCCAGAAGAAATATGTACATATGCCATAAACATGAATCATATAAAGGCTAATTTACTTCTCTAAAATTCAAGCTCATACCTGCATGTGCTCTTTCAAACACTACATGTCTACATTACAATTTTAATTTAGAAATCCATCTTACCTCTTTCTGTGAACAATTAAAACATAACCTACTGAAAAGTCTGCTATGCTGAACACTGATTACACAGGGTCTATACACATCATCTGAAAATAAGCTGGATATTTGGAGAAAATTAAAGTCAATATTTATGTGCCAATTTTCATTATTTAGAATAGAATCTTCCTTCCTTCTCTAAGCCCATATAAGAACTGATTAAAACTTGAGTCAGAAGAAGCTCAAACTCATAAAGACAACACGGTAATTGAAGGGTCAAACTATGTCTAGACAGCTACTATTATAACAAGTCTCAGAACCAGAAATTCATTTATAAAGGCCAATGCTATTCATGAAGGGCAGAGTGAAGTTATGGAGGAAGGAAGGATTTTGAATATTTTGAATCCTCATAATCTCCATGAGCTGCCCCAAAGTCACTGTAAAGGAACAGACACTTACAGTAAAAAGCATTTTTTCTTAGAATCAGTCACCCTCGTCCCCAAATTGGGACTATCATTCCTGTCCCCTCCCACTGAGGAACATATGGACGGCGCGTGAAACAACACATCCTGCCCTGGCTGGTTTGGCTCAGCGGTTAGAGCATCGGCCTGCAGCCCAGAGAGACCCGGGTTCGGTTCCCGCTAAGGGCACGTACCTCGGTTGCAGTTTGTCCCCGACCCTGGGTGGTCATGTAGGTGGCAGCCACTCGATGTGTCCCTTTCACATCGATGTTTCTCTCTTCCTCTCTCTCCCTCCCACTCTATCTTCTGAACAAAAAAGTAAAAAAATGTCCTCGGGTGAGGATTTAAAAAAAAAAAGGAACAGCACGTCCTGTTCCAACATCAGAAATGCACTCATTACATTTGAAATGCACACACACAATGCAAAGGATGCTGGCACTGTAGAGAGAGAGGTGTGTGTGTGTGTGTGTGTGTGTGTGTGTGTGTGTCCCCAGTAGGGCTGGAGTGCTGCATTAAACCCCTAAGCTGAAATATTTCATCGGTGGTGGATGCGACTAGAATCCAGAAGGAAAGCTACTCATTAATGCTCAACCTCTTTCCCGTGGGATGCTTTAGAGTCACGACATAAGGGTTTTTCTCCGGAGTCAGATATTAACTGCCTTCAGAGCTGTTTACTAGTTTGAATCACAGCTGAAGAAAAAGAAAAAAAAAATAGCCCAAGAGGCAAGAGGTTTTAAACTGCTGAGGGTCTACACTGAAAGAGATAATGAAAAAGAACTAAAATCCTGAGAAGACTCTCTGACACTGTGAAGGGGATGGGAACCTGGGGAGTGAGAAGGAGGGAGCAGCGTCAGTGCGGCAGTAGGCAGTGGCAGTAGGCAGTGGCACATGCCCCCCGGCAGCGACGGGGAGACTGCACCAGCACGTCCTGCCTCTTTCCACCCATTAATGAAAACATCCACGCATTGCCTTCACTTCAATAATGTAGAATTGGTCCACTAAAAAGGTAAAAAGGGTCATAGAGAAATCATATATTATTCTAAACTAAATCCATTTTGATAGGGTGCATGTTTAAATAGCAGTTTTGTACTATTGCAATAATAGATCAGAATAGCTATTTTCAAAATACTATGCAAAAGTTGCCATAGTAACAATGCAAATCCTTTTGAAACATAATGAATCACCTAAAAATTTATCAGATGGAACATGGCACTCTTCTTCAAATAATTTTTGCATTTTATATTACAATATTACTGTAATATATAATAATATTATACACATCTATTTCATTAAATGCTTTTCTTTATGTAAAATGACTTCATTGAAACTACTGCTATTTTTATATATTAATCTGATTAATGTATAAAAGAGTTCTAGTTTATATAGGGTGGGGTAAAAGTAGATTTATGTTCGTAGGGAACATAAAACAATAATACATAATAACACAAAAATTAACCATTTAATGTATTCACAACTGTACACCTACGTTCGCCTCACTTCATATTTGAAGTCTAAAGACAATCTGAACACACTAAAATGCATCTAAAACCAGGATAGAAAAATATGCCTCTTCTTCAATGTATAATTATGACTCTGTATGTATTATCTTCTCACCTCTGCTTTTAAATCTGTCAAATAAGCATCTTATTTACACTCAGAATTCTGGGAAACTGTCTGCAGTATAGATGGCACAGGGATACAGCTGCATGAGAAGTAAAACAGAAAAAAAAACAAACAGAAAATTACAACAGAAATGTAGCTTACTCTTTGCAGTCCTTCATACCAATCATCTTGCTCAAACCAATTTGCAATGTACGTCATCCAAGCCATTGGCCGTTCGTACGTTAATCAAGGGCGGGGCCGCTCAGCATCACGGGGCGCACCTGCAGCAACGACAACCGCTTCAGCCCGCAGCCTCACCGACGCCTGAGCAGGTCGCTCGGGACAGGGAGCTGGACACACACACCTCCATGGACACCACTCTGGTTGTTTACAAACAACAGTATCTGTAAGACTGATGCTACCCCAGAAAATAGAAACCTGTATTCAACCAAGTAAATAGACAATAATTATGCTATTGTATTGTACAGTGCCAGAGAATGCTACATCGAATAGTTTATCCGGTTTACAGTTTTTATATTAAAAAAAATCTAGTTTTAACTTTTGCAAGAAAGAGGCAAATGTCTAGATATTACTAAGTTAGCAATAAGAAACCCAGAATACACACACACACACACACACACACACACACCAAGAAACAGAAAATCAGTTCTATTTTCACTTTAGGAGTGGGCCGTAGAGCTAGAAGAAAGCCTCCAGGTTAAATGCTGTCCAATGATCCGGTCAATCCGAGATTTCTATTTGTCCCCAGCTCAGCTGACCGCTAACCTCAGTGGCTCAAATGCTTTGTGGACAGCCCGTGACTGAACGGAGTGCTCAGATGTTCCACAGAGGATCAAAATCACACGAATTTGACTTCATTTTAGTTTGCTCACTTATAGAAGTTATTTAGTAGCCATGCTAAATAAGAGATTTCCTGGTATCCTGGAGAATATCTAACTTCAAAATATGCCCTTTAAAGCTTCGGTGCGTCACGCACCACCTGATGTTCTGAGCGATCCTGTCCTGACCAAACTCACCAAACCCTCACACCCGAGTGAGGAAAAGAGGAAGGAAGGAAAGGAGAAAGGAAAGGAGGGAGGGATGGAGGGAAGGATGGAGGGAAGGATGGAGGGAAGGAGGAAGAAAAGAAAATAATTTGTTTCATTTTTCATACTCCAAAAGCAAGACAGCTTCAGTCTGGGCACAGAAAGACACGTGCCAGGTGAATGTCTCCGCGGCTGCGAGAGCGCCATGGCTGCTGCAGACCTGCCCACTCCTCTTCAGGATTCTTCTTCCTTCTTCTCTGGAAGCGCCGACGCCATCTGCCTGGAGCCTTCCACAGGCAGTTCCAGCGCTGCTGCGACCTCTTGCTTAGCTGGTCTCCTCTGGGTGACTCCCCGACTCTGGACCATGCTTTTGGTCCTGCTCTTTGAGTTCCCACGAGCCCTGTGTCCCTAACAGCTCAGATTCTGAACCTCCTGCGTGGTCCTACCCTCTGGATTTGCCCCCCACACACCCACTGATGGCTCTCTTGTCTCCTGCTCATCTTACTTTGAGCTACACCTCCATGTCTGCGTCTTGTATTACGCTTTTCCGCCCCATCTTGAACTGTATCTAGCAGCTGCCCAACAACTCTAACTACCTCGCCACTATTTCAGGGGTTCCAGTCCCTCTTTCAATACACTCGCCCTCCATCGCCCATGCCAAACTGCCAAACTCATTCCAAACCACCTCCCGAACCAGGTGCCTCAGCCACTCACCTGGTAATCTCACCATGAACAAGAATAAAGCTTAGTGAATCCTTTTGAGTGCGGTTCCCCCTTTCTACCACCCCCAAACACCCTTTCTTTCTCCTGCAGTCCCCACTTCAGAGACCAGCATTACCTCTGGACAGTAAGCCAAGACATAAACATCAGCCACCTCTGATTCCTTCACTACCTTCCCCTCCCCCTCCCACATTTGATCACCAAGTCTCAACAAACTGCTTTTGACATGTGCCTTCCAAAGGTCCTTCTCCCCGCCCCCTACGCCACTGTTTCAGTCAACCCCCATGTCTTGTATAAACGAATTAAAGAGCTGGCTTACGAGAGCCTTCTCTCACAAAATCCCTCAACGAGGTACCTGCTGTCCTGACTTCATGCCTAGAGGTTTTATGCTTTTGCTGAACTCCCCTCCCCCTTCCCCATGAATAACAAGCTCTTTCATATTCAGGGTCTTACAAGACCCAAGTTATTTTATTTTTTAAATCCTCATCCGAGGATATGTTTCCATCGATTTTTTTTTTTTTTTTAATCCTCACCCGAGGACATTTTTCCATTTTTTGTTCAGATAGAGTGGGAGGGAGAGAGAGGAAGAGAGAGAGAGAGAGAAACATCGACGTGAAGGGACATATCGAGTGGCTGCCACCCGCACGACCAACCAGAGCCGGGGACAAACTGGAACCGAGGTACACGCCATCGATTTTTTTTTCAGATAGAGTGGGAGGAAGGTCAGAGAAAGAGAGAAACACTGATGTGAGAGACATCAATCGGTTGCCTCCTGCAGGACCCTAACCTGGGCCAGGGATTGGACCCTTGACTCCTCGGTCTGCGGACCAGCACACTAACGGTGGAGCCAAACCGGCCAGGGTGACACAAGTCCCAACGTCAGCAATCCTCCTCTCTGAAGCCTTTCTCAAATGGACCAAATCCTCATCTGTTTGCCTTTAAATTTATATTTGTGTGCCCTGGATAGTGACTCTGTAAATACACACTGTGAGTTCCCAAGGCAGAGGACCATGCCACAACCAACTGTGTGCAGACACAAAGTGTGGCAAGTGACCTAACACCTACGAGCCAGAAGAGCCTGTGGGTCCGGGGCGGTTCCCAGGGACTGAGGCTGCGGAGCTGCAGCTCGGTGGGTACTGCACTCGCCAACAGCTGAAGGGGGTCACCATTCCATTTCTGGTAAGAAAATGGCTAACCAAATCATGTAAGACATTGTTTTTAAAGGAGTAAAGAAATGCAAACCTGAACTGTAAAATTATTTTATAATTATCCCAGGCACCAGGTCTGAATTTATTATACCACTGTACAGCCAAAGTGGTTAATGTTACCCTTGTTTACAGGGCACACCTTAGGTCTGATGTCTTATTTCCTGATGTTTTTCCATGAGCATCCGTTACCATGTTTGCAAGAATTAAGGAAAGCAAACTATTTCACCTCATGCCATCTCAGGTGAAATATTACCTTGCATAGAAACACATAGTTCTTGATGGTATTCCAGGTATTCTGATGAACTGAGTGACCAGAACCTGGTTCATTCAGTGTAAGAATGGCAAATCGTATTCAATGCTCGCTCTCCCTCACTGGTCAGAACTGCCTGAGTGCAGAGCTGAGACCCAGAACTGATCTTGGAGGAGAAGCACGTCATGCTCACTCGGCAGGAACTCAGAGAGGAAGAACAGAGTCACAGGGGCCCCTGTCCCACTCTTCACCGAAGATTTGTGATGGGAGGAAATGACAATAAGCAAGGGTGAAATGTCATCATGATAAACAAATAAACAAAGATAATAAAATAAAATGCTTTGCAATGTCAGAAACCTGACTGCAAGTATAGTATCCAAACATGGTTTGATTGTTGGTCCTGACCTTTCCATACATCTCTGTTTCACATGTCTCTCTGTTTCACACGTCTCTCTGTTTCACACGTCTCTCTGTTTCACACGTCTCTCTGTTTCACACGTCTCTCTGTTTCACATGTCTCTCTGTTTCACACATCTGTTTCACACCTGTTTCACACGTCTGTTTCATATGTCTGTTTCACGTCTCTGTTTCATGCATCTGTTTCACACGTCTCTCTGTTTCATACACCTCTGTTTCACACGTCTCTCTGTTTCATACATCTCTGTTTCACACATCTGTTTCACATGTCTCTGTTTCACACGTCTGTTTCACACATCTGTTTCATACACCTCTGTTTCACGTCTCTCTGTTTCACACGTCTCTCTGTTTCATACATCTCTGTTTCACGTCTGTTTCACACATCTCTCTGTTTCATACACCTCTGTTTCACGTCTGTTTCACACGTCTGTTTCACACGTGTTTCACACGTGTTTCACACGTCTGTTTCACATCTCTGTTTCACACGTCTGTTTCACACGTGTTTCACACGTCTCTGTTTCATACATCTCTGTTTCACACGTCTGTTTCACAGATCTCTGTTTCATACACCTGTTTCACATCTCTCTGTTTCACACGTCTCTCTGTTTGTCATAACCTCATCATGTGTGGATTGTTCCTGCCTGTTGCCTTTAGACTTGCAACTCATTTTGTCTAGTGACATGTGGGTAACAGTCAGAGTCCCTCCCCTAGGTCAAAGCACTGGCCATACGGCTTATTTCCACTCCCACTTTCTGCCCACATGGGAAGAACATCCAGTGGCAACCCCACCAGTCCACAAAGGATGGCAGACACAGGAGCAAAACTGCCACAGACCAGTCACAGACTCCAGGCGCAAGCAGAACCACTCCGCTAAGCTATACCTTGTAGGAAAACCCCAGCATGACACCCGTGAGCATAACAAATGCTTACGGTGATGTTTTGCTGAGTCTGGGAGTGGTCTGTAACGAAGTATTTTTGTAGCAGTAGCTGACTGATACCACTGCCCCAGGTAATACTGAGAACCAGCACGGCCGAGTCAGGAAGACACACGCACTCCGTGGAGATCAGCTCATCACACCAGCAACCCGCTTGACCTACAGCGGAGAGCGGGACCGCAGCCCCAGGAGTTAGCGGTGTCTGTACGGGTTACAGTGTTAGACAATCTATCACCTGTATCAGAAGAGCTCAAGATAGGATATTCTTAAACTAGCTAAAAATAGCAAGAGGTGTTTATTTATATAAAGAATCTGAGTTATCTCATGTTTTTCTTCCAGTCTCTAAAAATGAACCATTGAGAAATATTTAAGATGAGTCTTTTCACAAGAGGAAAATGTATCGACCCGTCTCATGTGAGCCGTTCATATGCGTCTGATGTTTGCACCTTTTTGTCCCTGCCCTTTCTAGAAATGCTGCCTAATTCTTAGGATGGTTAGGACCGTCCAGGCATATGTGATTTTAAACAAATAAAGTAGGACCCACTCTCATTCTGAGAAGCTGGTCAGAGTTGTCCGTCATCACATCTCACCGTGAGGACAAGAACAACCGGGTGGGCAGTCCCCGGCCTAGAACTGAAAGAGCTAAAGGCTCTCTGGTCCTGATTGTATGAGAACCTCTGGCACCGGGTGCTGAGAGGTCACTACTGCTCGCTTCCGCTTGAACTTGAGAGAGTTTTTCTTTACTCACGCCTGTCTAACCTCCCAAACACAGTGCAGTGATGTCTGGCCCGCTGTCTGAACCTTGGCCTCAGGTGTGTCTGCTTGGCTTCTGCATGAGTTTTCCATCCGGGTTTGCCTGCTATCTCAGCCCAAGACTTTAACTGAAGCTCTGGCGTCCGGCACGTGCAGCCGACTCTGCCCAGCTCATCCGCACCCGGCGTCTCCTCACCTGCGGCACTCACGCCTGCCTTATGCTCGGTCAGCCCTGTCGCCGTTATCGTGTGCCACAGCAAGGACACTTACACCCCCCACACACTAGAATACACATGCCACAGAAGCACGGGCCACTGCCTGGCCAGTCAAACAGGGAGTGAATCATGCGGCCTTGCTCCACATCGCGCTTTCCTATGCCCGCCCCTGCCCGGTCTAGAGCTGTGGTCGGCCGGGTCAGAGCCGAGGGCGGGGTGGCAGAGACCCACGAAGTGTCCAGGTTCCTCCTGCTGAAGGTGTCGCGCAGGCTGACACAGCTCTGGGATCACCTGTCTGCCTCCTGCTACTATGAACAGACACCTCTGAAGGAATGGAAGCGAGCGGAAGGCAGCTGTCAAACGCATTCTATCACCACAGGCCGGGGACCCACGCAGCCCTCCTAGATTAAACCTGCATAAAATGTCAGAAGAAAGTCTGAGTTGGAGAGCAGGTATACAGCTAATAAGCATGCGTTGAATAGTCAGAATGATTTTTTCTTTTTATAAGACCGTTACGAACTGGAAATGGCAGACAAGCACATGTATTCCAGTCCTCCCTTTGAGGACAACCAGGAAAGGTAAATGGTGAATGAAAACACCCCAAATCCCACACTAAGGAGGGGCATTTCCCCCACGGCATGTGCCTCAGTGGCGAGGAGATGCAATGCTGAGCAGCTCTGGGGGCTCCGGCAATCCCACAGGGCTGGGGGAGCAACGGAGTCCAGAGGCTGCCGAGGGAAAATGATCTAACAGCGAAGTCCTTTCAGCAAGAACCATCTGGGTCTGCATCTGAAGACCAAAGGTGAAACAGAAATGGACCATCCCTTACAAGACTGAGGGTCAGCTTCAGATAAACTCATCAAATAAACTCCGCTTTCCAAAGCAAAAGTCGGCCCTCTCCGGAGGAAGGGAACAGTAAACCACCAGGCTGCAAAGCCGTGCGGGAAGTCCTCGGAGGGGGGCCCCTCTGTGGAGACAGGGCGGAGGAGAAAGTGGGGGTGCTGCAAAGAGGGTAAGGGAAGCAGCAGACAGAATTGCAGTTAGTCCCTCAAGGCCAGTGGGAGCCAGAGCAGCAGCTGAGAGCGGCTGGGGCCCCGGAGGCCGGCGGAGTTCGCACCCACGTCTCAGGTCCTCTCCACAGGCCTCGGGGGGGGGGGTACGCAGGGGGAAGGCTGGGGAATCCGAGGCTGGGGCCCCGGAGGCCGGCGGAGTTCGCACCCACGTCTCAGGTCCTCTCCACAGGCCTCGGGGGGGGGGGGGGTACGCAGGGGGAAGGCTGGGGAATCCGAGGCTGGGGAATCGGAGGCGGGTGGCCTGCGCGCCTCAGAGTGGAGGAAGCACCTGGCTACGGAGAGCTGACAGGAGGAAACACTGCGGACTCCCCGAATCCTCCTCCCACAGGAAGCAGGGTCCCTTCTGGGAGGAGCAAACAAACAGGGCCCTCCGGGGGCTCTGGGGAGCAGCAAAGGAGACCTCATCCGCCTCTAGGGAGGGACAGAGCGCTCTCCGCCCTGATCCCAGGAACTAGGCAAAGATCCCCCACCAGGCAGAAGGGACAATGCAGAAGCTGATTGCCTGGGGTGGGCGGGCAGGAAGACATCTGGGGCTCCTGTCCTGTGCTGGCCAGATCTGCCTGGGACTGCAGAGGTGCACACACCTTCCTTCCTAACGCCGCCACACATCCAAGGGCGAGGAACGCCACAGAGGGTGGTGGAGGGGGTGACACACCCATCACCCCGAAGCACAGACTTCTCCGATCTGGGAGATAAACCTGCAATATAAGCATACACTTGGGGTACTGTGCACTAATTAAAATGAGCTATATACACAAAGTGGATGAAGTCTATACTGTAATGATGATTGAAAGTCAAACATACAATGATATATATCACGATTCTACTTATAGAAGTTTAAAAACAAGCAAAATTAATCAACGATGTTAGAAGTTATGGCGGTTTTGGGGGAGAAGGAAGTAGTCCCAGGAAGGTGCCCTAAGGGGATTTCTAGGAAATTTACAATGTTTCTTTTATGCTAATTATGCTAATGAGCAAATTTTGCTGCTACAAACACTACCTTGCACATTTCTGCTGCCAGTCATATAATCTAAGAGAAATTATACACAAAGAATCCACAGCAGTGCTTTCTAATACTAACAAAATTAAAGGGAAAAATCCAAGCACACTCGTCCACATACAGATACTGCATAATTGGATCATGTTTTCTAACTTTACTTGGACACTTTCATTTATCTTTTTATATTCCCCTTAGCGTTTCCTGCCCCAGCCATCATATTCCGGAACATATTGAGCTAGAGCACTAATACTTTTTTAAAACCACAAGTGTTTTCAGAAACAATGTCAGGGACAGAGGAGGGAGCTGGACACAAAGAATAAATCATCTCATGCCAGGAAAAGAGCCAACACTGAAGTCTAACACAACAAGCAGGCCAAACCCGGCAGGTGTGGCCATGCACCAAGAGGTCCCCGGTTCGATTCCCAGTCAGGGCACATGCCCAGGTTGTGGGCCCGATCCCCAGTGGGAGGCATGCAGGAGGCGGCCAATTGATGTTCTCTCTCATCCATGTTTCGATCTCTCTCTCCTCCTCCCTTCCTCTCTCTCTCAAATCAATAAAGAAAAAAAAATTAAAAGAAAAGAAAAACCAAGTAGGCCGAGATGGACTACATGAAGGATATGCATTTGGGAGTTCTGGACATAGAGCTGACATTGTGATTTTTAAAAATATAGTATGGAGAAGCCTCATTGAGTTGATTCTAAACAAAGACTAGAAGGAGACAAGGCAAAGTACAACGACAGTGCACTGGGAAGTGCGCTAAGCAGAGAGAACAGCAAGAGCAAAACTCAGGCGGAAGCTCCCTAGTGGGTGTGAGAAATAGTAAGAAAAATCAATGAAAGCACAGAAAATGTGTGCTCAAAGGTCAGAGACGTACCATGATACAGACATTCAGAGACGTACCATGATACATTCAAGGTGGTGGTGTTGCACCTTTATACTCTTCAGGATACTGTAAGTTTTCTTAATAGAAATCCTCTGCCTGTATTAATAAAAATTAAAAAACAAAACCCTAAAAATATCTTGTTGAAAATCAGTGTTTAAAATTTTAATACACTGTATGCACAGAGCTATGCAAAAATATATTTTTATAATTATATAATCAATAAGTGCTTATTAGAAAACTTTGGAGGGATTTGTTTTTAATTAGTCACTAGTCCACTAACTTGAGGTCATTTTCCTCTGTCTGGTGTCCATAATTCTAAATGACCACTATTCTCACTGAGACATGCAGAACCATGATCAAGCACAGACTCTCGGGGTCTGGAACCTGCTTTTCAACATCATTCCCAGATGATTAATATGCACAGTAAAGTTGAGAACTACTTACTTAATCCAACAATAGGAAAGATAAATTAGCAGGAAAACTGCCTCTAATATCTTCTGCTGACTAAGATGAATCTCTCCCATTTCTATCATTCTTAGCGTACCTTTCAGGTGCTTGGCAGGACACTTTATCTAAGCATTCCCGATGTGTGTCAAGCCACGATGATCTTAGCGCTTAGATTATAAAATAGGTCACAAGCACAGTATTAAGCTACATTAAAATCCTGGATTAGGGAGCAAATAGAAAAGAAGAAGGTCATTACGGTAGTTCGAGTTTGGACTCACAAAGTAACCACTTGCACCAGTATGCATTCCAATTTGATCAGCAAAATGCAGGCATTATATGTAAGACCAAGGCACCGATTTAAAGATGTGACAAAGCTAATGCATTCCATCATTCATCTACTCATTTCCTGTTATACCTCCCTACATTTTAACCAGCAGGATGAAAATTAAATGGATTTGAATCATAGAATTAGAGTTCTCTAGGTGCTCGGAAGATTGCAGAATCTGAGTGGTAATGTGGAAATAATTTTTAATTTGATAGAACTAGTCCACTTTTCTTAAACAACAGGGTCATTCACATACCTTCAGTGAACATTCTGAAAGCCAAAAAAAATAGAGAAGGATAAAATCACTTATGTTCACTCATAAACTAAAGAGTTAGAAGTAAATATTCCACTGAAAGACATTATAATGCAAATATGTAAGTATTTCTCATGAAGACATAATAGAGCATGGCAACAATATGTAGCCTTATTGCTGTAAACAGGATCATCCTCATTAAGAAGACTGGAGAAGCTATGCCATGGCTCCGTCCGGCTGAGCATCCCGCCCCTTCGGATTAATCTGTTCTGTAAGTTGGATTTTATAAATGGGACTTTTAAGTAGGCTGGGCCTTTATGCTTATCTGTCTGTGAAAATCGGGATTTCCATTTGGCAGTCACTAAGACTGGCATTTCATGTTCTGGGCAAAGGGTGTTAAAAATTACAGTGGCAAGTCAGGTGAGAAAACCAGCACAGGAAATCAAAGGAATATAAAGCTTGAAAGCTTTAAAATGGAAAGAAATAGCTCACATAAAGTCACATATCCGAACATTTATTTAGTATATGCATCTGTATGTTGATGGACAGCCTGAACTAAATCCTAAAGTGTGGTAAGTACAGGGTGTATCAGCTAAGGCAGGCCGATGCAAAGATCAGATCGGTTGCTACTCCACATCGATACCATCTGACATAATCAATAATGAAAGCTACTATTGAAATAGAGATGCTTATGAATGGCCCTACTACAGTATTTCCAGACATGAATTCATTTATTTAGTTCATGGTACTCCCAAGTAAAGTTTAAAGTGGCATCGGACATGGACTTCATCAGCTCAAGAGCTGGGCAGTTCCAATGGCATAATGAAGCTTCTATTAGTTCTCCTCAAACCCGACCTTTCTAGGAATCACGGAGGCCCTGAAACACAGAGTCCAGGCCCTCCCCCGAGATTCTGATTTGCATGCCCAACAAGCTCGCAGGAGATGCTGATGCTTCTGGTCTAGGGTACACTGTGAGTAACTCTGCTCAGTGCCCATCTGGTACTGAAGTGGCAGAAAGTCTAGAAAATAAACACGTCCAACTTCAAAGTCACCTAATGGGAACCATTACCTAGGCCTCTGATGTAATTTCCAAAAGCTTCTCATGTCTAGCATTCATAAGTCACCTGTAGATGTGACGACGACAAACACTTATGTACCGCTGGGGTGCACTAGGGTCGAGAATTTCTAAGATGAATGGATCCCAAAGAATCACAAAAGACTTGGCAGCAGAACGTAAATTGTATTGAGCAAATCAACAAATCACAGAACTTGTAGGAAAACACTTTTAACTAGTATTTTAAGTAAGCTCTATATATGGCAAAAACCAAACACATGCCCATCGCTCCTTATGCACCACGATCACTTTAAAATCACAATAGTGATCTAACCCTCAAATACTTGAACTTTTGAATGATTCACTTGAAGAAATACAGTGAAAGAGGAAATGATGTTGCCCTGACTGGTTTGGCTCAGCAGTTAGAGCGTCGGCATGTAGACCAGAGAGCCCGGGGTTTGGTCCCAGCTAAGGACATGAACCTCGGTTTCAGTTTGTCCCTGGCCCTGGCTGGGGTCCTGTGGGTGGCAGCCAGTCGATGTGTCTCTCTCACATTGCTGTTTCTCTCTGTCTCTTCCTCCTTCTCTCTCTCCCGCTCTATCTGAAGATAAATGCAAAAAAAGGTCCTCAGGTGAGGAGAAAAAAATAAAAAGAGCAAATGATGTTGGTGATACATTATGACCTCTTCAGGGTGCAGCATGATGCTGAGTGTCAAAGGCTGAACTTCTAGACCAGCTTTCACACTGACTAATTTTAAGCAACATAATCTTTATGTATTTAGTGACCTCATCTACAAAATAATGGTGTTAAATTATTTTGTCTCCAAGGAGCCTTCCAGCTTAAATTCTGAAGCTTCTCCTTCAAACCTATTACTATATTTACCTGAAAAATAAAATGTGGCATAACTCTTTTCATTATGACTGATTCATAATGTTTTATCTTAAAGGACCAAACTTAATTAAATATTACCTATTTTTAATCGACTAACTCTTCAGTTTTCAACACTCCATGTGGGGCTGTTTATACTGGAAAATGAAGGTTTTCCTACAGCATATGAAACATGAGCGCTCCGTGTGATAACTTATTTTCTACTTTCCAATTTGAAAGGCAGTTTTTTGGGGTTTAATATGAAATTGAATTTATTATACATAGTTGCGGTGAGCCTACATGGACGCTGGTACATACTCACAACTTAAAGTGCCAACAATTTGGAAGAAAACAACAAACCTAAACATAAGAAAAATTACTTAATGACCTCTAAGGTGAGTTCTCCATGACTGAGCATTCAAATCGATAAACCAAGTACTGAATGTTGCAACATCCTCACTGAAGCATGGAAAATTATTTCTTACGTCTTTTGATCATTTTCTTAAACGTGACAATTATCAATTATCTCAATAATAGGAAATAACACTGACAAATTATCTCTTGTATGATCTTACTGTATAAGATTTATATTACTGTTTCCATTATATATATACACATATATACATATATGTGTGTGTGTGTATACACACACACACACACACATATATATATCTTAAAGTAAAATGTAGAATTCCAGAGTTTTAGGAGATAATTGGGCTACTCAATTATACTTTGTAAGCACATGTAATGTAATAAAATGTTAAGACTTTTATCCTTATATTTTAAGAAACATCACTCAGGTAGCTGATAATATGACGTCTATATGAAAACTAAGCCTGTGCTTGCAATTTTGGTTGTCTCTTTTTTTCTTTCTTTATTGATTTTAGAGAGGGAGAGGAACAGAGAGAAATATCAATGAGAGAGAACACCGATGGGCCACCTCCTGCATGCCCCCCACTGGGGATTTGGCTCACAACCTGGACATGCATCCTGACCAGGAATCGAACCAGTGACCTCTTGGTGCATGGGTCGACACTCGACCACTGAGTCACATTGGCCAGGTTTAGGTTGTCTTTTTTAAAAATTAAATCCTCACCCGAGGACATCTTTGCATTTATCCTCAGATTGAGCAGGAGGGAGGAGGGGGGAGAGAGAGAGAGAGAAAGAAACATTGATGTGAGAGAGACACATCGACTGGCTGCCACCCAACCTGGGCCGGGGACAAACTATAACTGAAATACGTGCCCTTAGCAGGAACCGAACCCAGGACTCTCTGGTCCGCGGGCCGACCTCTAACTGCTGAGCCAAACTGGCCAGGGCTTAAGTTGTCTTTTTAATAAAATCTAGAGATTTCAAATGTCCAACTTGCTCCTCAGTTATACGTGTCACTGAAAACACTGACAAATCAAGTGAAAACAACTGAGCACTCTCCTATGTGACAGCTCACGTTTCACTAGGAAAACTTGTGAAATCATTTCAGTCCCTTGTGATGGGATTTCTCTCTCCAATACAGAAAGATACAAGTCAAAGCTGGTCACTTTACAGCATTTCCCTACCAACTTTTAAAACCAAAGTTACAAGTCCGTCTTGAAAAAGTTAAGTAACCTCAAGTAAGAAAAACATTTTCCTTCAGGCTGTCTCTCTAGGGAGTAATTCTTCGGGGAATTCCTACAATTCTCTGCACGCATCCCGAGCTAACTTCTTGCTCACAGATCTCCAAGGCAGAGTCTCATCAACAGGGAGAGAATAATGTCCAGTGGTCACCACAGACCACAGCCTGGCCTTGGAGGTTGAACACAGCCAACTAACTCTTACTTTAATATATGTTTCTGATACAAAAGAAAAGGAGTCAGGGGAAATAAATCCCTCCCAATCTCCTACTACGATTTCGGTGGATTAAAATACTCTCAAACCTCTGTCCTGAAGACACAGTGGAAGCTACATAGCTCCACTTGAATATTTCAGTCTGCTAAATGGAATAGATATACAAAATATAAAATGAGTTAATTTGGCAAATGCGAAGTAAGAGTAATGCTTGTATAGTCATCATTATCATGAATGGCTGGGTATTCAACAACCTGATACACTGTTATCTTCCTTGCATATATCAGATTGCAAGTAAATACTGCAATAGAGGGAGAAAATAAGAATCCCTCAAGATAGTATGAATTTCATTTTAGCCTTCATTACAGAGTTTAGGCAAATGAAATCAAGTACTCTGGAGAATCTGTACACATTTTATTGATAATGACAACCTAATCACTCGTGTTGGAATTCTGGTATATATCAAGGCAAAACCAACAAAAATAAAACTATTCCTACTCTTCTCTAAATAATTTAAGAACTGCCCCTGGCTCATCTATGCCCAGGCCAAGGGCTATGTCTGCAGAAAACAACAACAAAAAACACTCTATCCATTGTAGTCTCTCTACTGGGAGCAAAGGAATTCAAAAACATTTTTTTTTTTTCCTAAGCAAAATTATTTTGTGGCTTTCTAATATATGGAGCTATTATGTGACTAACGAATTACAAAAATTGTTAGTACACCAGCATTTAATTGTTAACAACAAAAAGAATGAAGAATTTAAAAACTTTTAAATAAATATATATATTTTTAGAGACAGCCATAGTGCTTTACGTATTTCTATTAAAATCAACACAGAGGAAAACGAGATCTACATAAATAAGATTCAACTACTTGTTTTATATAAAGTTTGTGGAGCACACTTAAGACATATCTGATTTTTCCTTCCAGGTGTGGCCTTTGAAATAGGCCACTGGTTTATTCCAATTTAGAAAACCTCCCAGGAAATCTTAATGAAGCCCTGTAACATCAATCTCTAAGCAATTCACTAAAGAATGCTTCCCCAAATTCTGTTGACTTCACAGTCACTTAAAGCCTATATTTACCTTCAGATCACAGAACAGGAAAGATGGTCAGACCACCGGACTCACTCGGGTAAGATGTAACTATGCCCCTTTCTGCACTCAGGCCAAGTGGCAGAACCTCAGCATGAGATGGGAGCTCTTCCCATGGGGGCAGAGGCACCAAGAGCCCAGCACCAGCACCCCGCAGGCGACCTCCCAGCCCAGGCTGTGGGCTGAGACAGTCACATGGGCATTATTCTCTCCCTGTACGCAACACTCTTCCTTGGGGATTTGTGAGCAAGCAATCAGATGGGATGCCTGCAGAGGACTGTCTAGATTCCCCAAAGAATTTACTCTGTAGAGAAACAAAACAATAAAGGAAACCTTTTCCTTACTTGAGGTTACTTTTAACAAGGACGTGTAACTTTGCTCATCAACACTGGTAGAGACACGAGTTTCTGTGAACAGTATTTCTGAAATCCTCAGACCTCGGAAGATTCGGACATGCAGTATTTCCCTGCAGACCCCTCCCATAAGTAAATATATCTGGAGGTTACAAAAACAAGCGTGCCTTACTCTTGATATACAAAGTAATCACTAAATTTCATTCTATTGTTTTCAATTGATATGGTACAAAAAAAAAAGGTCAGCTTTAATGTTTGCTTCTTTTAATATCTTCATGCAAAAAGTCTGTTTTTTTTGGGGGGGGAGGGGCAGGAAAGGTCCTATTTCCCTGATTCACAGCTTCCTCGATGCCCCCACATTCAACACCGTCTTTCCCCCGAACGTCTCCTGGTTCCTGCCAGCCTCCTGGGCACCCCAGTGCCGCCGCCTGCCGAGGGGAGGTGTCCACACAGAACCGCCCGGCGGGCGCGGCGCAACCCTCGCAGTCTGGGCTCCGCGGGCACCTGCTCAACGAGCCTGAAGCGCGGACAGAAAGGCTGCCCCGGCGGCGCCGGGCTCTGCGCTCGCGGGCACTGCCCGGGGTCTGAGCCCGGGATGCCCCGCGGCCCCCGCGTGTGCGGAGCCCAGGCGGGCGCGCGGAGCCCGGGCTGCCGCTCGCGGGGCGGCCCGGCCGCGGCCGCACGACGCATCCCCGCGGGGCCCGCGGCCCCCTTACCTGCGGAGGCGGCGAAGCGGCGGCGCGCAGGGGACGGCGCGAGGGGGGCGCCGCGGCCGAGCGAGCGGACCCGCCCCGCCCTCTCCTCCTCGCCCGGGCTCGGGGCCGGGGGCCGGGCCGCGGGTACTGGGGCAGGAGGCGGGCTCCACCAGCCAACCGCGGCCCCGGGCGCTCCTGGGCCGGCCCCCGGCCCACGTGACGGCCATCCTGGCCGCTGATTGGAGCGCCCGGTGGAGCGGCGGAGGCGGCTCCCGAGCCTTGGATACGGCGCGCGCGAGAGGCGGTTACCTGGCAACGGGTGTCCGCCGGGAAGACGTGCTTCCCGGGCGCCGCGCGGGCTCGGGCGAGTTTCCAGTGCGGAGGGAAGTGGAGGAAAACAGTGACCCGCCCACTCACACGCTCCACGTCCCGAGTCTACGCTCTCTAGGTAATAGATTCAAAATGTGCATCAATAATCACAGTGTCCTCCTGGAGGAGGGGTGAGCCTCCCTCGGAGCGAGGCTGCCCTAGCCGGGAACCGGCACCTGCACTTGACAATGGTCTCATTGGGCTCAGGTGGCTCCGTGGGAGACTCCTTGGGATGCAACTGTTTGTCTCTGTTATTGGAGCTGTCGGTAGTTAATATACGGCCTTCAAAGTGTGCAAAACTGACATTTTACTTGTGGAATTGGGTTGAATGGAAATGCTTGGTACTGTCGTTTGTATTTTCCTCCTCACGACTTTGAAATACCTTCACTACCTATGGCCTTTATCAAACACACGGGAGAAAATAAGCCTTTATATACTTGACATAAAGTGTATTTAATTACATTTATTGACCTTTAATTATGTATCAGACTCTGAATAGTTAACGAATGGTCTACCCCAACTAGGAAAATTCCCTGGACACAATTCCTATCCTCCTAAGCCACTGACTTTTCTTCTAAAGTATTCTCTGCAGACTGTTTCCTCCCATGACACTTATTTTATTTTGTAAACTAAAACCTACTTAAAAGTTGCCTTTCCACATAGACAATAAACTTGTTAAAAGCTAGAGTCAGCTCTTACAAACCGTTCCCTACGTCTAACGAAGTGCCTGATGAATAGCAGACCTTCAATGAATGTTTGATAGATGGGTGGATGGATAAAAGAATCAAGTACCTCATAATCTACTAGAGAAAGTATAAAAGGCAACAACTAAATATACTTCAGTGTGTTAAATTCTACAATAGGGTTCTATGAGAGTATTTCACATGAAGGACGGATACTTTTTTCCTTCCAGTGTATTCAGAGAAACTTTCAATAAGAGTGGTATTTAAACAGGAACTTGTTAACTAGATTTCACCTGAAGGAGAAGGGGCGGGGCATACTATGCAGCAGGAATAGCATGGCCAAAAGCACAAAATGGGGAAAATGCATTGTTGATCTTACTAATTTTGACTTGTTTGCTTTCTCTGGAGGAAGTGAGGATAGGTATCTAAAGATATGAGGGGAGGTGGAAAATGGCAAAGATTGAAATGGTCAAATACGAAAACTAGATTGAGAAGGACATTGAATTCCCTATTTAGGTTACACTCGAACCTCTAAAACTAGGGGTTTTTCTTGAGGAAAGACACCTTGGAAATGTTAGAGGTACATAAGTCTACAAGGGAGTAAAAAGCATGATTGATTAGGAGAAAAATGTGGTAGTTTATGGAAAAGATGCTGATGACCTGAACTCAGATAATGAAAGAAAGAATGATGAAGAGGGAAGATTACAATGAACATTTCTGGAAACATAGACTATCATTTCCTTTTATGACTTTTATTTGTTAGGTACAATGCTAAATAGTCAACAATATACATGAAGAGAAAAAGTGTCAAAGACAAAATTTCTAGCTTGGTCCATTGGTTGGACAGAAAATTTTTTATGTCTAACTGGTTCATAATTGATCCAAATCTTCAGTTAAGAATCATAAACCAATGCTTTTTCTGCATCAGTTGATAGGACCATGTGATTTTTTATTCTTCATTTAGTTTATGTATCACATTTACTGATTTGTGAATATTGTATCAGCCTCACATCCCCAGAATAAATCCCACTCGATCATGGTGTATGATCTTTTAATATATTGCTGGATCCAATTTGCTAATATTTTGTTGAGTATTTTACATCTATATTCATCAGTGATATTGGCCTATAATGTTCTTTCTTTGTAGTGTCTTTATCTGTTTTTAGAGTTAGGATAAGGCTGGCCTCGTCAGTAGAGCTTGGAAATGTTCCTTTCTCTTGGATTTTTTGGAAGAGTTGGAGGAGGACAGATTTTAGTTATTCTTTGAATATTTGGTAAAACTTGCCTGTGAAGCTATCTGGTCCAGGATTTTTGTTTGCTGGGAGATTATATATATATATATATATTAAATCAGTTGTTATCAATCTATTCAGGTTTTCTGATTCTTTCTGATTCAGTTTTGGAGGATTATATTTTTCTAGGAATTTGTCCATTTTGTGCAGGTTGTCCAGCTTGTTGGCATATCGCTGTTTATAGTATTTTCTTATAAACCTTTGAATTTCTATGGTGTCAGTTGTTACTTCACCTCTGTCATTTCTGATTTTATTCATTTGGGTCCTCTCTCTTGGTTTCTTGATGAGTCTGGCAAAGGTTCATCAATCTTTTTTACCTTTTCAAAGAACTAGCTCTTGGTTTCATTGATCTTTTGTATTATTTTTGTTGGTTTGTTTTTAGTATCTATGTCATTTATTTCCACCCTAATATTTATTATTTCCTTCCTTCTACTTACTCTGGGCTTTTCTTGTGTAAGCATATAAAAATCCTAGAAGAAAATATAGGCCGCTAAATCTCAGACATCTCATGTAGCAGAATTTTCACTGATACATCTCCTAGGGCAGGAGAAATGAGAGAAAAAGTAAACGGATGGGACTATATCAACTGAAAAGCTTCCGTACAGCAAAAGAAACCATCATCAAAATGAAACGAGAACCCATTGTATGGGATAACATATTTGCTAATGACACATCTGATAAAGGGTTAATTTCCAAAATATATAAAAAAGTCATGCAGCTCAACAAAAGGAAGACAAGTAACCCAATTAAAAAATGGGTACAGGACCTGAATAGGCACTTTTCTAAAGAGGACATACAAATGACCGAGAGAGATGTGAAAAAAATGCTCAACTTCACTAATCATCAGAGAGATGCAAAAATTTTTTTTTTTTTTGCAGAGTATTTGATATTTTTATTTTTATTTATTTTTATTTTTTTATTGATTAATTTTTGTTACAGATGATTCTCCTTTTTTCCCCCACTGATTCCCCCCTCCCCCTTCCCTTCCTGCCCCTTCCCCAGAATGTTGTCCATGTCCACTGTTCATGCATACATGCGTATAAGTTCGGTGGTTCATCCCTCTCCCACCTCCCCACTCCTTAGGGGATTGTCAGTCTGTACCCCGCTTCCGCGTCTCTGGGGCTACCCCATTCCTCAAACTGTTATGTTCATTATATTCCACAAATCAGTGAGATCATATGAAATTTGTCTTTCTCTGTTTGGCTTGTTTCACTTAGGATGATACTTTCCAGGTCCCTCCATGTAGTCTCAAAGGATAAGAGATCTTTCTTTCTTACCACTGCGTAGTACTCCATTGTGTATATGTACCACAGCTTTTTGATCCATTCGTCTACTGATGGACACTTGGGCTGTTTCCAGATCTTAGCGATTGTAAATAGTGCTGCTACAAAGATGGGGGTACATACATTCTTTCTGATTGGTGTTTTATGCTTCGTAGGGTATATTCCTAGAAGTGGGGTCACTGGGTCAAATGGGAGATCAATTTTTAATTTTTTGAGGTGACACCATATTGTTTTCCATAGTGGCTGCACCAGTCTGCATTCCCACCAACAGTGTACTACAGTCCCCTTTTCTCCACACCCTCACCAACACTTGTTGTTTGATGATTTGTTGATGGCGGCCATTCTGACAGGTGTGAGGTGATACCTCATTGTTGTTTTGATTTAAGAGATGCAAATTAAAACTACAAGGAAAGATCACCTCACACTTGCCTGAATGGCTGCCACAGTAAATCAACAAACAACAAGTGCTGGAGAGGATATGGAGAAAAAGGAGGATAT